GATCATTGACAAGATCCTCCCATGTAGTTCTGAGCTGATTCCTCACCGTTCTCATGATCATTGCTACTCCACGAGGTGAGATCTTGCATGGAGCCCCAGGCCGAGGGAGATTGACAGTTCTTTTGTGTTTCTTCCATTTGCGAATAATCGCACCAACTGTTGTCACCTTCTCACCAAGCTGCTTGGCGATGGTCTTGTAGCTCATTCCAGCCTTGTGTAGGTAACACGTTGAGATTAGGAGCACAATCTTAAAGGGAGTGCTCCTCATCTCAGCTTGTTACCTGTATAAAAGACACCTGGGAGCCAGAAATCTTTCTGATTGAGAGGGGGTCAAATACTTATTTCCCTCATTAAAATGCAAATCAATTTATAACATTTTTGACATGCGTTTTTCTGGATTTTGTTGTTGTTATTCTGTCTCTCACTGTTCAAATTAACCTACCATTAAAATTATAGACTGATAATTTCTTTGTCAGTGAGCAAACGTACAAAATCAGCAGGGGATCAAATACTTTTTTCCCTCACTGTATAGTGTACTTTATAGTAGTGTAGTGTATAGTGTACTTTGTAGTAGTGCAGTAGTGGAGTGTATAGTGTATTTTATAGTAGTGCAGTAGTGGAGTGTATAGTGTATTTTATAGTAGTGTATATGTAGTGAGTTTTGTGGACTCTCAGGTGCAAGAGGCGCTCGTGAGCAGCCCAAACAGCCTTTCCGCGCAGAGCGGTTGACACAACAATCTTATATTGGCGAGAGCTACCGTCCAAGGCCACCAACAGCCCATTGCGCAGAATGACGGGCGCGAACTCCTCGCTAATCTGTACGTCCCGTAGTCGCTCAGCGAGGCGGCGTGACTTAACGGGGTAGTCGTCCTCCATTTGGGGGCGCCTCCCAGTCCGTGAGGCATAAATCGAGCAACGCATCTCGAGCGGACAGCCCGTTCGGCTCCTCAGAGGAGCCACCCCCAGGAGCGGCCACCTCAGCTGCAGCAACAAGTGGCGTGGGGTGCGTAGGAACAACGGGCTGCTTGCATCGGCCGGAACCCGAAAAGCACGCACACCTGTTGCCAGCGGGCAGCCGCGACAAGGCGTCGGCGTTCGAATGTTTCGTTCCTTTCCGATAGGTTACCGTAAACGAGCAGTCCTGCAGGACCTCGTGCCAGTGGGACAATTGGCCGGACGGTTGGTCAATCCTCAAGGCATATTGTAACACCGCATGGTCGGAATGTACAGTAAAATGCCTACTGTATAAATACGGCTGGTATTGCTGGATAAAGAATACAATGGCCAACAGCTCATGGCGAGTTACGCAGGAGCGTTGCTCTCCCGGAGATAAAACCTGCTGCCATAAGCGACAACCCTTTCGACCCCGTCGATAACCTGGGACAGCACACCGCCGATGCCAGTATTACTGGCATCTGTGTCGAGAATAAACGGCCGTGCGAAGTCAGGGTAGCACAGGGGAGGGGCATTCACAAGGGCATCTCGAAGCGCTCTGAATGCGGCCTCCCTCTCCTGTCCCCAATGGAACTTTTGCCCCTTTGCCGTCAGGGCATGAAGGGGTTTAGCTATTAATACAAATCCCGCAACAAATCGTCGATAGTATGAAGCGAAGCCAATGAAGCTTCTAACTTCTCTCACAGAAGTGGGAGTCGGCCATGTACGCGCGCAGCTCGTTTTCTCAGGGCCAGTTGCGATGTCCGACTGGCTGACAAAATTTCCCAGGTAACGCACCAATTCCCGCAAGAGGTGGCATTTTTCCAGTTTAAATTTGAGATTAGCTGCTCGCATTTTTGACAAATACAGCCCTGAGATGAATGTATGGCTCAAGAAAATTACATAATCGAGGTAAATAAGACATGAGTCCCACTGCAGCCCAGCGAGAACCAGTTCCATGAGACGCTGGAACATCGCTGGGGCCGAATGGAGGCCCATAGGCAGCCAATTTACTTATAAGAGGCCCTGTGGCGTGCGAAAAGCGGTTTTAGGTTTGGACGCCTCATCCAAGGGCAGTTGTCAAAATCTGAACAAAAGGTCCAGTGTAGAAAAATATCGTGCCCCCACTAAGGCATCCAGCGACTCGTCCATTCCAGGAAGCGGATACACATCTGCTGCGGAGATTTTGTTAAGTTTCCGAAAATCTACACAGAATCTCAAAGAGCCATTGTGCTTCTTGTCGAGTACAATTGGGGCTCCCCATGGGCTGGTAGATGGGGAAATAATGTCCGCGGCTAAAGTGTATAGTGCAGTGTATAGTGCAGTGAATAGTGCAGTGTATAGTGCAGTGCATAGTGTAGTGTATAGTGGTGTAGTGTATAGTGTAGTGTACAGTGTAGTGTATAGTGTAGTGTATAGTAGTGTAGTGTATAGTGTAGTGTATAGTGTAGTGTATAGTAGTGTAGTGTATACTGTAATGTATAGTAGTGTAGTGTATAGTGTAGTGTATAGTGTAGTGTATAATGTAGTGTGTTTGTCTGTTGAAGTGGGAGAGGGGGAGGGGGGGTGACTCCCCCATTGTTGCGTGCGGGCTACCCCCCGTGTGACGTCACCACAGCCGTGCCTCGTGCTGCCCGGGTGGGGTAGCCCGGGTATCGTTGGAATGCCCCTGGGCCCCTCCCCCCGTCCCCCCTCCCCCCCTCTTTCCCCTCCACACCTCCTTCTGCCCCCTTCTCCGGTTTTTCCCCGGCACATTTAGAAGCAACTTGTGTATGTGTTTGTATGTGTGTGTATGTATGTGTTTGTATGTATGTGTGTATGTTTTGTATGTATTTGTATGTATGTGTTTGTATGTATTTGTATGTGTGTGTATGTATGTGTATGTATGTGTGTGTATATATGCGTATGCATGTGTGGATGTATGTATATATGTGTATGTATGTGTGTGTATGTGTGTATGTGTTTGTGTGTATGTGTGTGTTTGTATGTGTGTATGTATGTATGTGTGTATGTATGTGTGTGTATGTGTGTGTATATATGTGTGTATGTGTATGTATGTGTGTATGTATGTGTATGTATGTATGTGTTTGTATGTATTTGTATGTGTGTGTATGTATGTGTATGTATGTGTGTGTATGTATGTGTATGTATTTGTCTGTGTGTGTATATGTGTGTATGTATATGTGTGTATGTACGTGTGTGTATGTGTGGAACTTCTTTTTCACACACTACGTAGCCAACCGTGCTAATCGGAGGTTTAGAACAATATGGCTGCCATACACTTACACGTGATGATGACGACATCAGCCACTAGGCTGAGCTGCTGTCATTTGTGAGGGCCACGTGGCTTCTGCACACAGCTCAGTGGGGCCTTAGCTGGTAACAATAAACATGGTTTAGTTTTAGTTTGGGTCTCTATGAGTGTGGGTCTCTATGAGTGTGGGTCTGTAGGTTTCTATGAGTATGGGTCTCTATGTATATGGGTTTCTGTGGGTCTCTATGAGGATGGGTCTCTATGTATATGGGTCTCTGTGGGTCTCTATGATTATGGATCTCTATGAGTATGGGTCTCTGTGGGTCTCTATGAGTATGGGTCTCTATGAGTACGGGTCTCTGTGGGTCTCTATGAGTATGGGTCTCTATGAGTATGGGTCTCTATGAGTATGGGTTTCTGTGGGTCTCTATGAGTATGGGTTTCTATGAGAATGGGTCTCTGTGGGTCTCTGAGTATGGGTTTCTATGAGAATGGGTCTCTGTGGGTCTCTATGAGTAAGGGATTTCTATGAGTATGGGTTTCTGTGGGTCTCTATGGGCCAGGCCACTTCTGAGAAAAGCGAGCTGCACCTCAGTGCTATCCCTCTCCCCTGCAACATTCATTGGCTGAGGGGAGGGGGCGGTTGCGTTGGCCGATTCACTTCGGCCGGACGCACGTGGACACGCGCCTCGCTCGCCCTGGACCTGTGCCGAGAATACGACGGGGATCACCACGATAATGAGGATGATAATGAGCTCATTGCACACAAGGTCAAGCCCATTGTGCCTCTAAGTGCGGGGAGCCACGCACCCTCGCGTCTCGCTACAATGGGGGGGGGGTGGGGGTGAAGAGGCTCGCTCATTGGAGTTGGCCAATTACTCGCTCCGCAATTCACCATTGTGCCGTGGTGCTACTGATGCTGCTATTAGCTGTGCGTGTGTGAGTGTGTACCTGTGTGTACCTGTGTGTGTGTGAGTGTGTACCTGTGTGTACCTGTGTGTACCTGTGTGTGTGTGTACCTGTATGTGTACCTGTGTGTGTGTACCTGTGTGTGTGTACCTGTGTGAGTGTGTATCTGTGTGTGTACCTGTGTATGCGTGTGTACCTGTGTGTACCTGTGTGTGTACCTGTGTGTGTACCATGTGTGTGTGTACCTGTGTGTGTGTACCTGTGTGTACCTGTGTGTGTACCTGTGTGTGTACCTGTGTGTGTGTGTACCTGTGTGTGTGTGTACCTGTGTGTGTGTATGTATTTGTGTGTATGTATGTGAGTGTACCTGTGGAGAGCGGTGGTGTAGCAGTTAGCGCACTGCGATACGAACCTGGCGACCCGGGTTCGATTCCTGCTCACGGCCAACACCGGTGACGATTACCTGAACCATTCCAGGGCCTCCCCTAGGTCGACTCAACCCCAAATGAGTACCTGGTGTAGCGGTGTGTAGTGAACATCGCCACTGGGGAGACAAAGGCGGCCGGGCGTGGTGCTGGCCACCCACCCCCTCGTGTGCCACAGCGCCGGTAGCCTTAGTAGGTGCTGCTCACTAACAGCCTGTTAGAGGCTACACGGGGGATCTTTTTGTGTGTGAGTGTGCATGTCAGTGTACCTGTGTGTGAGTGTGTGTGTGAGTGTACATGTGTACCTGCGTGTAATTGAATGGGGTAATTAGACTAATAGCGATTCTATTGTTTGGGTCATGCCCAATGCGCTGGTGATTCACCTGGTCAGTCAATACCTGGAGAGTCCCTTACGTGTGTGTGGTGTGTGTATATATAGAGGCTGTGTGATCACCACCAACCTGTGTGTGAGTCTGCTCTCGAGTGTGAGTCCGTGAGTCTCACAGTGTGAGTCTGTGTTAGAGAGTGCGTGTGTCTGTGTTACAGAGAGTGTGTGTGTGTGTGTGTTGGTCAGCGTGTGTTGGAGTCTGCATTTCTCATTCACCACTGTGAGAGCATCAGGCTCGCAGTGAAACGGTGAGTGAGTGTGAGAGTGTGCCACAGTGAGTGTCTGTGTGTGTCTCTGTCTGTCTGTGTGTGTGTGCGCGTGTGTCTATGTGTGTCTCTGTCTGTCTGTGTGTCTGTGTGTGTCTCTGTCTGTCTGTGTTTGTGTGTGTCTCTGTCTGTCTGTGTGTCTGTGTGTCTCTGTCTGTCGACTCAGCCTTAAATGAGTACCTGGTGCGGTGTGTAAACATCGTCACTAGGGAGACAAAGGCGGTCGGGCGTGGTGCTGGCCACCCACCCCCTCGTGTACCGTTCTGGCCTTCATAGGTGCTCGCTAACAGCACTTGCCCCTACAGTCTGTTCAGGCTATACGGGGGATCTTTGTCTTTGTCTCTGTCTGTCTGTGTGTCTGTGTGTGTATCTGTCTGTGTGTCTGTGTGTGTCTCTGTCTGTGTGTCTGTGTATCTGTGTGTGTCTCTCTCTGTCTGTGTGTCTGTGTGTGTCTCTGTCTGTCTGTGTGTCTGTGTGTGTCTCTGTCTGTCTGTGTGTCTGTGTGTGTCTCTGTCTGTCTATGTGTCTGTGTGTGTCTCTGTCTGTTTGTGTGTCTGTGTGTGTCTCTGTCTGTCTGTATGTCTGTGTGTGTTTCTGCCTGTCTGTGTGTCTGTGTGTGTCTCTGTGTGTCTGTGTGTCTGTGTCTCTGTCTGTTTGTGTGTCTGTGTGTGTCTCTGTCTGTCTGTATGTCTGTGTGTGTCTCTGTCTGTCTGTGTGTGTCTCTGTGTGTCTGTGTGTCTCTGTCTGTCTGTGTGTCTGTGTGTGTCTCTGTCTGTCTGTGTGTCTGTGTGTGGGGAGGAGTAGTGTAGCGGTTAGCGCTGCGCTGCGCTACGAACCCGGCCACCCGATTTCCCGTTCACGGCCGACACCGGTGACGATTGTCTTAACGGGTCCCGGGCCTCCCCTAGGTCGACTCAACCTCAAATGAGTATCTGGTGCGTAAAAACATCACCACTGGGGAGACAAAGGCGGCCGGGCGTGGTGTTGGCTACCGACCCCCTCGTGTGCCGTTCCGGCCTTCATAGGTGCTCGCTAACAGCACTGGCCCCTACAGTCTGTTGAGGCTATACGGGGGATCTTTTTTGGTTGTGACACATTGTGTGTGTGAGTGTCACAGTGTGAGTGTGTGTGTCACATTGTGAGTGAGTGCCACTGTGTGTGTGTGTCACAGTGTGTGAGTGTCACATTGTGTGTGTATGTCACATTGTGAGTGAGTGTCACGGTGTGTGTGTCACAGTGTGTGTGTCACTGTGTGTGTTACAGTGAGTGTGTGTGTCACATTGTGAGTGAGTGTCACGGTGTGTGTGTGTCACTGTGTGTGTGTGTCACTGTGTGTGTCACTGTGTGTGTGTCAATGTGTGTGTGTCACTGTGTGTGTGTCACACTGTGTGTGTCACTGTGTGTGTGTGTCACTGTGTGTGTGTCACTGTGTGTGTGTCACTGTGTGTGTGTTTCACAGCCAAGATGAGACTGCACTGGGCTGCCGTCGCTCTGCTCTGCTTGGCTGGTGAGTCGTTATCCCTCACTCACTCACCCACACACTCACTCACTCACCCACACACTCACTCACTCACCCACACACTCACTCACTCACTCACCCACACACTCACTCACTCACCCACACACTCACTCACTCACTCTCTCACTCACTCACTCTCTCACTCACTCACCCACACACTCACTCACTCACTCGCTCATTCACTCACTCTCTCACTCACTCACTCTCTCACTCACTCACTCTCTCACTCACTCACTCACTCTCTCACTCACTCACTCAATCTCTCACTCACTCTCTCTCACTCACTCACTCTCTCACTCACTCACACACTCACTCACTCACACCCACTCACTCACTCACACTCACTCACTCTCTCATTCACTCACTCTCTCACTCTCTCACACTCACACTCTTACTCACTCACTCTCTCACTCACTCACTCTCTCCCTCACTCTCTCACTCACTCTCTCACTCACTTTCTCACTCTCTCACTCACTCTCTCACTCACTCTCTCTCACTATCTCAAGCAGAGGCTAAGCCCGGGAAATTGTGACGTGCAGAACACGTGGCACTGTGACGATGCATGAATGAGTGGCTGAGTGTGTGGTGAGTGAGTAAGGGGGTGAGTGAGTAAGTAAGAGGGTGAGTGAGTGAGTGAGTGAATGGACGAGTCATTTGTTGAATGAGTGAGTGAGTGGATGGGTGAGTGGTGATTGTGGTGATGGTGGTGATGATGATTGTGTGGTGCTGATGGTGGTGATGATGAGTGTGTGGTGGTGGTGGTGATGATGATTGTGTGGTGGTGGTGGTGGTGGTGATGATGATTGTGTGGTGGTGGTGGTGGTGATGATGATTGTGTGGTGGTGGTGGTGGTGATGATGATTGTGTGGTGGTGGTGATGATGATTGTGTGGTGATGATGATTGTGTGGTGGTGGTGATGATGATTGTGTGGTGGTGGTGGTGATGATGATTGTGTGGTGGTGGTGATGATGATTGTGTGGTGGTGGTGATGATGATTGTGTGGTGGTGGTGATGATGATTGTGTGGTGATGATGATTGTGTGGTGGTGGTGATGATGATTGTGTGGTGGTGGTGGTGGTGATGATGATTGTGTGGTGGTGGTGGTGATGATGATTGTGTGGTGGTGGTGGTGATGATGATTGTGTGGTGGTGGTGATGATGATTGTATGGTGGTGGTGGTAATGGTGGTGGTGGTGGTTTTGTCGTGGCATGAGCCACAACTCGTGAGGTGTCTCGTGGTGACCCCCTCGTGTCTGTGCGCTGTGCTCAGTGCTGAACGCGGCGGCCTCCAACAACCAGAAGGAGACTTCCACCCCGACTGCAGCAGCAGCATTGACCCGTGAGTTCAACTCTCACACCACAGCCAGGGAGAGGGTGGACGACTGCGTAAGTGGTGGGTGGGTGACCCAGTGGGTGGGTGGGTGAGTGAGTGGGTTGGTGAGTGGGTGAGTGGGTGAGTGGGTGAGTGAGTGGGTGAGTGAGTGGATGAGTGGGTGAGTGTGTGACAAAGTGGGTGTGTGGGTGAGTGGGTGGGTGAGCCGGTGAGTCATTGGGTGGTGAGTGAGTGGGTGAGTGGGTGGATGGGTGAGTGGGTAGGTGAGTGGTTGGGTGAGTCATTAGGTGAGTGAGTGGGTAGGTGAGTGGGTGGGTGGGTGAGTGGGTGGGTGAGTAGGTGAGTGAGTGGGTGAGTCACTGGGTGAGTGAGTGGGTGAGTCATTGGGTGAGTGGGTGAGTCATTGGGTGAGTGGGAGGGTGAGTGAGATCTTTGTCTTTGTGTCTGTTTCAGAAACAGCTTCGCAAGCAGCAAAGGAGATCAAAGCGAGTGTGTGACTCACGCAACATCGCCCACCCACAACAACCAAAACCACCACCACACGAATCATCACCACCACCACCACCACACACCACAATCACCACCACCACCACACAATCACCATCACCACCACCACACAATCACCACCACCACACGAATCATCACCACCACCACCACACACCACAATCACCACCACCACCACACAACCACCACCATCACAGACAATCACCACCACACACACCACCACCAACAAACCACCACCACACAATCACCACCACCATCACAATCACCACCACACACACCACCACCACCACCACACAATCACCACCACCACCACCACACCCAATCATCACCAGCACCGTTACCATCACCATCAATATCACACAATCACCACTACCACACAATCATCACCATCACTACCACGACCACAAAATCACCACCACCCCACAATCATCACTACCACCGCCATCACACAATAATCACCACAAAAAACAAAGATCCCCCCTATAGCCTTAGCAGACTGTGGGGGCAAGTGCTGTCAGCAGTACCGATGAAGGCTGGCACCGTGGCACACGAGAGGAATGGGTGGCCTTTGTCTCCCTTGCGCACCACTGCACCACTCTTTAGTTCTTTCGGTAAAGTCACGTCGAAAGAAAATACATTAAATAATAATAGAATACGACGTTTCGATTGCAACGCAAGCAACCGTCATCAGGTAAGAATGAATAAGAAAATAAACCTAGTAAACTTAAAAATATAATGCAATACAACACAGCGAGTCGGCCAACACAACAGTCAACACCCTACCGGGTTGATTACGTTCTTACAAAGATTGCTACATTTGAGAGAGAGACAAAACACAGACACGGAAACACACAAACAGACACACAAGCAGAGAGAGACACACACAGAGAAAAACACACACAGAGACACACAGAGAGATACACACACACAGAGACTCACACGTAGACACACAGACAGACACACAAACAGAGAGAGAGACTCACACAGAGACACACAAGCAGAGAGAGACTATGTGGGTCTCTATAGGTCTCTAGAACTATGTGGTTCTCTATGAGTATGGGTCTCTGTGGGTCTCTATGAGTGGAGTGTGGGTGTCTATGAGTGTGGGTCTCTGAGTATGGGTCTCTGAGTATGGGTCTCTGTGGGTCTCTATGAATATGGGTCTCTATGGGTCTCTGTGCGTCTATTTGAGTATAGGTTTCTGTGGGTCTCTATGAGTCTCTGGAACTCTGTGGGTCTCTATGATTATGGGTCTCTGTGGGTCTCTATAAGTATGGGTCTCTGTGGGTATCTATGAGTATGGATCTCTGTGGGTCTCTGTGGGTCTCTGGACCTCTGTGGGTCGCGATGGGTATGGGTCTTGAGTCTCGGTGAGGCCGCGATGGGTTAACGAGTGGGGTGGTGGTAGTCGTCGTCGTGATGGCAGTAACAACACACACGCATTGACCCCTGTGTGTTGCAGATAAGGAGAGTGACGTCACAAAGACATCCACAGATGCCATGCCCAGTGAGTACAGCGTGCGTGTGTGTGTAGTGTGTGTGTGTATGTGTGTGAAAATATCAAATGAAGCTTGTGCCGGAGGCCCTGGGGGGACAGGCATCTATGACATATCCTGGCCAAACCCCATTTGGTGGAGCCAGGAGATTGAATCCGTACCCTCGGGATTCCTCCAGAAACAGCAAAAAACCACTACGGGTGGCCATGTGGAATGTTCGAACGCTCACTGCAGAGGAGAGGCTGCCACTCCTCTGTCGGGAGCTGGACCGGCACCGCCTGGATCTCTGTGGGATTTAGGAGGTCCGGTGGATCGGCTCTGGCTCCTGCCACCATGAGGGGTGGACAGTCCTCTACTCTGGGTAGGAGACTGCCAAACAACAGGGAGTGGCTCTTCTTCTGAACAAAAGAATGAGGAGGGAAATCCGTCAGCCGGGAAAACATCGTGGGACAAAGTGGGAATGACTCTGCTTAGGTTGTGGTGTCTCAAATATTGGAAGAAATCACCCCCTGTGAGTGGCTGGCTGAGGTGCCATCTGTTGAGGAAGTACTGAAGGCGATCCGGAGTCTGAGACCCGGAAAAGCACCGGGCAGAGATGATCTCCCAAGTGAAATGCTGAGGGAAGGTGGCATTTGTGCACAGACTGCCCTACATGACATCATAACAGTCTTGACCACTGGATAGGTTCCACAGGATTGGAAGGATGCCCTGGTGGTCCCCCTCTTTAAGAAGGGGGACCGCACGGACTGTAACAACTACAGGGGCATCTCACTCCTCAGTGTGCCGGATAAGGTCCTGGTAAGGATTATTCAACATCGCCTTGCTAGGCACGCTGAGGAGAGGCTTGTGGAGCCCCAATGTGGCTTCAGAAAAGGGCTGTCCTGCACAGATGCCATATTTTATGTCCATCTGCAACAGGAGAGGTGTAGGGAATTCCAACAAGACCTACATCTCTGCTTTATTGACCTGGTCAAGGCCTATGATACCATCAGTAGGCCTTGGCTCTGGGTTCTTCTTCGTGCTTTTAGAGTCCCTGACTCTGCTCACGATCATTAAGGACCTTCATGATGGTGAGCGGGCCCGGGTAAAACTATGTGGCCGATAGTCGGAGTCATTCTCTTTTCACCTTGGGGTGCGACAGGGATGTCCTCTGGCTCCCACATTATTTAACATCTATTTCGACCACGTAGTTCGTGAAGCCTTCAATAGCTGTACCGGGGAAATTTCCATTTGGTACAGATATAATGGGAGGCTGATCGATGCCCGGGTGCGGTCAAGAGATGGCTCCCTATTGATAAACCACGTTATGTATGCCGATGATTTGGTAATTGCTGCTCATTCAGAGAAGGAGTTGGAGACACTGCTGCTGAACCTGGAGTGTGCCACTAAGACGTGGGGCCTTACCATCAGCCCCACCAAAACTAAGCCCATGCCTGGGTATTTTGTACCATCGGACAATCCACCCACACAACTCCCAATTGGTGATAGGGCAGTTGTGGAGATTGTTTGAGTTTCCCATACCTGGGCAGTGTGCTCATGAACGGCTCCAGTTTAACAGCAGAGGTCTCACTCCGAATTAGTCGAGCAGCATTATCTTTTCATCGGTTGCGTAACGCTGTGTGGAAGCTACCTGGTCTGTCACTCCACACAAAGCTTCAGGTCTTCTCGGCCACAGTCATTCCCTCCCTTCTCTACGCTTGCAAAACGTGGACCCCCCTAATGGGACATCTTTGCCGGTTAGAAACATTTAGGCTGGCCTGCCTACTATCCATCCTGGGCTTAACCAGGCTGGATTGTGTCAGGAGCTCTTAAATCTTTAAAATATCTGGGCAAAGTCCCATCGGTGAGCTCCTCCGGCAGGTAAGGCTGCGTTGGCTCGGTCATGTAGCCCACATGCCCAGCCACCGCATGCCTAAACAGCTTTTGTTCAGCCGGATAGAGGGGGCTAAACCGGCGCGGCACGGGCTAGAGAGGAGATGGAGTGATGTGGTACCGGAGGACGTGGAGCTGAGTGGACCAGCCGATGACTGGTACCAGCGGTGTCAAGATCGGCCTTTGTGGAGGAGGCTCGTGAAGGACACTACTGGGCAGTTGGAGGCAGTCGTCCTCCAACAACAACGGAGGGCGGAGGAGCGACGCTCCCAACAACGAGCGGAGCGCCGGGTGGCTAAAGCACAGCAAGTTGGCACAGTAGGGAGCACAGGTGGTGCATCAGCCAGTCATCTCAGTCAGTCGACCCGTGGCACCTGCTGGGTCTGCCCCGTGATCTGCTGCCAACGGGCGTCCGACACTTCACGTGGCCTCAAGGTGCACATGGCCTGGCACAAGCGTCGTGGTGACGTCACCGCCACTTAGTAGCGAATGGCGGTTGTTGTTATGTGTGTGTGTGAGTGTGTGAGTTCGTATCCTGACCTCGCAGTCTGTCTGTCTGTGCAGAAGATGTGAAGACGACTGGGTCAGTGGCAGCAGCCAAAGAGGATCCTGGCAGTGAGTGTCTCGTCATCTGTGGCGGTGTTTCTCACGGAGCGTCTGCGCACAGTCACACCCCATCATCACCACACTCAACCACCACTATCTCCACACTCAATAATCACCACCACCATCACCACCATCATCACCACACTCAATCATCACCACCACCATCGCCACACAACCACCACCATCTACATTTGCTGTAAATGTCCACGTGATGTTGATTCTCCGCTACTTCGTTCATCTGTGACAGGCAGATCGCTTCAGAAAAAGGGCTACACAGTCGCTACCCTTACCGAGATAAATAAAATAAATAGTGGAGTTTCAGTGTGGGTCTCTATGAGTGTGGGTCTCTATGAGTCTCTGTGGGTCTCTCTGGGTATGGGTCTCTATGACTATGGGTCTCTATGAGTCTCTGTGGGTCTCTCTCAGTATGTGGTCTCTCTGGGTATGGGTCTCTCTCACTATGGATATCTATGAGTATGGGTCTTTTTTGGTCTCTATGGATCTTTGTGGATCTATTTGACTATGAGTCTCTGTGGGTCTCTCTGAGTTTTGGTCTCTTTGAGTATGGGTCTCTATGAGTCTCTATGACTATACGTCTCTGAGTCTCTGTGGGTCTCTATGAATATGGGTCTCTATGAATATGAGTCTCTATGGGTCTCTATGAGTCTCTATGAGTTTGGGTCTCTATGAGTCTCTGTGCGTCTCCATGGGCCACGTCGTTTCTGACTAAATAAGCTCCATATTAGCTCCGTGGTTCCCTTACGGGGTAAAATTACAAACATAATTCATAGTTTTATTAGCTGACCGCTCTACCAGTTTAACTCAACCGCGTCTGCCGTGTTCACAGAGAACAAGACGTCGTCATCGTCAGCCGAGAAGACGGACGACAAGAGCGGTGAGTGTCTCACACCGGCGAGCCGTCTGTGCTCGTAAAATCGTCGAAGCAGACAACTCACACAGCGGCTCTGTCGCTGTAGGGGAAGGTTTAACGAAGCAGTAAGCAACGATGGCTTTACAGCTGTGCTGATGATTCCCAACAAGAGATGAAAACCTGGTTTTTATACAACAGTCCCCACCCCCCCCGACATTGTTCAAAGTTCATTGATTAGGTATAGCCCTGTGAGCCATTCGGCTCTTGAATCGGGTGCAACCGCAACAAACAAAAAACAAAAACATGAACAAGAAAACATCTTAAAGTGAATATGTGCAAACAGAAAATCCGAGAAAAGACAGCAAAATATTGCAGAAAAAAATCACCGTACACCAACCCTGTTCAAATATCCCAGTGGGATGCAAGTCAAACAACAACCACAAGACAACTTAGATTAAGGCCATCAGTCTAACTCTGTACTACAACAAACAAACATGGCCAAACCAAAATACTTTTCGAAAATCACCAAAATAAAGCCATGAAAGCAATGAAACAGTGATCATATGAACTGTGACCGAATTTTCACAATAAACGACGTAAACAACATGTACTACCAAAACCCTGCAGCCATGGCTGGCTGCATGAGTCACTCCACAACAGTAGGAGCATCAGTCGGAGTATCAACATTTTTCAATGCACCTTTAAGATCAGCGCACTAAACCAAAACACAGATCTAGACTGTTGATTTTGTACGACCGGGGTGAGAGAACGACTCAAGGAGATACCGGCGATAGAAACTCTCGTTTGCTCGAGCATCCAGGAGTTGAGAGTCGCACCGCCGATGATCGCGGTTGGATATGTACGGTGGTGCGAAAGATGTTCAACACGCGCACACGTCTACGTACAGCAGGCGGTATGATGCTGTGAGGTTTAACTCCCCGCGTCTGTCGTGTTCACAGAGACCAAGACGTCAACGTCAGCTGACAACGCGGACGACAAAAGCAGTGAGTGTCTCAGCCACTCTACATTACAACAACAGCAGCAGCAAGTGTTGACCCATCCTCCTCTAAGACCGGAACTAACGGGGGATGACCATGGACTCGATGTGTGGTTTGATGCCCCCCCCCCCCCCGACACCTCCGATTAGCACAGTTGGCAACGTGCGGGGGTATGAAAGATGTTCTACTTACAGAGATTACACACTGAACTACGATATAGTACACTATACACTATACTACTACACAATGCACTGCTATGCACTACACTACTATACACTACACTACTATACACTACACTATACACTACACTACTAAACACTACACAATACATTACACAATACACTACACTACTACACAATGCACTGCTATGCACTACACAATACACTACACTACTATACACTGCACTACTACACACTACACTACTATACACTACACCACTGTACACTACACCACTGTACACTACACTACTATACACTACACTACTATACTACATTGATAACTGTGTCCGGTTCACAGAGAACAAGACATCATCATCGTCAGCTGAGAAGACAGATGAAAAGAACCGTGAGTGAAACAACATTTGTTGAAATTACGCGAGGGTCGTGTGGCTGGGATGTGTACAAACAATACAACTTTATTCTCTACTCTTTGGGTCTTTCGTTAAAGTCACGTAGATAGAAAAATAATCAAATCAAATCACGAAGTTTCGATCGCTACACAAGCAATCGTCTTCAGGTGAAAAAAATAGAGCAGGCAGACTGCTGAGGCAGGAAGAAAAATGGCGAGAGAACTACTGCCCGTACCCGTACCCGGCCGCATCAGGGTCGAAAACGGGTCCCCGTACCTGTACCCTACCCGATACCCGGCTACCCGTACCCGGTCGGGTATCGGGTAGGGTACGGGTACCCGATTGCGACCTCTGGGATGAAGCCATGTTGCAGGCGCGGGTGGGTTGATTCTAGGAACTTGAATTGTGAGAAGAGACAAGACGTTGGGAAATGACTGACAAACGGTGACTCACCAGTGACTCACGGCCTACCCGTACCCGTACCCGGCCACACCAGGGTCGCAAACGGGTACGGGTAGCCGGGTATCGGGTAGGGTGCGGGTATCAGGTACCCGGTTGCGACCTCTGGTACAAGCCAAGGGTAAGTGGGCGGGGCTAGAGATGGAATTTGCAAGTCAATGTAAGATCGCAGAGCTACTTATACCTCGGCATGTCAATCTGTGAATGTAACCCCTAGGTTACGGTGCTAAAGAAGCCATTGTATTGCTAGAGATTAGAGATTAGCGTGTCAACGCGGGACGGCTCCCACAGCAGCGGCTGTGTTGATGAGACACATTCAGCCGATTAAACAACAAGCGCCACCGCCGCATTGAGGAAAAGGAAGCAGCGGTTATGTTAGTGAGATTTTTAGCCTGTTAATGTAAAAGACATTTAACAAGGTAATGTAAGCATCTACATCATTCGACCTCCTTTGCCAGTACCAAAATATAATAATAGGGTTTTTCTCCCTTTTTTTCTGCCAACAAAACTGAAACCTTTTTTACAAGGAATCACGTGGTGCATTAACCACAATACTTGTGGTCAATATGCAAACAAAAAACACACCCTGATAATATATGCATTTTTTTTCGATTTAAAGCTTTCGTGACTGCAGGGATTCATCTTCTTGGTTCTTTCGGTAAAGTCACGTAGAATGGAAATAATAAAATAATAAAAATAAAACAATGTGAAGGGAAAACCGCAGAGAAATCGGAGGATAAAGCCACGGGACCACGTGGAGAGAGAGCCGTAAACATCAGGTTCAGGATTGAACCCAAGATCTCATGTACCAGGCGAGGTAGTTGTCATCTCCTGGCCGCCATTGCGATGATGTTGGATAATACTGGCAAAACAAAAGGACCCACAGATAAGAGGAATGGGGGTTGGCGAGCGGAGGTTGGGTGGCTGAACAATGTTTGGTTTAACTCAACCGCGTCTGCCTTGTTCACAGAGAACAAGACATCGTCATCGTCAGCTGAGAAGACAGACGACAAGAGTCGTAAGTGTCTCACACCAACAAGACGCCTTTTCTCGTATAACCGTTGAAGCAGACATCTCACAGATTGGTTTTGTCACTGCACGGAGGGGTTTACAAAGCAGTAAGCAACAAATACGAAACTGTGCTGATGATTCCCAATGAGGGATAATACCCAGGGGTTCATAGAACAGTCCCCAATTGTGGCTCTGTCGCTGCAGGCGAGAGGGTTTATGAAGCGATAAGCGACGATGGCTTACGTTGTGCTGATGATTCAGAACAAGGGGATCAACCCCGGTGTTATACAACAATCCCCCATTGTCCTGCTATATTGCCATTGTAACTTTCTGTTCAAGTTGAGTTTGTATGACGGGGATGAGAACGACTCAAGGAGAGACCACGGATAGAGGGAGTCCCGTTTGCTAGAGTGGCCAGGAGTTAAAAAGTATCAGGTGGTTGAGTTGGAGGCTGAGAGTTTTTAACTCAACCACGTCTGTGCGGTTCACAGAGAACAAGACGTCGTCGTCATCGTCAGCCGAGAAGACTGACAACAAGGGCCGTGAGTGTCTCACCCACGCATTGTAATAACCACTCACCCGTGTGACACGCTCGCGTCTCCCAGTGTGAGCTGCTGGCATTGTACAGAGCCAGGGTTCAGGAGTGACCGGTACAGGAGGCAGCCATCTTCATTAAGCAAGAAGCGTTCTGCCCATAGATCGGTGCATGGCACGATTTGTTTGCCTTCTACTGATCTCGTCGCTATCCATGCGTCTTTGCTGGTTGACCGCCCATGAGGTTGATGATCTCCGGTGTTGCCCTTACTCTTGTTCTCTCCCTCAAACAATTCCTCCCCGGCGAGTAGCGAGTCAACACATTCTGAGTCTGACTGTCACGCTCACAAAAAGAGGAATGGTTGCAGGCGAGCGGTTGTTGTAAAGGCTGAACGCCGTGATTGTTTAATTCACTTTGTCTGTTATTTTCACAGAGAACAAGACATCGTCATCGTCAGCTGAGAAGATGGACAGCAAGAGCGGTGAGTGTCTTACACCAGCGAGATGCCTGTTCTCGTGAAACTGTCGAAGCAGATATCTAACACAGTCACTCTGTCGCTGCAGGGGAGGGGGTTTATGAAGCGGTAAGCAACGATGGCTTACGCTGTGCTGATGATTCAGAACAAGGGAATGAAACACGGTGTTTATAAAACAATCCCCCCATTGTCCTGCTATACTGCCGTTGTAACTTTCTGTTCAAGTTGATTTTGTACGACGGGGATGAGAACGACTCAAGGAGAAGCCGGGGGTAGACGAAGTCCCGTTGTCAAGAGTGACCAAGAGTTTAGAGGAGCAGGTGGTTGAGATGCATTCTGTGATGTTTTAAGTCAACCATGTCTGTCCGTTTCCCAGAGAACAGCAGGTGGTCGGACGATGTGAGGTTTGACTCCCCGCTTCTGTCGTGTTCACAGAGAACAAGACATCATCGTCATCATCATCGGCCGAGAACACAGACGACAAGGACCGTGAGTGTCTCACACCAACAAGACGCCTTTTCTTGTAAAACCGTTGAAGCAGACATCTCACAAAAAAAATATACGAAACTGTGCTGATGATTCCCAATGAGGGATAATACCCAGGGGGTTCATAGAACAGTCCCCCATTGTCCTGCTTGCTGCCATTGTGGCTCTTTGCTCAGGTAGATGTTGCACAACCAGGGTGAGAACGACTCAAGTAGAGACCACGGATAGAGGAGTCCAGTTACAATAGTGGCCAATAGTTAAGAGTTTCAGGTGGTTGAGATGGACGCTGTGAGGTTTAACTCAACCGCGTCTGTTGGGTTCACAGAGAACAAGACATCGTCATCGTCAGCCGAGAAGACGGACGACAAGAACCGTGAGTGTCTTACACGAGTGAGACGCCTGTTCTTATAAAACCGTCGAAGCAGATATCTCACACATTGGCTCTGTCGCTGCAGGGGAGGAGGTTTATGAAGTGATAAGCAATGATGACTATACCGTGCTGATGATTCCGAACAAGGGAATGAAACCCGGTGTTTATACAACAGTCCACCCATTGTCCTGCTATACTGTCATTGTTCAAGTTAATTTTGTACGATGGGGATGAGAACGACTCAAGGAGAGATGGATTCTGTGAGGTTTTAAGTCAACCATTTTCTGTCGGGTTTCACAGAGAACAAGACATCGTCATCGTCAGCCAAGAAGACAGACGACAAGAGCCGTGAGTGTCTCACCCAGCGTTGTAAAACCCCTCACCCGTGTGAGACGCTTTCGTCTTCCAGCATGCGGCCACTCACATTGCGCAGAGCCAGAGCTCAGGAATAACAGGTACAGGAGCCAGCCACCCATGGTGTTGAATTATGGTGTTAAATTGTGAATGAACCGTGACCTTCATTCATCCATTCATTCTTGCATGAAACGTTCTGTTGATAAGGTTGATCATCACTGGTCCTGACCTTCCTCTTGGTATCTCTCTACTCAAAAAATAACTGGCTAGCGATTGACAAGTCAATCTGAGTCTGACTGTCATGCTCATGATAAGAGGAGTCGTGTCGAGCTAGCGGTCGTTGAGTGTCTGAACGCCGTGATTGTTTTATTCCCCCATGTTTGTCGTATTCACAGAGGACAAGACATCGTCATCGTCAGCTGAGAAGACAGACGACAACAGCAGTGAGTGTCTCGATGGGACCTTTTTGGCAGGACTATAAAAAATTATGAAAAATAAGAATAGGTTTGTAGCCTTCTCTGGCAACAAAACAGGAGTTGTGTTAAATGGCTCAAACACCAAATAACTGCTCGAGCTGAGCTATAAGAGCTCGGAAAGTACTTGCATTGTCTTTTGTCCTGTTCACCTGTTGGCAATCTCTGCTCTATTCACACTGGTGCAAGGCCACAAAGAAGGCTGTGTCTGGTGTAGGCCAATCAGTTTCAACGACAATGCACTTTTATTGATAGTGTTGTGGGTATGAACGTGGAGCGATACTTCTTGGAGGCAACGTGTTTATTTCAAATAAACGATAACTCCAATAGCCGTAACACTTACAGCTATGGCCCCTGTAACACTACGGGGTACGGCCCCGTCACCCGATAACCTAAGGGAGGTACAACCTCCCTTCTAGCGTGCCCTGCACACTCCGGGTTACGCTCACGCGGTTCCTCTGCTACGGGGGCTAGGGGAAGCTAACCTGACCCGACCTAGCCAGGGTACGGGTCTCACCGCCGGTCCGCTGCAACCCGGCTCTGACAAGAGCCTCGGTTAAGGGTCCCAGGGTGCTGGTCCAATCTTCAGGCGTCTTTGGGTCTTGAGTGGACGAACACTGCCGGTCCCGTTGAGATGGCCGGCTTTTATACACAAGTTGGGGCTTACCCCGCCCTTAACCGCACTTTCTCCAAAACCTTCCAGAAGTCTCTGGAAGGGTCTGGAATGAACCCTTGGCCCCTATCCCCCAGCCCTCATTCCTTGGGGGTCTGGGGTCTCTACCCCCGGTCACGGGGTACCCAGGGGGGAAGGTTTTACTGCAGCTCAACCACCACACCTCCCGCTCACTCTCTCAGACGCCCCCTATCGGACTGTGAGGGTGGTGACCATAAGAATACCCACAGCGCCTTGGTATGGCGCAACATTAGCAGGTTTGTTTCCATGTTTTGCCACAAGAATGATGGTGTGGTTAATGCAGATTTGATGCCTTGCAAAATGTATTTTTCACAAAGATATCTTAGTTGTATTTGAACATCTTAACACAACTCCTGTTTTATTGCCAGAGAAGGTAAAATACTATTATTTTTTCATCAGCCATGAGTGTCTCACACCAGCGAGATACCTCGTCTCAATGAATCGTTGAAGCAGACTACCTCTGTCGCTGCAGGGGAGGGGGTTTATGAACGGTCAGCAACGATGACTTACGCTGTGCTGATAATTCCGACCAAGGGAATGAAACCCGGTGTTTATACAACAGTCCACCCATTGACCTGCTATACTGCCATTGTTCAAGTTGATTTTGTACGATGGGGATGAGAATGACTAAAGGAGAGATGGATTCTGTGAGGTGTTAAGTCAACCATTTTCTGTCGGGTTTACAGAGAACAAGACATCGTCAGCAGAGAAGACAGACGACAAGAGCCGTGAGTGTCTCACCCAGCGTTGTAAAACCCCTCGCCCGTGTGAGACGCTCTCATCTCCCAGCATGCGGCCACTCACATTGCACAGAGCCAAAGCTCAGGAATAACCGGTACAGAAGGCAGCCACCCATGGTGTTGAATTGTGAATGAACCGTGACCTTCATTTAGCCATTTATTCGTGCATGAAACGTTCTGCCCATAGAGAGGTCAATGGCACAAATTTTCTGCTGCAGGTTCCTCTCTGACTTCCGCTGATCTCTTCGCTGCCCACGCCTTCTTCCTGTTCGAATGTTGATAAGGTTGATTGTTGCCGGTCCTGACCTTCCTCTTGGTATCTCTCTACTCAAAAAATAACTCGCTAGCGATTGACAAGTCAACCTGAGTCTGACTGTCATGCTCATGATAAGAGGAATGGTGTCAAGCGAGCGATCGTTGAGTGTCTGAACGCCGTGATTGTTTTATTCCCCCATGTTTGTCGTGTTCACAGAGGACAAGACATCGTCATCGTCAGCTGAGAAGACAGACGACAAGAGCAGTGAGTCTCTCGATGGGACCTTGTTGACAGGACTATAAAAATTATGAAAAATACGAATAGGTGTTTAGCCTTCTCTGACACTAAAACAGGAGTTGTGTTAAATGGTTAAAAGACCAAATAACTGCTCGAGCTGAGCTATAAGCTTTCGGAAAGTACTTGCATTGTCTTTTGTCCTGTTTACCTTTTGGCGATCTCTGCTCTATTAACACTGGTGCAAGGCCACAAAGAAGGCTGTGTCTGGTGTAGGCCAATCAGTTTTAACGACAATGCGTACACTTTTATTGTTAGTGTTGTGGGTATGAACGTGGAGCGAGACTTCTTGGAGGCAACGTGTTTATTTCAATAAACGATAACAACGCCAATAGCCGTAACACTTACAGCTGTGTCCCCTGTAAAACTATGGGGTACGGGCCCATCACCCGATAACCTAAGGGAGGTACAGCCTCCCTTCTAGCGTGCCCTACACACTCCGGGCTACACTCTCGTGGGTCCTCCGCTACGGGGGCTAGGGGAGGCTAACCTGACCCGACCTAGCCAGGGTACGGGTCCCACCACTGGTCTGCTGCAACCCGGCTCTGACAAGAGCCTCGGTTGCGGTTGAGGGTCCCAGGGTGCTAGTCCAGTCTTCAGGCGTCTTCGGACGTCTTGAGTGGACGAACACTGCCGGTTTCGTTGAGATGGCCGGCTTTTATACACAAGTTGGGGCTTACCCCGCCCTTAACCACACCTTCTCCAGAACTTTCCAGAAGTCTTTGGAAGGGTCTGGAATGAACCCTTGGCGCTATTCCCCAGCCCCCATTCCTTTGGAGTCTGGGGTCTCTACCCCCAGTCACGGGGTACCCAAGGGGGGGGGGGGGGTTACCCCAGCCCAACCACCACACCTCCCGCTCACTCTCTCAGACGCCCCCTATCGGACTGTGAGGGTGGTGACCATAAAAATACCCACAGCGCCTTGGTATGGCGCAACATTAGCAGGTTTGCTTCCATGTTTTGCCACAAGCATGATGGTGTGGTTAATGCAGATTTGATGCCTTGCAAATTTTATTTTTCACAAAGGTATCTTAGTTGTGTTTGAACATCTTAACACAACTCCTGTTTTATTGCCAGAGAAGTTAAAATAAAATTTTTTAAAATCAGCCATGAGTGTCTCACACCAGCGAAATACCTCGTCTCAATGATTCGTTGAAGCAGATATCTCACAGACTGCCTCTGTCGCTGCAGGGGAGGGGGTTTATGAGGCGGTAAGCAACGATGGCTTACGCTGTGCTGATGATTCAGAACAAGGGGATCAACCCGGGTGTTTATACAACAATCCCCCCATTGTCCTGCTATACTGCCGTTGTAACTTTCTGTTCAAGTTGATTTTGTACAACGGGGATGAGAACGACTCAAGGAGAAGCGAGGGGTAGACGGAGTCCCGTTGTCAAGAGTGACCAGGAGTTTAGAGGAGCAGGTGGTTGAGATGCATTCTGTGAGGTTTTAAGTCAACCATGTCTGTCCGTATCCCAGAGAACAGCAGGTGGTCGGACGCTGTGAGGTTTAACTTCCCGCTTCTGTCGTGTTCACAGAGAACAAAACATCATCATCGTCATCATCGGCCGAGAACACAGACGACAAGAACCGTGAGTGTCTCACACCAACAAGACGCCTTTTCTCGTAAAACCGTTGAAGCAGACATCTCACAGATTGGTTTTGTCACTGCAGGGATTGGTTTACAAAGCAGTAAGCAACAATGACGAAACTGTGCTGATGATTCCCAACGAGGGATAATACCCAGGGGGTTCATTGTCCTGCTTGTTGCCATTGTGACTCTTTGCTCAAGTAGATGTTGCACAACCAGGGTGAGAACGTCTCTAGGAAAGACCACGGATAGAGTGAGTCCCGTTTGTTAGAGTAGCCAGGAGTTAAGAGGTGCAGGTGGTTGAGATTGACGCTGTGAGGTTTTAAGTCAACCACGTCTGTCGGGTTCACAGAGAACAAGACGTCGTCAGCCGAGAAGACGGACGACAAGAGCCGTGAGTGTCTCACACCGAGACGCCTGTTCTCATAAAACCGTCGAAGCAGATATCTCACACAGTGGCTCTGTCGCTGCAGGGGAGGGGGTTTATGAAGCGGTAAGCAACGATGGCTTACGCTGTGCTGATGATTCCGAACAAGGGAATGAAACCCAGTGTTTATACAACAATCCCCCCATTCATCTTCTTGGTTCATTCGGTAAAGTCACGTAGAAGGGAAATAATAAAATAATAAAAATAAAACATAATAAAATAATTCTCACGACGTTTCGGCTGCTTGCGTTGTAGCCGAAACGTCGTGAGAATGATTTTATTATGTTTAATTTTTATTATTTTATTATTTCCCTTTTACGTGACTTTACCGAAAGAACCAATAAGATGAATCCCTGCAGTCTTGAAAGCTTTAAATCGAAATAGTCCCCCCATTGTCCTGTTATACTGTCATTGTTCAAGTTGATTTTGTACGATGGGGATGAGAACGACTCAAGGAGAGATGGATTCTGCGAGGTTTTAAGTCAACCATTTTCTGTCGGGTTTCACAGAGAACAAGACATCGTCATCGTCAGCCGAGAAGATAGACGACAAAAGCCGTGAGTGTCTCACCCAGCGTTGTAAATCCCCTCGCCCGTGTGAGACACTCTCATCTCCCAGCATGCGGCCATTCACATTGCACAGAGCCAGAGCTCAGGAATAACCGGTACAGGAGCTAGCCACCCATGGTGTTGAATTGTGAATGAACCGTGACCTTCATTCAGCCATTTATTCGTGCATGAAACGTTCTGCCCATAGAGAGGTCAATGGCACCAATTTTCTGCTGCAGGTTCCTCTCTGACTTCCGCTGATCTCTTCGCTGCCTGCCCCTTTCTTCCTGTTCGAATATTGATTAGGTTGATCGTCTCTGGTCCTGCCCTTCCTCTTGGTCTTTTTCTACTAAAAAAATCTCTCGCGAGCGATTGACAAGTAAACCAATCTGAGTCTGACTGTCATGCTCATGTCAGAGGAGTGGTGGTGAGCGAGCGGTCGTTGAGTGTCTGAACGCCGTGATTGTTTTATTCTCCCATGTTTGTCGTGTTCACAGAGGACAAGACATCGTCATCGTCAGCTGAGAAGACAGACGACAAGAGCAGTGAGTCTCTCGATGGGACCTTGTTGACAGGACTATCAAAAATTATGAAAAATACTAATAGGTGTTTAGCCTTCTTTGACAATAAAAAAGGAGTTGTGTTAAATGGTTAAAACGCCAAATAACTGCTCGAGCTGAGCTATGAGCTTTCGGAAAGTACTTGCATTGTCTTTTGTCCTGTTCACCTTTTGGCGATCTCTGCTCTATTAACACTGGTGCAAGGCCACAAAGAAGACTGTGTCTGGTGTAGGCCAATCAGTTTCAACGACAATGCTATTTTATTGTTAGTGTTGTGGGTATGAACGTGGAGCGATACTTCTTGGAGGCAACGTGTTTGTTTCAATAAACGATAACAACGCCAATAGCCGTAACACTTACAGCTATGGCCCCTGTAACACTACGGGGTACGGCCCCATCACCCGATAACCTAAGGGAGGTACAGCCTCCCTTCTAGCGTGCCCTACACACTCCGGGCTACGCTCTCGTGGGTCCTCCGCTACGGGGGTTAGGGGAGGCTAACCTGACCCGACCTAGCCAGGGTACGGGTCCCACCACTGGTCTGCTGCAACCCGGCTCTGACAAGAGCCTCGGTTCATGGTCCCAGGGTGCTGGTCCAATCTTCAGGCGTTCGGGTATTGAGTGGACGTACACTGCCGGTCCCGTTGAGATGGCCAGCTTTTATACACAAGTTGGGGCTTACCCCGCCCTTAACCACACCTCTCCAAAACCTTCCAGAAGTCTCTGGAAGGGTCTGGAATGAACTGTTGGCCCCTATTTCCCAGCTCAACCACTCACTCTCTCAGACGCCCCCTATCGGACTGTGAGGGTGGTGACCATAAGAATACCCACAGCGCCTTGGTATGGCGCAACATTAGCAGGATTGCTTCCATGTTTTGCCACAAGAATGATGGTGTGGTTAATGCAGATTTGATGCCTTGCAAAATGTATTTTTCACAAAGATATCTTAGTTGTGTTTGAACATCTTAACACAACTCCTGTTTTATTGCCAGAGAAGGTAAAATACTATAATTTTAAATCAGCCATGAGTGTCTCACACCAGTGAGATACCTCGTCTCAATGAATTGTCGAAGCAGACTGCCTCTGTCGCTGCAGGGGAGGGGGTTTATGAAGCGGTAAGCAATTATGGCTTACGCTGTGCTGATGATTCAGAACAAGGGGATGAACACCGGTGTTTATACAACAGTCCGCCCTTTGTCCTGCTATACTGCCATTGTGAGTCTCTATTTTGTACGACGGGGATGAGAACGACTCAAGGAGAAACCAGGGGTAGACAGAGTCCCGTTGTCAAGAGTGACCAGGAGTTTAGAGGAGCAGGTGGTTCAGATGGATTCTGTGACGTTTTAAGTCAACCATATCTGTCCGTTTCCCAGAGAACAGCAGGTGATCGGACGCTGTGAGATTTAACTCCCCGCTTCTGTCGTGTTCACAGAGAACAAGACATCATCGTCGTCATCATCGGCCGAGAACACAGATGACAAGAACCGTGAGTGTTTCACACCAACAAGACGCCTTTTCTCGTAAAACCGTTGAAGCAGACATCTCACAGATTGGTTTTGTCACTGCAGGGAGGGGTTTATAAAGCAGTAAGCAACAATGACGATACCGTGCTGATGATTCCCAACGAGGGATAATACCCAGGGGGTTCATAGAACAGTCCCCCATTCTCCTGCTTGCTGCCATTTTGACTTTTTGCTCACGTAGATGTTGCACAATCAGGGTGAGAACGACTCAAGGAGAGACCACGGATAGAGTGAGCCCCGTTTGTTAGAGTAGCCAGGAGTTAAGAGGTGCAGGTGGTTGAGATGGACGCTGTGAGGTTTTGAGTCAACCACGTCTGTCGGGTTCACAGAGAACAAGACATCGTCAGCCGAGAAGACGGATGACAAGAGCCGTGAGTGTCTCACACCAACGAGACGCCTGTTCTCATAAAACCGTCGAAGCAGATATCTCACACAGTCACTCTGTCACTGCAGGGGAGGGGGGTTATGAACGGTCAGCAAGGATGGCTTACGCTGTGCTGATGATTCCGAGCAAGGGAATGAAACCCGGTGTTTATACAAGCCCCCTCATTGTCCTGCTATACTGCCGTTGTGAGTCTCTATTTGAGTTGATTTTGTATGATCGGGGTGAGAAGGACTCAAGGAGAGACCAGGGATAGAGGAGTCCAGTTGCAAGTGGCCAAGAGTTAAGAGTATCAGATGGATGAGTTGGACCTTGTGAAGTTTAACTCAACCGCGTTTGTCGGGTTCACAGAGAACAAGACGTCATCATCATCAGCTGAGAAAACAGACGACAAGAGCAGTGAGTGTCTCTTTGGGACCTTTTTTCCAGTATCGAAAATGATGAAATGCAAAAATATGTTTGGTTACCCTTCTCTGGCAATGAAACAGGACTTGTGTTAAGGGCTTCAAACCAAATAACTGCTCGACCTGAGCGATAAGTCCTCTGATAGGACTTGCGTTGTCTTTGTACTGTTCATCTTTTGCCGCGGTTGCAAGACGTTAACTACCTTGCCTGGTATACATGAGTCATGGGTTCAATCCCGACCCTAACTCCTGTTGTATATTTGGAGTTTGCATATTCTCCCTGTGGTCGCGTGGGTTTTTCTTTGGGTCACTCGGTTTTCCCCTCTACGTTTAGAATCAACGTTGACGCGTTTAGAGTATTTGGCTGCTGTACATTTCCACGTGATCAACCACTTGGCTGAGCTATCATTTGTGGCCAGGTCGCTTCTGAAAAGGAGCTACATAGCTCAGTGGGCCTTAGCTGATAAACTAGAAAGTGGATGTTAGTTTCTGGCATTCTCTGGTCTAACACTGGTGCGGAAACAAGGCCATAAAGAAGGCTGTCTCTGGTGCAGTAGGCCAATCAGTATCAAAGAGAATGCACACATTATTATGGATATCATCAGACCAAGTTTGTTGGTATATTTTGCCACAAGTACGATTTGTGGTAAATGTGGACTTGATGATCCCTTGCTAGAGGTCTTTTTCACAGAGGCATCTAGTTGGTACTCTTAGGTTTTTTCGGTAAAGTCAGGTAGGTAAAAATAAGTAATAAAAATTTTAATAAAAGAGATAAAACAATAAAAATCACGACGTTTCGGAGGCAACACAAGTCTCCGTCATCAGGTGGGATCGTCATAGCTAAATTTACTGTATCAAGTGAGGCAAAATTCCAAGAGACAAGCTCTTAAATACAAGTTAGGGGAGAGGAGGGAGGAGGGGCCTATCTGAATGTGGTAGCCAATGAATGGAACGTGTTGGAGGGGGGGTGGGCGGGGCTAAAAGAGAACAATAGGTGCACATGTTGTTGTACCCGGTGTTGGCTGACAATCCAAATACAAAAAGGAGAGTACTGTTAAACGCTGGGGATGTCAACACTCGGTAAAGTAGAATAGTACCTGTCACATCTAGTTGGTGTTTGAACATTTCAACACAACTCCTGTGTTGTTGCCATGAAGGGTAAAACACTCTTGTTGTATGTTTTCACTACCATGTTGAGGCTATACGGTGGTGGGGTCTTTGTTGTCCGACCTGAGCCACCAACTCAGAATCAGAATATTTCTTTATAATGAGAGGGGAATCCAAACCCATTTTTCACTTTTTTCATGTTCTTGGTTCTTTCGGTAAAGTCACGTAGAATGGAAATAAAAAAATACAAAAATTAAAACATAATAAAATTCTCACGACGTTTCGGCCACAACGCAAGCAGCCGACCTCAGGTGAAGAACAGGTCTGTCGAGAAGACAGAGTCTGAATGACACACCCCAGGCTTGGAGCGTCTATTTAAGCTGGGATGGAGGGGGAAGAGCGCCTTGACAAAATAATTTGCATATGCAGGATTAGCAGCATCACTGTTGTATATATTTGGTGTTTGAACATCTTAACACAACTCCTATCGTATTGCCTGAAAGGGGTAACATTTTATTTCGTATTTCGTTATCCTTGAATGTCTCTCACACCAGCAAGACTTCTGTTCTCAATGAATCGTCGAAGCAGATATCTCACAGAGCGTCTCTATCACTGCAGCGGAGGGGGTGTGTGAAACAGTAAGCAGTGATGGCTTACGCTGCGCTGGTGTCTGTACGTATGTAGTGTGTGTATGTTGAACTTGATAATTGTTTTTTTAACCTTCTATCTGGCAACAAAACTGACACCTTTTTTTACAAGGAGTCATGTTTGAATAGACCACAATACCTGCAGCCATAATGCAAACAAAACACATAACTCTGAAAATATATGCAATATATGCACTGTCCTTGAAGTTGATTGGTCCACACCCGAGACAGCTTTCATTAGAGCCTAGTCTCACATGGGTTGGACCAATCAACTTCAAGGACAGTGCATATATTATTGTGGTTAATGCAAACATGATTCCTTGTAAAAAAGGTTTCAGTTTTGTTGCCAGAAAAAAGGGTAAAAAAACATATTATTATATTTTGCTACTGGCAAAGGAGGCCTCATGATGAAGTAGCATCTCCAATTAACATGGTTGGCCATGTATGGTGGTAAAGAAGTCCAACACACACATATACGTACAGCTGGTTGGGCTGAACGCTGTGAGGTTTAACTCAACCACATCTGCCGTGTTCACAGAGAGCAAGACATCGTCATCGTCAGCCGAGAAGACTGACGACAAAAGCCGTGAGTGTCTCTGTTCTTTAGATTTGAAGCTTTCGTGACTGCAAGGATTCATATTCTTAGGTTTTTTCGGTAAAGTCACGTGGGTAAAAAAATTAAATGAGTCCTTTGTTATGCAGTCTATTCTTAGTCTTAAGCCTCACCTTACCATATTAATAAAAAGTGTGCCATTCCTGGCCCTTCCCCCCTCAACCATTATATATATACGGGGTGGTATTTCTTGTGATCTCTCATTTACTTGATACAGCTGTCGTGGCTGTGACGGTTCCACCTGAAGACGGAGGCTTGTGTTGCTTCCGAAACGTCGTGAATTTTTATTTTTATTTTACTTTTATTAATTCAAATTTTTACCTACGTGACTTTACCGAAAAAAACCTAAGAATATGTCTCTGTTCTCATAAAACCGTCGAAGCAGATATACCACACACAGAGTGGCTCTGTTGCTGCAGCAGAGGGTTATATGAAGCAGGAAGCAACAATGGCTTACAGCTGTGCCGATGAATCCCAAAAAGGGCATGAAATCTGGTGTTTATACAACAATCCCCCAATTGTCCTGCTATACTGCCGATGTGAATCTCTGCTCAAGTTGATTTTATACGACCGTTGTGAGAACGACTCAAGGAGAGATCAGGGATAGAGTATCCAGGAGTTAAGAAAAGCGCCTCCGGTTAGCGCGGTTGGCTACGTACGGTGCGAAAGAAGTTCAACATACACGCACTGGACGCTGCGAGGTTTAACTCCCCACGTGTGTCGTGTTCACAGAGAACAAGGCATCAACGTCAGCCGACAACGCGGATGACAAGAGCAGTGAGTGTCTCAGCCACTCTATATTACAACAACAGCAGCAGCAAGTGTTGACCCATCCTCCTCTAAGACCGGAACTAACAGGGGATGACCGTGGACTCGATGTGTAGTTTGATGACCTTCCCCGCACCTCCGATTAGCGCGATTGGCTATGTGCGGTGGTGGTGGGAAATAAGTTCTACATACTCACACACTTCTATACACTACACACTGCACTACACTATACACTACACACTGCACTACTACACACTACTATACACTACACTATACACTACTACACAGTACACTATACACTACACACTGCACTACTACACAGTACACTATACACTACTACACACTACTATACACTACACTATACACTACTACACACTACTATACACTACACAATACACTACTATACACTACACTATACACTACTATACACTACACTATACACTACTATACACTGCACTACTACACAGTACACTATACACTACTACACACTACTACACACTACACTACTACATACTATTATACACTACACTATTACAAACTACAATACACTCCACTATACACTACACTACTACATACTACTATACACTACACTACTACAAACTACAATACACTACATTGCTGTATACTACACTACTATACACTACACTATACACTACACTATCTGAACCGGTCCTGGTCCTCCCCTAGGTCGACTCAGCCTCAAATGAGTACCTGGTGTGGTGTGTAAACATCGCCACTGGGGAGACAAAGGCGGTCGGGCGTGGTGCTGGCCACCCACCCCCTCGTGTACCGTTCTGGCCTTCATAGGTGCTCGCTAACAGCACTTGCCCCTACAGTCTGTTAAGGCTATACGGGGGACTTTTGTGTGGACGTGTGTGTGTTGAACTTATTTTGCACCACCGTACGTAGCTAACCGTGCTGATCGGAGGTGCGGGGGGGGGGGACAACAAACTAAACGCACAACAAGAAGAAGAAATGAGTTATCAATGTAGAATAGTGTTGTAGTGTATAGTAGTGTAGTGTGTTGTAGTGTATAGCAGAGGTGTGGACTCGAGTCATGTGACTTGGACTCGAGTCAGACTCGAGTCATGAATTTGATGACTTCAGACTCGACTTGGACTTGCATAACAATGACTTTGTCCCACCTCTGAGGTGTGGACTCGAGTCATGTGACTTGGACTCGAGTCAGACTCGAGTCATGAATTTGATGACTTCAGACTCGACTTGGACTTGCATAACAATGACTTTGTCCCACCTCTGGTGTATAGTGTAGTGTATAACAGTGTATTGTATAGTAGTGTAGCGTATAGTAGTGTAGCGTATAGTAGTGTGTACTGTATAGTGTAGTGTACAGTGTATAGTAGTGTGGTGTATAGTAGCGTAGTGTATATTGTACGTTATATTAGTGTATAGTGTATAGCATTGTGGTGTATAGTAGTGTAGTGTATAGTAGTGTATAGTGTAATGTATAGTGTAGTGTATAGTGTATAGTAGTGTGTTGTATAGTAGTGTAGTGCATAGTAGTGTGTAGTGTATAGTAGTGTATAGTAGTGTGTAGTGTATAGTGTAGTGTGTAGTGTATAGTAGTGTAGTGTATAGTAGTGTAGTGTATAGTGTAGTGTATAGTGTAGGCATGTTGAACTTTTAACGTACCGTACATAACGAACTGTGCTAACGGGAGGTGCGCGTGTCGTGTTTACAGAGAGCAAGACCTCCTCACCATCGCCAGTGTCGTCATCATCGAAGGCTGAGAAAAAACCTGACCAGAGCCGTGAGTGTGCACGATAGCACATTCACGTCCACAGTGGCAGCGCGCGTGTGTAGCAATGTGTAGTGTATGGTGTAGTGTAATGTGTAGTGTATAGTGTAGTGTAGTGTCTGTGGTGAGTCTCTTTGTGTGGTGAGTCTCACTGTCTGAGTCTCCGTGTCCACCCCCACCACCTTCACCCCCCCACCTCCACCCCCCCACCACCTTCACCCCCCCCACCTCCACCCCCCCACCACCTCCCCAACCTCCACCCCCCCCTCCACCCCCCCCCACCACGTCCACCCCCACCCACCCGCCACCACCCCCACCCACCCCCACTCCCCCCACGCACGGCACAGGTGCTGAGGGTCCCGGCTGGTGCTCGCTGTACGGGATGGGGCAGGTGCGCACCTTCGACGGCTTCCACTTCGCCTTCTCCAGCGCCTGCAACTTCGAGATGGTGCGGAGACTACGCAGACAACGCAGACCACAGACACACAACACAGACTATAGACACACAACACAGACACACAACACAGACTACAGACACACAACACAGACACATAACACAGACTACAGACACACAACACAGACACAACACTGACTACAGACACAACACTGACTACAGACACAACACACACACTATACACTACACTACTATACACTACACTATACACTACACTACTATACACTACACTACTATACACTACACGACTATACACAACTATACACAACTGTACACACTACTATACACTACACTATACATGTCTCGGCCTCGCTGTGCACTGCGTTGCACCACTATATCCTCGCATTCAATAAACCTTCAGAGCCAGGGTGAACATCCGACTCCAAAAGTATTTAATGAATTGAACGAGGTAAAACTGATATAAAAACACAGCACAAATACAGCATATGTTAATACTTGGTGATATCAATACAATGAATGAACACTACAGCATCATAACAGTCTTAGATCACATGAAACTCAACAATAGATCCTGGATGGACCAGGCACCCACATTAGTACTGAATAGCTATACAAGAGAATAAGCTACTGTGTTAAGTAAGGGCACATCGTGTAATCACCATACTGCAGCCTAAATGTACAGCACTACACATAACACTGAACTATGAATGAGACATTTCGTCATCCTTGCTCTCAAGATCGCAATAAGGTTACATTGGTACGAGTCTGACTCGACTTATTTAATTACAAGTAACATTCACAATAATGCAAGTGGCAGGCTTCGTTGTTAACTAGGCCTCATATTTATCATAACAATTTAACAGCATTATAAAGGCATTTACAGCATTATAACGGTCATTCTAACATTATAACAGCATTCCCAGTATTATAAGAACATAAAAGAACTTACAGACAATGCTTAGTAACGTTCCACAATGAACAGATGCACTTGTCTTCACTGAGATGCCATTTGTGCCTCCATTTTGTACTCTGGGTAATGGCTGACACCCTGCCGCGTGGCTGAGAGGGAATCTTAAATCGTAACTTCCTGGTCACGTGACCAATCTCAGCATCAAAACAGAAAATTCCTGTGTACACACACCTCTACACCTGCCGTGAGGCAGAACAATACACTACTCATAACGTACAATATGCACTACAATACTATACACTACATACTGCACTATACACTACTATAACGTACAATATACACTACACACTACACTACTATACACTACACTATACACTACTTTGACGTACACTACACACTACACTATACACTACTCTATACACTGCACTATACACTACACTACTATACACTATGTGCTGCTACTCGCTACTAACAGCACTTGCCCCTGCCGTCTGCTGAGGCTACCCAGGGCTCCTTTGTCTCTGTATTGTGTATATGGGACCTCCCTTGCCTGTAAACAAGAATAGGGTTTGACCCCTTCTGGCCATGACACAACAGGAGGTTGTGTTCAGATGGTAAAACACCAAACTGAAAACTTTTGAAAGGAACAGCCTCACGTCCTCTTCCCCTAGCACTCACCCCCTCTCTCTCTCCTTTCTTACCTAATTAACCTCTTTCCACGGCAGCTTTCTCGCCGGCTTCAGCATTTACTCGCCGCGGTTGTCCCACCTGATGAAGATCGCTTGTGTTGCGATCGAAACGTCGTGATTTGGTTTATTTTATTTTATTTCTACCTACGTCACTTTACCCAAAGAGCCGAAGAGTATGAAGTGAAGGAACACGCTCTAGTAGTGTGTGATGATGCGTTGTCTTTGAAAGTGTTTTATCTCAGTGTACTCATGGTGGCATTGTCCTGGCACTGTTCACCGTCCATAAATGACGTCACGCAACTGGGGGGGGGGGGGGGTCAGACATTTGTGACGAGGGGGGGGGGGGGGGTGAGAAATGTGACGTCACATCAAAATGCACAACTTTAAATAAATATAGACAACACGTTCTACTTAATTAATTCGACTTTTAAATAAATGTTTTCCTCCTACAACATCAGAGTGCAGCGCCACATTAAATACGCACTACAATGACAATAGTTTAAAGCGATTTGAAGCATGTTTTATTTTCAAAAATGGAAATATGGTTTGGGGGGAGGGGCAGAGCTTTGTGACGTCATATTTTAGGGGAGTCTGACTTTTTATGACGTGTGACGAGGGGGGGGGGGGGTTAAAAAAGTCCAAAATCGCGTGACGTCATTTATGGACGGCCCCTAACGTCGTTTGAGACTGGGCTCTAAACAAAGCTGTCTCTGGTGTGGACCAACGAGTTTCAGGGACGATGCATCATCACAGACTAGCAGAGCGTGTTTTATGTTTGTGTAATGGGTACCTCTACAAGTGTCTCTGGTGTACGCTGATTCTTTTCTGCAATATTTTGCTGTCTTTTCTTGGATTTTCTGTTTGCACTCAGTCACATAGTCACTTTAAGATGTTTTTGTTCATGTTTTTGTTTTTTGTTTGTTGCGGTTGCACCCGATTCAAGAGCCGAAGGGCTCACAGGGCTATACCTAATCAATGAACTTGAACTTGAACAATCCAAATGGCGGCGACCCAACCGAAACACGGATACGCACGGTGCGAAGTGACTCGTGCCCCCTGTGCCCGACGTCACTTCCTGCGACGCCACCGCGTCACCAACTGCTCCTCTGCACGTGCTCAGGTGCGCACCAGCGACGCGAGCGAGGGGCACGTGGCGGTGCTGGCGCGGCGCTCTGCCGGGGGGCGCCTCGCCAGCGTGGAGCTGGCGGCAGCCGGGAGCCGCCTCCAGCTGCTGGGAGACGGTGCCATCGACGTCAACGACGAGCACAAGTACCCCCTAGCACCCCCTAGTACTCCCCTAGTACCCCCCTAGTACCCCCCTAGTACCCCCTAGCACCCCCCTAGTACCCCCTAGCACCCCCCTAGTACCCCCCTAGCACCCCCCTAGCACCCTCCTAGTACCCTCCTAGCACCCCCCTAGTACCCCTTAGCACCCCCCTAGTACCCCCCCTAGCACCCCCCTAGTACCCCCTAGCACCCCCCTAGTACCCCCCTAGCACCCCCCTAGCACCCCCCTAGTACCCCCCTAGCACCCCCCCTAGCACCACCCCTAGCACCCCCCTAGCACCCCCTAGCACCCCCCTAGTACCCCCCTAGCACCCCCCTAGCACCCCCCTAGTACCCCCTAGTACCCCCCTAGCACCCCCCTAGCACCCCCCTAGTACCCCCTAGCACCCCCCTAGCACCCCCCTAGCACCCCCCTAGTACCCCCCTAGCACCCCCTAGCACCCCCTAGCACCCCCCATAGCACCCCCTAGCACCCCCCTAGCACCCCCTAGCACCCCCCTAGTACCCCCCTAGCACCCCCCTAGTACCCCCCTAGCACCCCCCTAGTACCCCCTAGTACCCCCCTAGCACCCCTCTAGTACCCCCTAGCACCCCCCTAGCACCCCCTAGCACCCCCCTAGCAACCCCCTAGCACCCCCCCTAGCACCCCCTAGCACCCCCTAGCACCCCCCTAGTACCCCCCTAGCACCCCCTAGCACCCCCCTAGTACCCCCTAGTACCCCCCTAGTACCCCCCTAGCACCCCCCTAGCACCCCCCTAGTACTCCCCTAGCACCCCCCTAGCACCCCCCCTAGCACCCCCCTAGCACCCCCTAGTACCCCCCCTAGCACCCCCCTAGCACCCCCCTAGCACCCCCCTAGTACCCCCCCTAGCACCCCCCTAGTACCCCCCTAGTACCCCCCTAGTACCCCCCTAGTACCCCCCTAGCACCCCCCTAGTACCCCCTAGTACCCCCTAGCACCCCCCTAGTACCCCCCTAGTACCCCCCTAGCACCCCCCTAGTACCCCTAGCACCCCCCTAGCACCCCCCTAGCACCCCCCTAGTACCCCCCTAGCACCCCCCTAGTACCCCCTAGTACCCCCTAGCACCCCCCTAGTACCCCCCTAGCACCCCCCTAGCACCCCCCTAGTACCCCCCTAGCACCCCCCCTAGCACCCCCCTAGTACCCCCCTAGCACCCCCTAGCACCCCCCTAGTACCCCCCTAGCACCCCCCTAGCACCCCCCTAGTACCCCCCTAGTACCCCCCTAGCACCCCCTAGTACCCCCCTAGCACCCCCTAGCACCCCCCTAGCACCCCCCTAGTACCCCCCTAGCACCCCCCTAGCACCCCCCTAGCACCCCCCTAGCACCCCCCTAGTACCCTCCTAGCACCCCCCTAGTACCCCCTAGCACCCCCCTAGCACCCCCCTAGTACCCCCCTAGCACCCCTCTAGTACCCCCTAGCACCCCCCTAGCACCCCCTAGCACCCCCCTAGCACCCCCCCTAGCACCCCCCTAGCACCCCCCTAGTACCCCCCTAGCACCCCCTAGCACCCCCCTAGTACCCCCCTAGCACCCCCCTAGCACCCCCCCTAGTACCCCTTAGTACCCCCCTAGTACCCCCCTAGCACCCCCCTAGCACCCCCCTAGTACCCCCCTAGCACCCCCCTAGCACCCCCCTAGCACCCCCCTAGTACCCCCCTAGCACCCCCCTAGCACCCCCCTAGTACCCCCCCTAGCACCCCCCTAGCACCCCCCTAGCACCCCCCTAGTACCCCCCCTAGTACCCCCCTAGTACCCCCCTAGCACCCCCCTAGTACCCCCTAGTACCCCCTAGCACCCCCCTAGTACCCCCCTAGTACCCCCCTAGCACCCCCCTAGTACCCCCTAGCACCCCCCTAGCACCCCCCTAGTACCCCCCCTAGTACCCCCCTAGCACCCCCCTAGTACCCCCTAGTACCCCCTAGATACACCCCCTAGTACCCCCTAGTACCCCCCTAGCACCCCCCCTAGTACCCCCTAGTACCCCCCTAGTACCCCCTAGCACCCCCCTAGCACCCCCCTAGTACCCCCTAGATACACCCCCTAGTACCCCCTAGTACCCCCCTAGTACCCCCCTAGCACCCCCTAGCACCCACCTAGCACCCCTAGCACCCCTAGCACCCCCCTAGTACCCCCCTAATACCCCCCTAGCACCCCCCCTAGTACCCCCCTAGCACCCCCTAGCACCCCCCTAGTACCCCCCTAGTACCCCCCCTAGCACCCCCCTAGTACCCCCCTAGCACCCCCCTAGCAACCCCTAGTACCCCCCTAGCACCCCCCTAGCACCCCCCTAGTACCCCCCCTAGTACCCCTAAACACCGCCCTGACACCTTCACAACCTAGCCGCTACCCCCTAGGCAAGTGCCCCTACAGTCCTGCTGGAGGCTACCCGGGGGACCTTTGCCTGTGTCTGTGTGCAGCGTGACGCTGCCGTACGTGGGCGGCGCCGTGCAGGTGGAGCGGCAGGGACTGCAGCTCCGCGTCGCCTTGCGCTCGCTGGGGGTCACCGTCTACTGGGACGGGCAGGGCGCACTCAGGGTGACTCACTCAGTCACTCACTCAGTCAGAGAGTCACTCAGTCAGTCACTCAGTCAGTCACTCACTCAGTCACTCAGTCACTCAGATATTCACTCAGTCACTCACTCAGTCACTCACTCAGTCACTCAGAGAGTCACTCAGTCACTCAGTTACTCACTTAGAGGCTCACTCACTCAGTCACTCAGTCAATCACTCAGTCAGTCACTCACTCAGTCACTCAGTCACTCACTCAGTCACTCACTCAGTCACTCAGAGAGTCACTCAGTCACTCAGTTACTCACTTAGAGGCTCACTCACTCAGTCACTCAGTCAGTCACTCAGTCAGTCACTCAGTCACTCAGAGAGTCACTCGCTCACTCACTCAGAGAGTCACTCAGTCACTCACTCACTCAGTCACACACTCAGTCAGTCAGTCACTCACCCACTAACTCAGTCACTCACTCAGACACTCACTCACTCACTCAGAGACTCAGAGACTCACTCACTCACTCAGAGACTCACTCAGTCACTCACTCACTCAGAGACTCACTCACTCAGAGACTCACTCAGAGACTCACTCACTCAGAGACTCACTCACACAGAGACTCACTCAGAGACTCACTCACTCAGAGACTCACTCACTCAGAGACTCTCTCACTCAGTCAGTCACTCACTCACTCACTCAGTCACTCACTCAGTCACTCAGAGACTCACTCACTCCGAGACTCACTCAGAGACTTACTCACTCAGAGACTCACTCACTCAGTCACTCACTCAGTCACTCACTCACTCAGTGACTCACTCAGAGACTTACTCACTCAGAGACTCACTCACTCAGTGACTCACTCAGTCACTCACTCAGATAGTCACTCACTCATAGAGTCACTCACTCACAAACTCACTCTGGTTGTGGTGGTGGTGGTGGTTGTGGTGGTGGTGGTTGTGGTTGTGGTGGTGGTTGTTGTGGTGGTGGTTGTGGTTTTGGTGGTGGTGGTTGTGGTTGTGGTGGTGGTGGTGGTTGTGGTGGTTGTGGTTGTGGTGGTGTAGGTGGAGTTGGATGCCCGCTACCGCAGCAAGACGTCCGGACTCTGCGGAGACTTCAACGGTGTCGCCGAGTCCACAGATCTACTCCGAGGTGCTGGCACACACACACACGGTCACGTGACACACACACACACACACGGTCAGGTGACACACACACACACACGGTCACGTGACACACACACACACACACGGTCACGTGACACACACACACACGGTCACGTGACACACACACACACGGTCACGTGACACACACACACACGGACACGTGGCACACACACACACGGTCACGTGGCACACACACACACGGTCACGTGACACACACACACACGGTCACGTGACACACACACACACGGTCACGTGACACACACACACACGGTCACGTGGCACACACACACACGGTCACGTGGCACACACACAGTCAGTCACGTGACACACACACACACAGTCAGTCACGTGACACACACACACACGGTCACGTGACACACACACGCGGTCACGTGACACACACACACGCGGTCACGTGGCACACACACACGGTCACGTGACACACACACACGGTCACGTGGCACACACACACGGTCACGTGGGTCACACACACACGGTCACGTGGGTCACACACACACGGTCACGTGGCACACACACACGGTCACGTGACACACACACACGGTCACGTGACACACACACAGTCACGTGTCACTGATGGTGGTGGTGGTGCGCGTCTCTCCCTCCACAGAGGGGGGAGTGGGGCCCATGAGCGTCCACCAGCTGGTGAACGCGCACCGCGTGAACGACCCCGGTGAGCAGTGCCCCTTCATCACCGCCGCCAACGTCACCGCGGCCTGCCCACAGCGCGTGAGTAGCTAGCCAGGCAGCTGGGTGGCGGGGAGCAGTTGGGGAGCCGTGCTTGTGGGTCTCTGTGGGTCTCTGTGAGTATAGGTCTGTGTGGATCTCTGTGAGTCTCTGTGGGTCTCTGTGAGTGTGGGTCTCTGTGGGTCTCTATGAGTGTGGGTCTCTATGAGTAAGGGATTTCTATGAGTGTGGGTCTCTGTGGGTCTCTATGAGTGTGGGTCTCTGTGGGTCTCTATCAGTGTGGGTCTCTGTGGGTCTCTATGGGTATGGGTCATAAAGACCATCACCACCATCACCATCACCACCGTCACCATCCCAGACTGCGCTAACCCGAAACTCGTGTGCCATGCGTGTGTGTGGTGTGTGGTGTGTGTGTGTGGTGTGTGTGTGGTGTGTGTGTGTGGTGTGTGTGGTGTGTGTGTGGTGTGTGTGTGGTGTGTGTGGTGTGTGGTGTGTGTGGTGTGTGTGTGGTGTGGTGTGTGTGGTGTGTGTGTGTGTGGTGTGTGTGGTGTGTGTGTGGTGTGTGTGGTGTGTGTGTGTGTATGTGTGGTTTGTGTGTGGTGTGTGTGTGTGTGTGTGTGTGTGTGGTGTGTGTGGTGTGTGTGGTGTGTGTGGTGTGTGTGTGGTGTGGTGTGTGGTGTGTGTGGTGTGTGTGTGTGTGGTGTGTGTGGTGTGGTGTGTGGTGTGTGTGGGTGTGTGTGTGGTGTGGTGTGTGGTGTGTGGGTGTGTGTGGTGTGTGTGTGTGTGTGTGTGGTGTGGTGTGTGTGTGTGTGGTGTGTGTGGTGTGTGTGTGTGTGTGTGGTGTGTGTGTGGTGTGTGTGTGGTGTGTGTGGTGTGTGTGTGGTGTGTGGTGTGTGTGGTGTGTGTGGTGTGTGGTGTGTGTGGTGTGTGGTGTGGTGTGGTGGTGTGTGGTGTGTGTGTGTGGTGTGTGGTGTGTGGTGTGTGTGTGGTGTGTGTGTGTGGTGGTGTGTGTGTGTGTGTGGTGTGTGTGGTGTGTGTGTGTGGTGTGTGTGGTGTGTGTGTGTGTGTGGTGTGTGTGTGGTGTGTGGTGTGTGGTGTGTGTGTGGTGTGGGTGTGTGTGTGGTGTGTGTGTGTGGTGTGTGTGTGGTGTGTGTGTGTGGTGTGTGTGTGGTGTGTGTGGTGTGTGTGGTGTGTGTGGTGTGTGTGGTGTGTGTGGTGTGTGTGTGGTGTGTGTGGTGTGTGTGTGTGTGTGTGGTGTGTGTGTGTGGTGTGTGTGGTGTGTGGTGTGTGGTGTGGTGTGTGTGGTGTGTGTGTGTGTGGTGTGTGTGGTGTGTGTGTGTGGTGTGTGGTGTGTGGTGTGTGTGTGGTGTGTATGGTGTGTGTAGGAGGGGCTGTGCCGATCTCTGCTGCGCTCCGTGCTTGGTCGCGGCGCTGGCGATGACTCCACCACCACCACCAGCTCCACGCTGCTGCTGGAGCTGGTGGAGCCGTTCGTGGCGGGCTGTGCGGGCGAGCTGTGCGCCTGCTCCACCTCCTCCTCGTCCACCTCCTCGTCCACCTCGTCGTCGTCCTCCTCGCGGCCCTCGGCGTGCTCCCCGTGCTCGTCGCTGCGCGCACTCTCACAGGCGCTCGTCATCGCCGGGGGGCGCCCAGCCGAGTGGAGGAGCCCCTCGCTCTGCCGTGAGACACTCGCAACTCATCCTCCTCCACCTCCTCCTCCTGCTGCTGCTGATGCAGCTCCTGCTGCTGCTGTTGCTGCTGCTGGTGATGCAGCTCCTGCTGCTGCTGTTGCTGCTGTTGATGCAGCTCCTGCTGCTGCTGTTGCTGCTGGTGATGCAGCTCCTGCTGCTGCTGTTGCTGCTGTTGATGCAGCTCCTGCTGCTGCTGATGCTGCTGGTGATGCAGCTCCTGCTGCTGCTGTTGCTGCTGTTGATGCAGCTCCTGCTGCTGCTGCTGATGCAGCTCCTGCTGCTGCTGCTGCTGGTGATGCAGCTCCTGCTGCTGCTGATGCTGCTGGTGATGCAGCTCCTGCTGCTGCTGTTGCTGCTGTTGATGCAGCTCCTGCTGCTGCTGCTGATGCAGCTCCTGCTGCTGCTGCTGCTAGTGATGCAGCTCCTGCTGCTGCTGTTGCTGCTGTTGATGCAGCTCCTGTTGCTGCTGTTGCTGCTGCTCCACCTCCTGCTGCTGCTGCTCCTGCTGCTGCTGCTGCTCCTCCTCCTGCTGCTGCTGCTGCAGCCCCGACAGCCCGGTTGAAGGCTACCTGGGACACCTTTACCTGTGTGCGTGTCTCTCTCTTGCCCCGCCTGGTGGAGTCCTCTCTGCTCAAGGCTACCTGGGACACCTTTACCTTTACCTGTGCGCGCGTGTCTCTCTCTTGCCCCACCTGGCCGCATCTTCTCTGCTCAAGGCTACCTGGGACACCTTTACCTTTACCTGTGTGCGCATGTCTCTGTCCCACACAGCGGCCCCACGCTGCCCAGCTGGCCGCGTCTTCTCTGAGTGCGGCTCGGCCTGCCCCCCAACCTGCAGGGACCCGGGCAGCGACGCCGCCTGCAGCTCGCGATGCACCTACGGCTGCTTCTGCCCCAACGGTCGGTGGTGTGAACGTCGTGTGAACGTCGTGTTGTCAACGTTGGAGTGTGAACGTCGTGGTGTTAACGTTGGAGTGTGAACGTCGTGTGAACGTCGTGGTGTCAACGTTGGAGTGTGAACGTCGTGTGAACGTCGTGGTGTCAACGTCGTGTGAACGTTGTGGAGTGTGACGTCGTGTGAACGTCGTGGTGTCAACGTCGTGTGAACGTCGTGGTGTCAACGTTGGAGTGTCAACGTTGGAGTGTGGACGTCGTGGTGGAACGTCGTGTGGACGTTGTGGTCGAACGTCGTGTGAACGTCGTGTGAACGTCGTGGTGTGAACGTCGTGGTGTGAATGTCGTGGTGTGAAGGTCGTGTGAAGGTCGTGGTGTGAACGTCGTGGTGTCAACGTTGGAGTGTGGACGTCGTGGTGGAACGTCGTGTGGACGTTGTGGTCGAACGTCGTGTGAACGTTGTGGTGTGGTCTGAACGTCGTGGTGTCAACGACGTGGTGGTGTGTACCGTTGCGGTGTGAACGTCGTGTTGTGAACGTCGTGGTGTGGTGTGGTGTGACGTAGTGTGAACGTCGTGGTGTCAACGTTGGAGTGTGAACGTTGTGGTCTAAACGTTGTGTGAACGTTATGGTGGGGTGAACGTCGCGGTGTTTGAAACGTTGTTGCGTGAACAGTGGGATGTGAACGTTGTGGTGGGGTAAACGTTGTGTGAACGTTGTGGTGTGAACGTTGTGTGAACGTCGTGGTGTCAACGACGTGGTGGGGTGAACCGTTGCAGTGTGGACGTTGCGGTATGAACGTTGTGGTGGAACGTTGTGTGAACGTTTTGGTGTGAACCATGGGCAGGCCCGGGTAAAACTACGTGGCCGGGAGTCGGAGCCTTTCCCTGTACACCTTTGGGTGCGACAGGGATGTCCTCTGGCTCACACATTATTTAACATCTATTTTGACCGCGTAGTTCGTGAAGCCTTCAATAGCTGTACCGGGGGAATTTCCATTTGGTACAGATATAATGGGAGGCTGATCGATGCCCGGGTGCGATCAAGGGATGGCTCCCTATTGGTCAACCACGTTATGTATGCCGATGATTTGGTAATAGCTGCTCATTCAGAAGAGGAGTTGGAGACGCTGCTGCTGAGACTGGAGCGTGCCACTAAAAGGTGAGGCCTTACCATCAGCCCCACCAAAACTAAGCACCTGCCTGGGTATTTTGTACAATCGGACACTCCACCCCCACAACTCCCAATTGGTGATGGGGCAGTTGTGGAGAGAGTGGAGAGTTTCACATACCTGGGCAGTGTGCTTATGACCGGCTCCAGTTTATCAGCAGAGGTCTCACTCCGAATCAGTCGAGCGGCAATATTTTTTCATCGGTTGCGTAACGCTGTGTGGAAGCTACCTGGTCTGTCACTCCGCACGAAGCTTCAGGTCTTCTCGGCCACGGTCATTCCCTCCCTTCTCTACGCTTGCGAAACGTGGACCCCCCTAGTGGAGCATCTTCGCCGGTTGGAAACATTTAGGCTGGCCTGCCTACGATCCATCCTGGGTTTAACCAGGCTGGATTGTGTGAGGAGCTCACAAGTCCTTGAAAGATCTGGGCAAAGTCCCATCAGTGAGCTCCTCCAGCAGGCAAGGCTACGTTAGCTGGGTCATGTAGCCCGCATGCCCAGCCACCGCATGCCTAAACAGCTTTTGTCGGCCGGATCGAGGGGGCTAAACGGGCGCGGCACGGGCTAGAGAAGAGATGGAGTGATGTGATACAGGAGGACGTGGAGCTGAGTGGACTTGCCGATGACTGGTACCAGCAGTGTCAAGATCGGCCTCAGTGGAGGAGGCTCGTGAAGGACGCTACTGGGCAGTTGGAGGCAGTTGCCCTCCAACAACAACGGAGGGCGGAGGAGCGACGCTCACAACAACGAGCGGAGCGCCGGGTGGCTAAAGCACAGCAAGTTGGTACAGTAGGGGGCACAGGTGGTGCATCAGCCAGTCATCTCGGTCATCTCGGTCAGTCGATCCGTGGCACCTGGGTCTGCCCCGTGACCTCCTGCCAGCGGGCGTTCGACACTTCACGTGGCCTCAAGGTGCACTTGGCCTGGCACAAGCATCGTGGTGACGTCACCGCCACTTAGTGGCGATTGGCGGTTGTTGTTGTTGTTGTCTATATGTATGTGTGTCTATGTGTGTGTGTGTCTATGTGTGTGTGTGTCTATGTCTCTATGTGTCTATGTGTGTGTGTCTATGTGTCTCTGTGTCTATGTGTGTGTCTATATGTCTATGTGTCTATGTATGTGTATGTGTCTATGTCTATGTGTGGGTCTCTGTGTGTCTAGGCACGGTAGTGGACGATGTTTCCCCGTCTGGTCGCTGCGTGCCGCTGTCCAACTGCTCGTGCGAGTTCAACGGCAAAGTGTACCGCGCCGGAGCGGTGCGCACCTCACCCTGCCGCAAATGGTGAGGACTCGCTCACCACTCACTCACCACTCACTCACCACTCAGTCAGTCACTCACCCACTCACTCAGTCAGTCAGTCAGTCACTCACCACTCACTCACAACTCACTCACAACTCCCTCACCACTCACACTCACCACTCACTCACACTTACTCACCACTCACTCACCACTCACTCACAACTCACTCACCACTCACTCACCACTCACTCACACTCACTCACCACTCACTCACCACTCACTCACCACTCACCACTCACTCACTCACCACTCACTCACCACTCACTCACCACTCAGTCACTCACTCACTCACTCACCACTCACACTCACTCACCACTCACTTACTCAGTCACTCACTCACTCACTCACCACTCACACTCATTCACAACTCACTCACCACTCACTCACCACTCACTCACCACTCACTCACAACTCACTCGCCACTCACTCACTCACCCACCCACTCACTCACTCACTCAGTCAGTCACCCACTCACTCACAACTCACTCATAACTCACTAGCCACTCACTCACTCACCCACTCACTCACTCACTCAGTCAGTCAGTCAGTCACCCACTCACTCACAACTCACTCACAACTCACTTAACACTCACTCACCACTCACAACTCACTCACCACTCATTCACCACTTACTCACCACTCACTCACCCACTCACTCACTCAGTCAGTCAGTCAGTCACTCACTCACCACTCACTCACCACTCACTCACCACTCACTCACACAAAGTGTACCTGGCCGGCGAGATGCGCTCATCACCCTGCCGCTCACCACTCACTTACCACTCACCTCACCCTCATCACTTACTTCACCCTCACCACTAACTCACCTCACCCTCATCACTCGCTCACCTCACCCTCATTACTCAATCACCTCACCCTCACTACTCACTCCTCTCACCCTCACCACTCACTCACTCACCACACTCACTCACCTCACCTTCACAACTCACTTACCACTCACTCCCCTCACCCTCACCACTCACTCACCGTCCACAACTGTGTTTGTCTGCTGCTATACATGTTCCACGTAATGATGATGATGCCGATGATGATGTCAGCCACTCGGCTGAGCTGCTGTCGTTAGTGAGAAGCCACGTGGTGGTGGAGGTGGTGGTGGTGGTGATGGAGGTGGTGGTGGAGGTGGTGGTGGTGGTTAGTGAGAAGCCACGTGGTGGTGGAGGTGGTGGTGATGGAGGTGGTGGTGGAGGTGGTGGTGGTGGTTAGTGAGAAGCCACGTGGTGGTGGAGGTGGTGGTGATGGAGGTGGTGGTGGAGGTGGTGGTGGTGGTTAGTGAGAAGCCACGTGGTGGTGGAGGTGGTGGTGATGGAGGTGGTGGTGGAGGTGGTGGTGGTGGTGGTGGAGGTGGTGGTGGTGGAGGTGGTGGTGGTGGTGGAGGTGGTGGTGGTGGTGGAAGTGGTGGTGGTGGTGGAGGTGGTGGTGGTGGTGGAGGTGGTGGTGGTGGTGGTGGAGGTGGTGGTGGTGATGGAGGTGGTGGTGGTGGAGGTGGTGGAGGTGGTGGTGGTGGTGGTGGTGGTGGAGGTGGTGGTGGTGGTGGAGGTGGAGGTGGTGGTGGAGGTGGTGGTGGTGGAGGTGGTGGTGGTGGAGGTGGTGGTGGTGGAGGTGGTGGTGGTGGTGGAGGTGGTGGTAGTGGTGGAGGTGGTGGTGGTGGAGGTGGTGGTGGTGGTGGTGGAGGTGGTGGAGGTGGTGGAGGAGGAGGCTCGTCTGGAGCTTCACACCTCAGTGGGGCCTTACCTCGTAGCTCGTAGTTCAGTGTTTAGTTTAGTATAGAGGTTTAGATTGTAGTTTAGATTGAATTTTAGTGTTTAGTTTAGTATAGAGGTTTAGATTGTATTTTAGTGTTTAGTTTAGTGTATAGTTTAGTATAGAGGTTGAGATTGTAGTTTAGATTGTAGTTTAGTGTTTAGTTTAGTATAGAGGTTTAGATTGTAGTTTAGATTGTAGTTTGTGGGGGCCGTTGGCCCCCGGGGTCTCCCCCGCCTGCATCCCCTATTCTGTTTACGTTACCCCACCACCCTAATACCCGCTCGGGTTTCGCCGGCCTTCGAACGCGACGCCCCTACTGTTACAGCCTCGCGCCGCGCTCCCACGCTGCAAGCATACGTGCGCACAGCATCATCAATCAAACGCCATACTCCCCCTCTTTACACCGCTACGTACAGCTCTCGCACGCGGCGAGCGTGTGCCCGTCTATAGCCCTGTGCGGCACTCGCCTCCACGTCGAATAACCACGTGACCAATGCGCACCCGTATCCGACACGTAACGAACGTATGCGCACTCACGCACACAGCTCCCCGCGGTACTCACTCACCACTGAATACTCGCGTTATGATCGCGCACTTGTATCACACACGTAGTGAACGCACGCGCACACACGCAGCTCCGCGCAGCGATACCCACTCTCGCGCCGCTCTGCGCAGTGCTCCCACGAGGCGAGCCGCTGTATACGCAGCACTACACGCGTTCACACTGCTCAGCGAGATCACACGAGGCCACGATTAGCTATTAATGATTTATTGTTTGCTACCTGGAACGGGTTGTTGAGTCAGTATGATTCGACGAGGCTGGCCTATTATACTACCCCTGGACCTATTCCCTATTTATCGGCTATAATCCTAATTCACCTTCTTACTCACGGTTCGAAGTATTCGGCGTCCTCTGGCTTTTCCTCGATGCTCGTCTGGACACGTCGCACGGACGTCCGGAGGGCAGAGCTGGGAGCCGACTTGCACGCGGGCCTCTTGAAGCGAAGTGAGATCTCTCTACCTCGCTACACTCCCTTTTATCCTAATTCCCGGACTCAGGCCCCCCCCCCCCCCCTTCCCTCATACTCTTCGCTCCTCCTATTGCCATGTGTGGGGCATGTGCTGTTCAATCGCTTTCTTATGCAGGGTGCCTTAGTTATGCACATTATGCGGCGGTGTCCATCACAAAGGCTCGTCGTCAGATGCGCTGCGTGTGTGGCGTGTGTGTGTGGTGCGTTTCACTCGCGGTGGCCGAATGGCCCCTCGCTGCGACCTTGCAATCTTAATGCCGGTCGCAGCACCGCGCAGTAGCATCGGGGGAGGTCGTCCAATTCCCTGGTCACCGGAAACCGTGAAAGTTATCCCGATAAGGGTTTCTCGGATTAAAACCGGTCGGCCAGGTGACCTCCCCTCGGAGCTCTATGGGGGGGGGGGGGGATGCGTGCGGGTGTGTTCATGTGAGGTGAGGTGAGGGGGACACGGGGTCGGCTCCGTCGCTTGGTGGTGGCGAGGTCGCAGATGGGGCGCCTGCTGTGAACGGCTTCGTGGCGGCGGCATCGCAAGTTCAGTGTTTAGTTTAGTATAGAGGTTTAGATTGTAGTTTAGATTGTAGTTTAGTGTTTAGTTTAGTGTATAGTTTAGATTGTAATTTAGATTGTAGTTTAGTGTTTAGTTTAGTGTATAGTTTAGATCAGGGGTCGGCAACCAAAATAACAAGAAGAGCCATTTCTTTCCAATTCAGTACAAAATTCAGTATTTCAAGAGCCGCAATGCATCTGAGTACATTACTGTACATACGTACATATCGTCAAGAAGCAGCCCGTAAAGAGCCGCATGCGGCTCCGGAGCCGTAGGTTGCCGACCCCTGGTTTAGATTGTAGTTTAGTGTTTAGTTTAGTGTATAGTTTAGATTGTAGTTTAGATTGTAGTTTAGTGTTTAGTTTAGTGTATAGTTTAGATTGTAGTTTTGTATATAGTTTAGTGTATAGTTTAGTGCAGGGGTCCTCAAACTACGGCCCGCGGGCCACATGCGGCCCGCCGAGGACATTTATCCGGCCCATGGTCACTAATTGGGCTGCGCTGGTGAGCACTAATTGGGCTGCGCTGGTGAGCACTCATTGGGCTGCGGCGGTGGGCACTGATTGAGCTGCGGTGGCGAGCACTGATTGGGCTGCGCTGGTGAGCACTGATTGAGCTGCGGCGGTGGGCACTCATTGGGCTGCGCTGGTGAATGGTTCAATGGGCCAATTGACTGGACTTGCCCCCCAGGCCTAAGGCTGCCAGCCCTCCCCTGGTTCCGCTTGACTGGCTCTCCCTCCCTCAGCTCCCTCATTTGCCCCTCGGCTCCACTCCCAGTGATATTCCTGTGTGCTGGGGATGGACTGCGATCTGTGAGCAAAACTGCAGGTGTAATTAACTTTTTAATGGCACCCGCACCAGTGTGAGCCCGGGGTAAAAGCGGAGTTCCCCCAATCAGACTGCATTGATGGGCAGTGCAGTCTGTATGTCTCTGTGTGGGCAAAGTTATTGCTGGTATATTGTTTTTGTAGCGCTGTACATATATATTGGTATTTTACTAATAGCAATTTTGACTCCCTAGGAAACTGATGTCAAGAAAGAGAAAAATTGACTCGGAGTGTAGGATATTCAAAGAACAGTGGACTTATGATTACTTTTTCATGCAGTACAAGGAAAGAGCTGTGTGTCTGATATGCCAGAATATAGTTTCTGTGTTCAAATAATACAATTTACATCGACACTATGAAACTCAACATAAAGATAAATATGATTGTTTGGTCGGAGAAGTGAGAAAAGATAAAATATTAAAACTGAAAAATATATTAACAACTCGGCAAAATACTTTTGTGAAGCAGAAGCAGCTAAATATTTCATCACTGCGAGCAAGTTTTCAAGTTGCCAAGCTAATAGCGTGCACTGGCAGACCATTTGTGGAGGGAGAATTTGTTAAAGAATGCCTTCTTTCTGTTGCCAAAGAGATGTGTCCAGAGAAGGCCGATTTATTTAGTACAGCGAGTCTTTCAGGACCTACAATTACACGGAGGATTGAAGAAATGGGAGACAACTTGCATCAGCATTTGCAAAACTCCACAAAAAAAACTTTCCTATTTTTCCTTGGCACTCGACAAAAGCAATGATGTTCGTGATTCTGCAAAACTTCTAATTTTTATTCGTGGGATGAATGACTATTTCGAAGTCACAGAAGAGCTTGCTGCACTGCAAAGCATCAAAGGAACAACTACAGGAGAGGATATCTATGAAAAAGTTTGCCAAACTGTGAATGGTTTGGAGCTGAATTGGGCTAAACTAGCCAGTGTGACAACTGATGGTGCTCCTAGCATGGTGGGGTCTAAGAAAGGAGTAATTGCTCGCATTAACCAAGAGATGGACAAACATAACCATTCTCATCCAATAGCCATACACTGCCTCATCCACCAACAAGCGCTGTGTAGTAAATCACTGAAGTGGAACTCTGTTATGAAAATTGTGGTATCTTGTGTTAACTTCATTAGAGCTCATGCACTAAACCACAGACAATTTCAGGAATTTCTGTCTGAACTAAATGTTGACTATGAAGATGTTCTGTACCACACAGAAGTCCGTTGGCTGAGTCGAGGGAGAGTTTTGAAACGTTTCTATGACTTCCACAGATTACAGCTTTTCTGCTTTCAAAAAACAAAGAAGTACCAGAGCTCAATGATGCAGAATGGAAATGGCACCTTGCCTTTCTGACAGATGTAACAGAGCTACTCAACAGTTTCAATGTGCAACTTCAAGGAAAGGGGAAGCTCCTCTGTGATATGTAATCACATGTCAAAGCATTTGAAGTAAAATTAGGCCTCCTCATCAAACAAGTTAAGGAGGAAAACTTCTGCCATCTCCCCACAACTCAAAATCTGTTAGCGGAAAAACCATTGGTTGCAATTCCCAAACAAAACATGTGTGGATTCACTGGGAAAATTGCAAAAGGAGTTCCAATTTAGATTTAAAGAGCTTCATCTCCATGAACAGGACATACAGCTTTTCCGTAACTCATTTTCTATTGACATTGAAAATGTGGATACAATTTACCAAATGGAACTGGCTGAACTGCAGAATTGTGACTCTCTGAAAGACGCATTCAAGTCAAGCAGCCTTCATAATTTCTATGCATTTCTCCCCTCTGAGACATATCCTCATCTCAGGAACCATGCACTCAAACTGGCAACCATCTTTGGCAGCACTTATGTCTGTGAACAGACTTTTTCCAGAATGAAACATTTGAAATCTCCAACCAGATCTAGACTAACGGATGCACACTTGCATCACTTGTTACGACTAGCAGTGACAAATATGGAACCGGACATTGACCATCTCATTAGCCAAAAGCAGGCCCATAGTTCCCATTGAAATACTGGCAAGTTTGTTGATTTAACTTTACTTATTCTTCATTTTAAATATTGTATTTGTTCCCGTTTTGTTTCTTCACTTCAAAATAAGATATATGCAGTGTGCATAGGAATTTGTTCATAGTTTTTTTAACTATAGTCCGGCCCTCCAACGGTCTGAGGGACAGTGAACTGGCCCCCTGTTTAAAAAGTTTGAGGACCCCTGGTTTAGTGTATAGTTTATTTCATGGTTTTGTATATAGTTTAGTCTAGTATACCATTAATAGTTTAGTAGTTTATAGTTTAGTATGTAGTTTATGGTTTGGTATTTCGTTCATAGTTTGGTACGTAGTTTATATTTCGATTTAAAGCTTTTGTGACTGCAGGGATTCATATTATTGGATCTTTCGGTAAAGTCACGTAGAAGGGAAATACTAAAATAATAAAAATAAAACATAATAAAATACAATACAAATATTTCCCTTCTATGTGACTTTACCGAAAGAACCAAGAAGATGTAGTTTGTATTTTAGTTTATTGTTTAGCTTCTAGTTTAGTATACAGCTTAGTTTAGTATTTAGTTTAGTATGCAGTTGATAGTTTAGATGATACTTTAGTATATAGTTGATAGTTTAGCATATCGTTTAAAGTTTAGTATATCGTTTAAGTTTAGTTTATAATTTGACCTCTCCCTGACCTTTTATTTTTCGATTTAAAGCTTTCGTGACTGCAGGGATTCATTTTCTTGGTTCTTTCGGTAAAGTCACGTAGAAGGGAAACAATAAAAATTCTAAAATAAAACATAAAATAATTCTCACGACGTTTCGGCCACAACGCAAGCAGCCGTCATCAGGTGAAGACCAGGTCTGTCGGAGACAGCTTGGTGCTGTTTCAATCAGACGCTGTCTCCCCGACAGACCTGTCTTCACCTGAGGACGTCTGCTTGCGTTGTGGCCGAAACGTCGTGAGAATTATTTTATGATGTTTTATTTTTATTATTTTATTATTTCCATTTTACGTGACTTTACCGAAAGAACCAAGAAGAGTTTAGCATATAGTTTATAATTTAACATATCGTTTAAAGTTAAGTTTATAATTTGACCTCTCCCTGACCTTTAACACAATCCGAGATGTACCGGAGCGGTGAAGTATGGCGCTAACCCCCCCTCCCGCCCGTGCCCAGTGCGTGTGAGCGAGGCCATTGGAGCTGTACAGAGCGGCCATGTGCAGCCACGTGCGTGGTGGACGGGGGATCCCACGTGACCACCTTCGACCAGGCCGAGTTCCGCTTCCACGCAGCATGCCGCTACCTCCTGCTGCAGGTACAGGGGCTCGCTCAGTCACTCGGTCACTCAGTCATTGACTCACTCAGTCATTGACTCACTCAGTCACTCAGTCACTCAGTCACACAGTCACTTAGTCACTCAGTCACACGGTCACTCAGTCATTCAGTCACTCACTCACTCAGTCACACAGTCATACAGTCACTCAGTCACTCAGTCACACAGTCACTCACTCAGTCACACGGTCACTCACACAGTCACTCAGTCACTCACTCACTCAGTCACACAGTCACTCAGTCACTCACTCAGTCACTCAGTCACATGGGCACACAGTCACTCACTAACTCAGTCACTCAGTCACACAGTCACACAGTCACACAGTCACTCACACAGTCACTCAGTCACTCAGTCACTCACTCACACAGTCACTCAATCACACAGTCACTCACTCACACAGTCACACAGTCACACAGTCACTCAGTCACTCACTCACACAGTCACTCAGTCACTCACTCAGTCACACAGTCATTGACTCACACAGTCACCCATTCACACAGTCACTCAGTCACACAGTCACTCAGTCACACAGTCACTCACTCACACAGTCACTCACTCACTCACACAGCCACTCAGTCACTCACTCACACAGTCACTCAGTTACACAGTCACTCAGTCACTCACTCACACAGTCACTCAGTTACACAGTCACTCAGTCACTCACTCACACAGTCACTCAGTTATACAGTCACTCAGTCACTCACTCACACAGTCACTCACTCATACAGTCACTCACACAGTCACACAGTCACACAGTCACTCACTCATTCACACAGTCACTCACTCACACGGTCACTCAGTCACTCACTCACACAGTCACTCAGTCACCCACTCACACAGTCCCTCACACAGTCACTCACTCACACAGTTACTCACTCACTCACACGGTCACTCAGTCACTCACTCACACAGTCACTCAGTCACTCACTCACACAGTCACTCACTCACACAGTCACACAGTCACTCAGTCACACAGTCACTCACTCACACAGTCACACAGTCACTCAGTCACACAGTCACTCACACAGTCACTCACACAGTCACTGACTCACACAGTCACACAGTCACTGATTCACACAGTCACACAGTCACACAGTCACTGACTCACACAGTCACTGACTCACACAGTCACTCAGTCACTGACTCACACACTCACACGGTCACTAACTCACCCCGTCACTCACCCAGGCAGGAAACTGGTCCCTGGTTGGCTCCTTCACTCAGTGCGGAGCCACGGAGTCAGAGACCTGCCTCGACTCCATCCTCACCACCAACGGAAAGGTACCCTCACCACCACGCTCACCAACAACAACCGCCATTCACCACTAAGTGGCGGTGACGTCACCACGACGCCTGTGCCAGGCTATGTGCACCTTAAGGCCACGTGAAGTGTCGAACGCCCGCTGGCAAGAGGTCACGGGGCAGACCCAGCAGGTGCCACTGGTTGACTGACTGAGATGACCGAGAAGACTGGCTGATGCATCACCTGTGCCCCCTATTGTGTCAACTTGCTGTGCTTTAGCCACCCGGCGCTCCGCTCGTTGTTGTGAGCGTCGCTCCTCCACCCTCTGTTGTTGTTGGAGGGCGACTGCCTCCAACTGCCCAGTAGCGTCCTTCACGAGCCTCCTTCACAGAGGCCAATCTTGACACCGCTGGTACCAGTCATCGGCAAGTCCACTCAGCTCCACGTCCTCCTGTACCACATCACTCCATCTCTTCTCTAGCCCATGCCGTGCCCGTTTAGCCCCAATGATCCGGCCGAACAAAAGCTGTTTAGGCATGCGGTGGCTGGGCATGCGGGCTACATGACCCAGCCAACGCAGCCTTGCCTGCCGGAGGAGCTCACCGATGGGACTGTGTCCAGATCTTTCAAGGATTTGTTAGCTCCTCAAACAATCTCCACAACTGCCCCCATCACCAATTTGGAGTTTTGGGGGGTGGAGTGTCCGATGGTACAAAATACTCAGGCAAGGTGCTTAGTTTTGGTGGGGCTGATGGTAAAGCCCCACCTCTTGGTGGCAAGCTCCAGTCTCAGCAGCAGCCCCTCCAACTCCTCCTCACGATCCCCTCCCCCCCTCCCTCTTCTCTCTCCACTGCTGGATGAAGGAGTATATCGAATTCTTCAGCGCGAGCGTCGTGAACCAGGGCGAGGACCTCCTGCCCCTGCCCTACATCACAGGTAACAGAGGCAAAGCTCCCCCCAGGTAGCCTCCCGCACGCTGGTGGGGCAAGTGCTTGCTTCAGCAGCAGGTTTCGTGATCACACACACACAGAGAGGTATAAAGATCCCCCGTGTAGCCTTAACAGACTGTAGGGGCAAGTGCTGTTAGCGAGCAGTGCATATGAAGGCCGGAACGGCACACGAGGGGGTGGGTGGCCAGCACCACGCCTGGCCGCCATTGTCTCCCCAGTGGCGATGTTCACTATACACCGCTGCACCAGGAACCCATTTGAGGCTGAGTCGACCTAGGGGAGGCCCAGGACCGGTTCAGATAATCATCACCGCTGGTGTTGGCCGTGAGCGGGAATCGAACCCGGGTCGCTGGGTTAGTAGCGCAGCGTAGCGTTAACCGCTGAGCCACTGCTCCACACACACTCACACACAGGTACCCACACACAGGTACACACACACAGGTACACACACACACAGGTACACACACACAGGTACACAGATACACACATACACACACAGGTACACACACACAGATACACACACACACGTACACACACACACACAGGTACACACACACAAAGGTACACACATACAGGTACACCCACACACATACACACACACAGGTACACACATACACACACAGGTACACGCACACACACAGATACACACATACACACACAGGTACACACACACACACAGGTACACACACACACACAGGTACACACACACACACAAAGGTACACACACACAGGTACACCCACACAGATACACACACACACAGGTACACACATGAACAACAACAACCGCCATTCACCACTAAGCGTCACTATGGAGCTTGTGCCAGGCTAGGTGCAGCAGGAGGAGGTCACTGGACAGACCCTGTAGGTGCCATTGGTTGACTGCTGTGCCAGGCTAGGTGCAGGAGGAGGAGGTCACGGGACAATCCCAGCAGGTGCCATGGGTTGACTGCTGTGCCAGGCTAGGTGCAGGAGGAGATGACTGCCAGATACACCACCAGCTGTTTCCCCGACTGTGCCAACTTGCTGCGGTTTTACCCGCCCGGCGCTCCGCTCGTTGTTGTGAGCAGCGTCGCTCCTCTGCCCCTCCGCTGTTATTATTGGAGCAGCGACATCCACCCATTGCCCAGTAGCCTCACGGTGCACCTAGCCTGGCACAGCAGTCAACCCATGGCACCTGCTGGGTCTGTCCCGTGACCTCCTCCTGCACCTAACCTGGCACTGCCCAGCAACAGCAGCAGCAGCGTCCTTCACGAGCAGATGACGTCACCACGACGCTTGTGCCAGGCCAAGTGCACCTTGAGGCCACGTGAAGTGTCGAACGCCCGCTGGCAGGAGGTCACGGGGCAGACCCAGCAGGTGCCAGGGGTCGACTGACTGAGATGACCGAGATGAGTGGCTGATGCACCACCTGTGCCCCCTACTGTACCAACTTGCTGTGCTTTATCCACCCGGCGCTCCGCTCGTTGTTGTGAGCGTCGCTCCTCCGCCCTCCGTTGTTGTTGGAGGACGACTGCCTCCAACTGCCCAGTAGCGTCCTTCACGAGCCTCCTCCACAGAGGCCGATATTGACACCGCTGGTACCAGTCATCGGCAAGTCCACTCAGCTCTGACCCACCCACGCCGCAGCCCTGGACTGCAATCATTTCAGGCTGAGTCGACCTAGGGGGGAGGGGGTTCAGATGTTAGCTGGCATCGGTCGCGAGCGGGAGTCGAACTCGTGGAGGGCGAGAGACGTTCTAAAAGAACTCTCTCATGTCCGTGTCTCTCACTGTGCATCCCTGCGTGTCCCCGCGTCTCCCCATGTCTCCCCGCGTCTCCCTGTGTCTCCCCGCGTCTCCCCCGTGTCTCCCCGTGTCTCCCTGCTTCTCCCCGTGTCTCTCCGTGTCTCCCCGCGTCTCCCCGTGTCTCCCTGCTTCTCCCCGTGTCTCTCCGTGTCTCCCCGCGTCTCTCCGTGTCTCCCCGCGTCTCCCCGCGTCTCTCCGTGTCTCCCCGTGTCTCTCCGTGTCTCCCCATGTCTCCCCGCGTCTCCCCGCGTCTTTCCGTGTCTCCCCACGTCTCCCCGCGTCTCTCCTTGTCTCCTCGTGTCTCTCCGTGTCTCCCCGTGTCTCTCCTTGTCTCCCCGTGTCTCCCCGTGTCTCTCCGCGTCTCCCCGCATCGTCTCCCCCCCCCCCCCGGCGTGTCAAGACAGACTCGGTGGAGGTCCAGCGGGTGTCATCGATGTTCGTCGAGGTGCGGCTGCTCCTGCCACCCCCCCAGGGCTCCACCTCCTCCTCCTCCACCTCCTCCACCACCTCCTCCTCCACCTCCTCCTCGTCGCTCCTCCTGCAGATCCGCACGGAGCCCACGCTGCAGATGTTCATCACGGCCAGCCCGGCCCTGCGCGAACTCACGCGCGGTGACACTCCACGCGGCACTGGGAGAGACACGGGGGGAGACACTGGGGGAGAGACACAGGGGGGAGACACGGGGAGAGACACGGGGGGAGAGACACGGGGAGAGACACGGGGGGAGACACTGGGGGAGAGACACAGGGGGGAGACACGGGGAGAGACACGGGGAGAGACACGGGGGGAGACACGGGGGGAGAGACACGGGGGGAGACACGGGGAGAGACACGGGGTGACACTCCACGCGGCACTGGGAGAGGCACGGGGAGAGAGACACGGGGAGAGACACGGGGGGAGAGACACGGAGAGAGAGACACAGGGAGAGACACGGGGGGAGAGACATGGGGAGAGAGACACGGGGAGAGACACGGGGGGAGACACGGGGAGAGACACGGAGAGAGACACGGGGAGGGGGGGAGAGACACGGGGAGAGACACGGAGAGAGACACGGGGAGAGAGACACGGGGAGAGACACGGGGAGAGACACGGAGAGAGACACGGAGAGAGACACGGGGGGGGGGAGAGACACGGGGAGAGACACGGAGAGAGACACGGGGAGAGAGACACGGGGAGAGACACGGGGTGACACTCCACGCGGCACTGGGAGAGACACGGGGAGAGACACGGGGAGAGACACGGGGGGAGAGAGACGTGTTATCATGTAGTTGTGTGTGTGTGTGCCTGTGTGTGTGTGTGCGTATACCTGTGTGTGTGTGCCTGTGTGTATGTGTGCCTGTGTGTGTGTGTGCCTATGTGTGTAATTGTGTGTGTGTGCCTGTGTGTGTGTGTGCCTGTGTGTATGTGTGCCTGTGTGTGTGTGTGCCTATGTGTGTAATTGTGTGTGTGTGCCTGTGTGTGTGTGTGCCTGTGTGTATGTGTGCCTGTGTGTGTGTGTGTGCCTATGTGTGTAATTGTGTGTGTGTGCCTGTGTGTGTGTGTGCCTGTGTGTGTGTGTACCTGTGCCTGTATGTGCGTGATCACCAACCCGTGCGTGCAGGCTTATGCGGCAACTTCAATGGCGTCGCAGGCGACGACTGGCGCTGCGCCCAGGGGGTGCTGCAGGCCACGGCGGCCTCCCTGGCCGACTCGTGGGGGGTCGGCGCTGGGGGGGGGGCTCCTTGCCCCCCCGCGCGGGACGCCCTGGCAGAGCCGTGCGCTGCCAGCGCCAGCACCGGTGAGACAGAGACAGCGCAGGGACACACACAGAGACACCACAGAGACACACGCAGAGACATACAGAGACACACAGAGACTCACGCAGAGACACACAGAGACACCGCAGAGACACACAGAGACACACACAGAGACACAGCAGGGACACACACAGAGAGAGACACACAGAGACACACAGAGACACAGAGACACACACAGAGACACACAGAGACTCACACAGAGAGACACACGCAGAGACACACAGAGACACAGAGACACACACAGAGACACACACAGAGACACACAGTGGTGGTGGTGGTGGTGGTTGATGGTGGTGGTTGACGGTGGTGGTGGTTGACGGTGGTGGTGGTTGACGGTGATGGTTGATGGTGGTGGTGGTTGACGGTGGTGGTGGTTGATGGTGGTGGTGGTTGACGGTGGTGGTTGACGGTGGTGGTGGTTGACGGTGATGGTTGATGGTGGTGGTGGTGGGTGACGGTGGTGGTGGTTGACGGTGATGGTTGATGGTGGTGGGTGACGGTGGTGATGGTGGTGGTGGTGGTTGACGGTGGTGGTTGATGGTGGTGGTGGTGGTTGACGGTGGTGGTTGACGGTGGTGGTTGACGGTGGTGGTGGTTGACGGTGGTGGTGGTGGTTGATGGTGGTGGTGGTTGTGCCGCTGCAGCTGGCTTTGCCGAGCGGTGGTGCTCGCTGGTACTGAGCGAGAAATCCGCGTTCGGCGCCTGCCACGGAGACGTGGACCCAGCACGCTTCTACACGGTGAGCAGCACGCAGACATCCACTCCGCACACACACACAGCCACACACACTCACACACTTACACACACGCACACAGCCACACACACACAGAGCCACGCACACACAGAGACATCCACACACAGGGCCACACACACACAAAGCCACACACACACACACAGAGCCACACACACACACACACCCACACACACTTACACACACTTACACACACAACAACAACAACAACAACAACCGCCATTCGCCACTAAGTGGCGGTGACGTCACCACGACGCTTGTGCCAGGCCAAGTGCACATTGAGGCCACGTGAAGTGTCGAACGCCCGCTGGCAGGAGGTCACGGGGAAGACCCAAGCAGGTGCCACGGGTCGACTGACTGAGATGTCCGAGATGACTTGCTGATGCACCACCTGTGCCCCCTACTGTACCAACTTTCTGTGCTTTATCCACCCGGCGCTCCGCTCGTTGTTGTGAGCGTCGCTCCTCCGCCCTCCGTTGTTGTTGGAGGGCAACTGCCTCCAACTGCCCAGTAGCGTCCTTCACGAGCCTCCTCCACTGAGGCCGATCTTGACACCGCTGGTACCAGTCATCGGCAAGTCCACTCAGCTCCACTGCCTCCTGCACCACATCACTCCACCTCTTCTCCAGCCCGCGCCGCGCCCGTCTAGCCCCCCCGACCCGGCCGGACAAAAGCTGTTTAGGCATGTGGTGGCTGGGCATGCGGTCTACATGACCCAGCCAATGCAGCCTTGCCTGCCGGAGGAGCTCACCGATGGGACTTTGCCCAGATCTTTCAAGGATTTGTGAGCTCCTCACACAATCCAGTCTGGTTGAACCCAGGATGGATCGTAGGCAGGCCAGCCTACACACACACACAGAGCCACACACACAGAGCCACACACACACCCACACACACAGAGCCACACACACACACAGAGCCACACACACACACAGAGCCACCCACACACACACAGAGACACACACACACAGAGCCACACACACACAGAGCCACACACACAGCCACACACACAAACCCACACACACACTGATCCACCCACTCATTCACTCACTCACACACAAACCCACACACACACTGATCCACCCACTCATTCACTCACTCACCCACCCCCTCACTCACTGACCCACACACACACCCACCCACACACACACCCACCCACACACACACCCACCCACATACCCACCCACACACTCACCCACACACTCACCCACGCACCCACTCACTCACCCACCCACTCCTCACCCACCCACTTGCCCACTCAATCATCCACCCACTCACTCACCCACCCACTCACCCACTGATCCACCCATTCACTCACTCACTCACTCGCCCACTCACTGTGTGTATGTATGTCTGCGTGTGTGCATGTGTGTGTGCGTATGTCTTTGTCTTTGTTTTGTATGTGTCTGTGTGTGTATCTGTGTGTGTGTCTATGTATCTGTGTCTATGTATCTGTGTGTGTCTCTGTGTGTGTGTCTATCTGTGTGTGTGTGTGTGTGCGACAGGCGTGCCGCTACGAGGTTTGCACCGGCCAGGACGCGGCCGCGTCGCTCTGCTCGGCGCTCGGCTCCTACGTGGCGGCCTGCAGCCTCGCAGGTCGCGCGGTGGACGCGTGGCGCCAACTCGTGCCCATGTGTGGTGGGTAGCGGTGGTGGTGGGTGGTGGTGGGTGGGTGGTGGTGGTGGTGGGTGGTGGTGGTGTGTGGTGGGGGTGGGGTGGGTGGTGGGTGGGGTGGTGGTGGTGGTGGTGGTGTGTGGTGGTGGTGGTGGGTGGTGGTGGTGTGTGGTGGGGGTGGGGTGGGGTGGTGGGTGGTGGGTGGGGTGGTGGGTGGTGGGTAGTGGTGGTGGGTGGTTCAAGTTCAGTTTCATGTATAAGGTATAGCCCTGTGAGCCATTCGGCTCTTGAATCGGGTGCAACCGCAACAAACAAAAAACAAAAACATGAACAAAAACATCTTAAAGTGAATATGTGACTAAGTGCAAACAGAAAATCCAAGAAAAGACAGCAAAATATTGCAGAAAAAAACACCGTACACCAACGCTGTGTGCAAAAATTCCAGTGGGATGCAAGTCAAACAACCAACAACAACCACAAGACAACTTAGATTAAGGCCATCAGTCTAACTCTGTACTATGCCCGTGTGTGGTGGGTGGGGTGGTGGGTGGTGGGTAGTGGTGGTGGGTAGTGGTGGTCAGTAGTGGTGCCTGTGTGGTGGTGTGTGGTGGGTGGTGGGTAGTGGTGATGGGTGGTGGTGGGTGGTGGGTGGTGGTGCCTATGTGGTGGTGGTTGGTGGTTAGCGGTACCCGTATTGACATTGTCACCTCATCCCCCCCCTACTAACCCCTCCCCCTACCCCTCCCCCCCACCAGACAAAGCCACGACCACGTGCTCCCCTGGCCGCGTATTCTCCTACCGCGTGGTCACGTGCTCTAACCGCACCTGCGCGTCACTCGCACGCGGCAGCGTCGAGGGGACGGCAGCTTCGTCCTCAGCTGCTCGGGGGCGTGGCCTCGGCTGTGGCTCCTCCTCCTCCTCTGCTGCTAGTGCTGCTAGTGCGGTGGGGGTGGGGGGGGTGGAGGGCTGCGTGTGCGCTGAGGGCACCTACGAGGAGCCCGAGGGGGGGCTGTGTGTCCCTGCCAGCAGCTGCCCCTGCGTGGGGGCAGCGGGGAGAATTCTGCCCAGCGGGCAGTCCGTCAGGATGGGGGCCACCCTGTGGTGCGTACACACGTGTGTGTGTTGTGTGTGTGTTAGTGTGTTGTGTGTGTTGTGTTTAGCATGTTGTGTGTGTGTCTTTAGCGTGTTGTGTTAGTGTGTGTGTTAGTGTGTTGTGTTAGTGTGTGTGTGTGGTTAGCATGTTGTGTGTTGTGTGTGTGTTAGTGTGTGTTTGTGTGTGTTAGTGTGTGGAGTTAGTGTGTGTGTTAGTGTGTGTTGTGTTAGTGTGTTGTGTGTGTGTGTTAGTGTGTTGTGTTAGTGTGTGTTAGTGTGTGTGTTGTGTTAGTGTGTGTTAGTGTGTGTGTGTTAGTGTGTGTTAGTGTGTTGTGTGTGTTGTGTGTGTGTTGTGTGTGTAGTGTGTGTGTTAGTGTGTGTGTTGTGTTAGTGTGTGTGTTAGTGTGTGTGTGTGTTAGTGTGTGTGTGTGTTGTGTTAGTGTGTGTGTTAGTGTGTGTGTTAGTGTGTGTGTTGTGTGTGTGTGTTAGTGTGTGTGTGTTGTGTTAGTGTGTGTTAGTGTGTGGTTAGCGTGTTGTGTTAGTATGTAGTTAGCATGTTGTGTTAGTGTGTAGTTAGCGTGTTATGTTAGTGTGTTGTGTTAGTGTGTGGTTAGCGTGTTGTGTTAGTGTGTGGTTAGCGTGTTGTGTTAGTGTGTAGTTAGCATGTTGTGTTAGTGTGTAGTTAGCGTGTTGTGTTAGTGTGTAGTTAGCATCTTGTGTTAGTGTAGTTAGCATGTAGTTAACGTGTTGCTTGTGTGCTGTGTGTGCACAGCACGTGTCAGAACGGGGTGCTCGACTGTGAGAGACCTGCACAGGTGGACAACGGTGAGGACGTGCGGTGCAGGCACTCACACGCACACACACCTACACACACACACATGTACACACACACGTACACACACACATACACATGTACACACACACATACACATGTACACACACACACACACATGTACACACACACGCGTACACATGTACACACACACACGTACACACACACATACACACACACGTACACACACACGTACACACACACACACGTACACACACACGTACACACACTCACACGTACACACATCTCGCTGCTGCTGCTGGTTGTTGTTGTGACGTCACGTCGCCGTGGTGACATCACTGTTCGCTGCTGGTGGTTGTTGTGACGTCACCTTTCTGCGGTGACATCACTGCTCGCTGCTGCTGGTGGTTGTTATGACGTCACGTCTCTGCGGTGACATCACCGCTCGCTGCTGCTGGTTGTTGTTGTGACGTCACGTCGCCGCGGTGACATCACTGCTCGCTGCTGGTGGTTGTTGTGACGTCACAGGCACGTGCTCCGCTCCGCTGGTGCGCTACAACTGCACGGGGAAGGCGACGCCGGCACAGGGAGTGGGGTGCGCCCCGTCGTGCCAAGGGAAGCTCACGCGGACCCCCTGCGTGAGTGGCCGTCACTATCGCCATCGTCACCATTACCGTCACCATCGCCATCATCGCCATCACCGCCATCACCATCGCCATCGTCGCTATTGCCATCATCGTCACCATCACAGGTCACCATCATCGCCATCATCACCGCCACCATCACCATCGTCGCCATCACCGTCACTATCGCCATCATCACCATCACCGCCACTATCGCCATCATCACCGCCACCATCGCCATCGTCGCCATCACCGCCACTATCGCCATCATCACCGTCACTATCGCCATCATCACCATCACCGCCACTATCGCCATCATCACCGCCACCATCGCCATCGTCGCCATCACCGTCACTATCGCCATCATCACCGCCACCATCGCCACTATCGCCATCATCACCGCCACCATCGCCATCGTCGCCATCACCGTCACTATCGCCATCATCACCGCCACCATCGCCATCATCACCATCACCGCCACTATCGCCATCATCACCGTCACTATCGCCATCATCACCGTCACTATCGCCATCATCACCATCACCGTCACTATCGCCATCATCACCGCCACCATCGCCATCGTCGCCATCACCGTCACTATCGCCATCATCACCGCCACCATCGCCATCATCACCATCACCGCCACTATCGCCATCATCACCGTCACTATCGCCATCATCACCGTCACTATCGCCATCATCACCATCACCGCCACTATCGCCATCATCACCGCCACCATCGCCATCGTCGCCATCACCGTCACTATCGCCATCATCACCATCACCGTCACTATCGCCATCATCACCGTCACCATCGCCATCATCACCATCACCGTCACTATCGCCATCATCACCATCACCATCGCCGTCATCGCCATCATCATCACTATCACCATCACCGCCATCACCGTCACCATCGCCATCATCACCATCGCCGTCATCGCCATCATCGTCATCACCATCACTATCGCCATCATCGTCACCGACATCACCAACATCACCACAACCATGGCTCCTCGACTCAGCTACCCATGTCCCCGTGTCTCTCCGTGTCTCCCCGTGTCTCACCGTGTCTCTCCGTGTCTCCCCGTGTCTCCCCGTGTCTCTCCGTGTCTCCCCGTGTCTCACCGTGTCTCCCCGTGTCTCCCCGTGTCTCACCGTGTCTCCCCGTGTCTCTCCGTGTCTCCCCGTGTCTCACTGTGTCTCCCCGTGTCTCTCCGTGTCTCTCCGTGTCTCCCCATGTCTCTCCGTGTCTCACCGTGCCTCCCCGTGTCTCACCGTGTTGTACCGTGTCTCTCCTTGTCTCACCATGTCTCTCCTTGTCTCCCCGTGTCTCTCCGTGTCTCCCCACATCTCCCCGTGTCTCCCCGCGTCTCCCCGTGTCTCCCCGCGTCTCCCCGCGTCTCTCCGTGTCTCCCCGTGTCTCACCGTGTCTCTCCGTGTCTCCCCGTGTCTCTCCTTGTCTCCCCGTGTCTCTCCGTGTCTCCCCGTGTCTCCCCGCGTCTCCCCGTGTCTCCCCGTGTCTCCCCGTAGCTGAGTGTGCGCTGTGAGCCGGGCTGTGGGTGTCCCCGGGGTCTGCTGGCGGACGGCGTGGGGGGCTGCGTGGCCTCCCGGGATTGCCCCTGCAGCCGCAACGGCCGCTCCTACAGCAGCGGCGGCACCGTCACTAGCAAGTGTGAGAAGTGGTGAGTGTGGTGATGGTGGCATCACCAATATAACCACCATCATCACCGTCACCAGCAAGTGTGAGAAGTGGTGAGTGTAGTGGTGGTGGCATCACCAACATAACCACCATCATCACCGTCACCAGCAAGTGTGAGAAGTGGTGAGTGTGGTGGTGGTGGCATCACCAACATAACCACCATCATCACCGTCACCAGCAAGTGTGACAAGTGGTGAGTGTGGTGGTGGTGGCATCACCAACATAACCATCATCATCACCACCGTCACCACCAAGTGTGACAAGTGGTGAGTTTATCGTTTAGTTTAACATGCATACACACGCACACATGAGAAGGTGGGGTGGGGGGAGATCTTTGTCTTGTCGTGTGCGTGCGTGCGCGTGTCACAGCACGTGCCGTGGGGGCCAGTGGGCCTGCCAGGAGCGCCGCCAGCAGCCCTGCCTCTCCACGTGCTCCGTGTTCGGCGACGGCCACTACAGTTCCTTCGACGGGCGCCAGTTCGTGTTCGACGGCTCCTGCGAGTACGTCGTGGCTCAGGTGAGGGGCGAGCGACTGAGCCGGCTGTACGAGGACTGTGCCATCCGGCGATTCGACTCGGAGTCTACCGCGGCAGGCACCGGCGTCGGCACGGATCGCCGAGCTAGCATGCGGAGCATTGTTAGCGCTGTCAAGACGACAGAAAAAATGTAATAAGGATTTATTTTTTACCCGCAACAAATTAATGATATTGGACGTCAAAGCCTACATGTCAAACTGGGGCCCCTTTAACCCGTTCTTACTGACGGGGATACAGGAGGTGTTCAAACACCGAACAGCGACACCCGTTGTTGTCGACTGCAAGGTGCCGTCATGTCTGCCTAACCACGCGTAGTGGTAAAAAATACGAACACGCTTTGACAATCATTGTACGCATTGGTCCTTGTAACCGATTGGCCTGCACCAGATCTGCAGGTTACCTCTATGGCCGTGTCTCTGCGCCAGTGTTAGATCAGAGAATGATGCCAAAAGGGGAACAGCACAAGGACAATAACAGTATCATAGTATTAACGGCTTGGGTCGAGTAGTTATGTCTGTGGGACCCTTTTTTGCTTTTGGAAAGTTTAATTTAATCGGGCTGTGTACCAGGACCTAACTTAAGCTTTGTGTCTGGGCCTGACTCAGGCTCCGTGTCTGGGTCTAATATAGGATCTGGGCCTAACTCAGGCTCTGTTTCTGGCCTTACTCAGGGTCTGTGTCTGGGCCTAATTTAGGATCTGGGCCTAACTCAGGCTCTGTTTCTGGCCTTACTCAGGGTCTGTGTCTGGGCCGAACTGAGCCAAGCATTGCCACCCGTTCAGGAATCGTCATCTGTGTTTGAGGCCCCGGCTGACTGAGAAATATAATCCAGGTCGATGTGTGTGTGCATCTTGCGTGCGTGTTGGCGTGTGTGCGCGTTTTTGCATGCGTCTGAATGTCTCTCAGGATTACTGCGGGGAAGAGCAGCAGCAGGGCACGTTCCGCGTCATCACGGAGAACTTGCCGTGCGGAACATCTGGGACCACTTGCTCCCGGGCAGTCAAAATCATCCTGAAGGTGAGGGCCACTGTGGGGCATGCTCAGACATACTCAGACGACGCACAAATATCCAGAATAGATAGTAATAGGTTTTTACCCTTTCAACTGGTACAAAAACTGACACCTTTATACAAGGCATCATGTTTGCAATAACCACAACACAAGCAGTCAAAATGCAAACAAAAAGAAACAACTCTGATAATGATAATGATATGCACTGTCCTTGAAGTTGATTGGTCCACACCCGAGACAGGTTTTCTTAGAGCCTAGTCTCCATTGGTGTTGGACCAGATGACGCCATAAGGCGTACAACTCAAAAGACAGCGCACTATCAGAGTGTTGAGAGCTCGGGGTAAGCATTTACACTATGAGACATCTCCTTTGCCAGTGGAAAAATATAGTAGTAGGTTTTTACCCTTTCAAATGGTACAAAAAATCCAGAATAGAGGTTGTTGGGTTAGATCGCGTAAATATAAATACGTCCTTAAACCCGCCACCACCTGGCACAGCCAATTAGTGATGTTTGTCACGTAAACAAAAGATTACAATTAGTTATTAGTAAGGCACTAACCGGTTGTGTGTTGGAGAGTAAACCCACAACATTTACAATTCGACTACCATGACGTTTCGCCGGTAATTACAACTAACATCATCAAGCGACAGAGGGAGGGAGGTGAATGATTTAGTTTAACTGTGTTTGGTCGGGAAAGCCTACGTGTTAAACGTATAGCCTTAACAGGCTGTTGAGGCAAAGTGCTGTTAGTTCGTGAGTAGCAGCACCTGTGAAGGCCGGCACTGTGGCACACCTCACACTCTGGGTCTAACTCAGGCACATTGTCTGGGCCTAACTCAGGCTCTGAGCCTAACTCAATCGCCTTGTCTGGGCCTAACTCAGGCTTTTTAAGCCTACCTCAAGCTTCTTGTCTGGGCCTAACTCAGGCTTTGGCCCTAACACAGGCACATTATTTGGGCTTAACTCTCTGGGGCTAACTCAGGCTCCTTTTCTGAGCCTAACTCAGGATCCTTGTCTGGGCTAATTCAGGCTTTGGGCCTAAATCATGCTCCTTGTTTGTATATAGCTTGACCTTCTTTCGCACCGTACATACCTCCGGCTTTGTGGCTGTTTGTCTGGGCATAATTCAAGCTTTGGGCCGAACTCAGGCTGTGGGCTTAACTTGGTGTCCGTGTCGCTGTGTCCGTGTGCGTCTTTGTAGGATGTGGAGATCTATCTGCACGACGGGAACTACTCCGTGTCTCGCGTCGGCTCCTCCGTCGCCACGTCTCCCGAGCGGCGTCACACCGTGGTGACACGCGGCCTCTACCTCGTCGTGTCCACGGCGGTGGGACTCACGCTCACGTGGGACCGCAGGACCAGCCTGACCCTCTCCCTGCCGGCGTCGTACCAGGTGGGCGCCACCAGCAGCAGCGTCATCATCAGCCAGATAGAGATCAGAGCAGAGACAAGCAGAGAGATTGAATCAGAGATCAGAGCAGAGACAACCAGAGAGAGATTGGATCAGAGATCAGAGCAGAGACAACCAGAGAGATTGAATCAGAGATCAGAGCAGAGACAACAAGAGAGATTGAATCAGAGATCAGAGCAGAGACAACCAGAGAGAGATTGGATCAGAGATCAGAGCAGAGACAACCAGAGAGATTGAATCAGAGATCAGAGCAGAGACAACAAGAGAGATTGAATCAGAGATCAGAGCAGAGACAACAAGAGAGATTGAATCAGAGATCAGAGCAGAGACAAGCAGAGAGATTGAATCAGAGATCAGAGCAGAGACAACAAGAGAGATTGAATCAGAGATCAGAGCAGAGACAACAAGAGAGATTGAATCAGAGATCAGAGCAGAGACAACCAGAGAGATTGAATCAGAGATCAGAGCAGAGACAACAAGAGAGATTGAATCAGAGATCAGAGCAGAGACAAGCAGAGAGATTGAATCAGAGATCAGAGCAGAGACAACCAGAGAGATTGAATCAGAGATCAGAGCAGAGACAACAAGAGAGATTGAATCAGAGATCAGAGCAGAGACAAGCAGAGAGATTGAATCAGAGATCAGAGCAGAGACAAGCAGAGAGATTGAATCAGAGATCAGAGCAGAGACAACAAGAGAGATTGAATCAGAGATCAGAGCAGAGACAAGCAGAGAGATTGAATCAGAGATCAGAGCAGAGACAAGCAGAGAGATTGAATCAGAGATCAGAGCAGAGACAACCAGAGAGATTGAATCAGAGATCGGAGCAGAGACAACCAGAGATTGAATCAGAGATCAGAGCAGAGACAACCAGAGAGATTGAATTAGAGATCAGAGTAGAGACAACCAGAGAGATTGGATCAGAGATCAGAACAGAGACAACAAGAGAGATTGAATCAGAGATCAGAGCAGAGACAACCAGAGAGATTGAATCAGAGATCAGAGCAGAGACAAGCAGAGAGATTGAATCAGAGATCAGAGCAGAGACAACCAGAGAGATTGAATCAGAGATCAGAGTAGAGACAACCATTCAGACGCTGTCTTTTCGACAGACCTGTTCTCCACCTGAGGACGGCTGCTTGCGTTGTGGCCGAAACGTCGTGAGAATTGTATTTTATGATGTTTTATTTTTATTATATTATTTCCATTCTACGTGATGACTTTACCGAAAGAACCAAGAAGATGAATCTCTGCAGTCACGAAAGCTTTAAATCGGAAAAAAAAGATGATGATGTTGATGATGTTGATGATGATGTTGATGATGATGTTGATGATGATGATGTAGATGATGATGTTGATGATGATGATGTGAGATCAGAGCAGGGACAGGCCAATATCAATGAGCTCAAAAACAAACCTCTCCGAACTCACTGCACTCCCCTTACCCCCCATCTCCCCCCCCCCTCCCCCCCACCAGGGCCGCGTGTGCGGCCTGTGCGGCAACAACAACGGGGACGTCTCGGACGACTTTAAGGGCCGTGACGGGGCCCGAGTCGCCTCCGCTGCGGCCCTGGCGAGGGGCTGGCGCGCGTCGCCGTGCGGGGCAGCCGGCGCTCCTCCTCCCTCCTCCTCCTCCTCCTCCTCGTCCTCCAGCTCAACGGCGTCGGTGGCGGTTGCGGTGGATCCATGCCGCGCCAACCCGTACCGCCAAGTGTGGGCACAGAGGCGCTGTGCCGTCATCGGGAGCGACGCCTTCGCCGAGTGCCACGCGCAGGTGGGTCAGAGGCGGCAGGGAGGGAGGTCGGATTTACTCACCCCACCCGCCCCACTCCAACTCAACCCACCCACCCCAACCACCTCACCCGCCCCACCCGATCCCACCACACCCACCCTAACACACCCACCCCATCCACCCAACCCCACCCACTCCACCCCACCACACCCACCCCACCCCACCCCACCCACCCCACCCCACCACACCCCCATCACCGTGTCTCACCGTGGTGTCTCTCCCCCGTGGTGTCACCACTCCCCCCGTCGTGTCTGTCCATCGCGTCCCCCCCACCCCGTGTCTCCCCGTGCGTACCCCTCTGTGTCTGCGCGTGTCTCACCATGTCCCCCCCCCACCCCCCGTGTCTCCCCCCCCCCTCCCCCCGTGTCCACCGTCCCCAGGTGTACCACGTGCCGTACCTGGAGGCGTGCGTGCATGACGCGTGTGCGTGTGACGCTGGCGGCGACTGCGAGTGCGTGTGCACGGCCGTGGCCGCGTACGCGCGAGCCTGCCGCGACGCCGGCGTCTGTGTGCAATGGAGGACTCCCGACATGTGCCGTGAGCCTCGCTCGCTCGCTCACCTCCACACTCACTCACCACCTCCACACTCGCTCACCACCTCAACTCTCACTTACCACCTCCACCAATTACTCACCACCTCAACTCTCACTCACCACCTTCACCAATTACTCACCACACCCCTCGCTCGCTCACCACTTCAACTCTCACTCACCACCTCAACTCTCACTCACCACCTCCACACTCACTCACCACCCCACCACTCACTCACCACCCTCACCAATTACTCACCACCCCCACCAATTACTCACCACCTCAACTCTCACTCACCACCTTCACCAATTACTCACCACCTCAACTCTCACTCACCACCCTCACATTCACTCACCACCCATATTTTCAGTCCATCTGCAACAGCAGAGGTGTAGGGAATTCCAACAAGATCTACATCTCTGCTTTATTGACCTGGTCAAGGCCTATGATACCATCAGTAGGCCTGGGCTCTGAGTTGTTCTTCGTGCTTTCGGAGTCGCTGACCCTCTGCTCATGATCATGAAGGACCTTCCTGATGGTGAGCGGGCCCGGGTAAAACTACATGGCCGGGAGTCTGAGCCATTCCCTGTACACCTTTGGGTGCGACAGGGATGTCCTCTGGCTCCCACATTATTTAACATCTATTTCGACCACGCAGTTCGTGAAGCCTTCAATAGCTGTACCGGAGGAATTTCCATCTGGTACAGACACCATTGGAGGCTGATTGATGCCCGGGTGCGGTCAAGGGATAGCTCCCTATTGGTCAACCACGTTATGTATGCCGATCTGGTAATTGCTGCTCACTCAGAGGAGGAGTTGGAGGCGCTGTCTTTGCGTGTAACTGTGTGTGTGTGTGGTTCTTCCCAGCCGTGTTCTGTGACTTCTACAACGAGGAGGGGGAGTGCACGTGGCACTACAGCGCCTGCAGCGCCCTCTCCGCCATCTGCCCCACGGCCCCCGGTGGCAACCTGAGCAGCGAGCTCAACACACTGGAGGGTGAGCGGTGCCCACCCACTCACCCACTCGCTCACCTACTCGCTCACCTACTCAGTCACCCACTCAGTCACCCATTCAGTCACTCGCTCACCTACTCGCTCACCCACTCAGTCACCCACCCACTCACCTGCTCGCTCGCTCGCTCGCTCACCTACTCGCTCACCTACTCAGTCACTCGCTCACCCACTCGCTCACCCACTCAGTCACTCGCTCAGTTACCCATTCAGTCACTCGCTCAGTCACTCGCTCGCTCACCCACTCAGTCACCCACTCAGTCACCCACTCAGTCACCCACTCAGTCACTCGCTCGCTCACCTACTCGCTCGCTCACCTACTCGCTCACCCACTCACTCGCTCGCTCACTCAGTCACCCACTCGCTCACCCACTCAGTCACTCGCTCAGTCACTCGCTCACCCACTCAGTCACCCACTCAGTCACCCACTCAGTCACTCGCTCACCTACTCGCTCACCCACTCAGTTACCCACTCAGTCACCCACTCAGTCACTCGTTCAGTCACTCACTCACCCACTCACTCGCTCGCTCACCTACTTGCTCACCTACTCGCTCACCCACTCAGTCACCCACTCACTCACCCATTCAGTCACTCGCTCAGTCACTCAGTCACCTACTCGCTCACCCACTCACTCGCTCACTCGCCTACTCGCTCACCCACTCAGTCACCCACTCAGTCACTCGCTCACCCACTCACTCACTCACTCGCTCGCTCACCCACTCAGTCACCCACTCAGTCACCCATTGAGTCACTTGCTCACTCACTCACTCACTCGCTCACCTACTCGCTCACCCACTCAGTCACCCACTCAGTCACTCGCTCACCCACTCAGTCACCCACTCAGTCACCCACTCAGTCACTCGCTCAGTCACTCACTCACGCACCTACTCGCTCACCCACTCAGTCACCCACTCAGTCACCCATTCAGTCACTCAATCAGTTAGTCACCCACTCACTCACTCACCTACTCGCTCACCCACTCACCCACTCACCTACTCGCTCACCCACTCAGTCACCCACTCAGTCACTCAATCAGTTAGTCACCCACTCACTCACTCACTCACCTACTCGCTCACCCACTCAGTCACACACTCAGTCACCCACTCAGTCACTCACTCACCTACTCGCTCACCTACTTGCTCGCTCACCCACTCAGTCACCCACTCAGTCACTCACTCACCTACTCGCTCACACACTCAGTCACCCATTCAGTCACTCGCTCAGTCACTCGTTCACTCACTCACCCACTCAGTCACTCAATCAGTTAGTCACCCACTCACTCACCTACTCGCTCACCCACTCAGTCACACACTCAGTCACCCATTTAGTCACCCATTCAGTCACTCGCTCGCTCACCTACTCGCTCACCTACTCGCTCGCTCACCCACTCAGTCACCCACTCAGTCACTCGCTCACCTACTCGCTCACCCACTCAGTCACCCACTCAGTCACCCATTCAGTCACTCACTCGCTCACCTACTCACTCGTTCACCCACTCAGTCACCCACTCAGTCACTCGCTCACCTACTCGCTCACCCACTCAGTCACCCATTCAGTCACTCGCTCAGTCACTCGTTCACTCACTCACCCACTCAGTCACTCAATCAGTTAGTCACCCACTCACTCACTCACCTACTCACTCACCCACTCATTCACACACTCAGTCACCCATTCAGTCACTCGCTCACCTACTCGCTCACCCACTCAGTCACCCACTCACTCACTCGCTCACCTACTCGCTCACCCACTCAGTCACCCACTCAGTCACCCATTCAGTCACTCGCTCAGTCACTCGTTCACTCAGTCACCCATTCAGTCACCCCATCAGTCACTTAGTCACCCACTCACTCACTCACCCACTCAGTCACCCATTCAGTCACCCACTCAGTCACTTAGTCACCCACTCACTCGCTCACCTAATCGGTCACCCACTCAGTCACCCACTCAGTCACTCAATCAGTTAGTCACCCACTCACTCACTCACTCACCTACTCGCTCACCCACTCAGTCACACACTCAGTCACCCATTCAGTCACTCACTCACCTACTCGCTCACCTACTTGCTCGCTCACCCACTCAGTCACCCACTCAGTCACTCACTCACCTACTCGCTCACACACTCAGTCACCCATTCAGTCACTCGCTCAGTCACTCGTTCACTCACTCACCCACTCAGTCACTCAATCAGTTAGTCACCCACTCACTCACCTACTCGCTCACCCACTCAGTCACACACTCAGTCACCCATTTAGTCACCCATTCAGTCACTCGCTCGCTCACCTACTCGCTCACCTACTCGCTCGCTCACCCACTCAGTCACCCACTCAGTCACTCGCTCACCTACTCGCTCACCCACTCAGTCACCCACTCAGTCACCCATTCAGTCACTCACTCGCTCACCTACTCACTCGTTCACCCACTCAGTCACCCACTCAGTCACTCGCTCACCTACTCGCTCACCCACTCAGTCACCCATTCAGTCACTCGCTCAGTCACTCGTTCACTCACTCACCCACTCAGTCACTCAATCAGTTAGTCACCCACTCACTCACTCACCTACTCACTCACCCACTCATTCACACACTCAGTCACCCATTCAGTCACTCGCTCACCTACTCGCTCACCCACTCAGTCACCCACTCACTCACTCGCTCACCTACTCGCTCACCCACTCAGTCACCCACTCAGTCACCCATTCAGTCACTCGCTCAGTCACTCGTTCACTCAGTCACCCATTCAGTCACCCCATCAGTCACTTAGTCACCCACTCACTCACTCACCCACTCAGTCACCCATTCAGTCACCCACTCAGTCACTTAGTCACCCACTCACTCGCTCACCTAATCGGTCACCCACTCACCCACCCACTCAGTCACTCAATCAGTTAGTCACCCACTCACTCAGTCACCCACCCACTCAATTACCCACTCACTCAACCATCCACACACTCGCTTACCCACTCAGTCACCCACTCACTCACCCACTTACCCACTCGCGCACCCACTCTCCCTGCCTGAGCATTTTGTATCATCAAACGCTCCCCTCCCTCAGCTCCTCATTGGTGATGGGGCAGTTGTTGAGACAGTGGGGAGTTTTCCATATCCTGCTCATGATCAGCTCCGATTTGACAGCAGAGGTCTCACTTCGAATCAGTCGGACGGCATTGCCTTTTCATCGGCTGTGTAACTCTGTGTGGAAGCTACATGGTCTGTCGCTCCACACGAAGCTTCAGGTCTTCTCAACCACAGTCATTCTAATCCTTCTCTATGTTTGGAAAAACGTGGAAACCTCTAATGAAACATCTGCGCCGGTTATAAACATTTAAGCTGGCATGCCTTAAATCCATCCTGGGTTTAACCAGGCTGGATTGTTTGAGGAGCTCACAAATGCTTGAAAGATCTGGACACAGTTCCATCAGTGAGCTCCTCAGGCGGGCAAAGCTGCGTTGGCTGGATCATGTAGCCCGCATGCTCAGCCACCGCATGCCGAAACAGTTTTTGTTTGGCCGGATCGAGGGGGCTAAATGGGCGCGGCACGGGCTAGAGAAGAGATGGAGTGATGGGGTACAGGAGGATGTGGAGCTGAGTGGACTTGCCGATGACTGGTACCAGCAGTGTCAAGATCGGCCTCTGTGGAGGAGGCTCGTGAAGGACGCTACTGGGCAGTTGGAGGCAGTCGCCCTCCAACAACAACGGAGGGCGGAGGGGCGACGCTCACAACAACGAGCGGAGCGCCGGGTGGCTAAAGCACAGCAAGTTGGCACAGTGAAGAGCACAGCTGGTGCATCTGGCAGTCAGTCCATCAACCCATGGCACCTGCTGAGTCTGTCCAGTGTACTGTACGAATGTTAAACATCTTTCACAGCGTACGTAGCCAACCGTGCTAATCGGAGGGGCGGGGAAAGCACAACAATCTAAACACAAGAGGCAGTTCTAAATAAATCCGTTTTCAATCTCGATGATGTCAGAGTCCATCATAGCTCTCAGTGGCTTCATGTCCTGCCAGCGGTGAGCCTTCAACACTTCACGAGGACTCAAAGTGCACCTAGCCTGGCACAGTGGGGAGCACAGGGCGGTGCATCCACTAGCCATCTCAGTCAGTCAACCTATGCCACCACCTGGGTCTGTCCCGTGACCTCCTCCTGCACCTAGCCTGGCACAGCAGTCAACCCATGGCACCTGCTGGGTCTGTCCCGTGACTTCCTCCTGCACCTAGCCTGGCACAGCAGTCAACCCATGCCACCACCTGGGTCTGTCCCGTGACCTCCTTCTGCACCTCGCCTGGCACACCAGGGAACCCATGGCACCTGCTGGGTCTGTCCCGTGACCTCCTCCTGCACCTAGCCTGGCACAGCAGTCAACCCATGGCACCTGCTGGATCTGTCCCGTGACCTCCTGCACCGAGCGTGGCACAGCAGTCAACCCATGGCACCTGCTGGGTCTGTCCCGTGACCTCATGCACCTAGCCTGGCACAGCAGTCAACCCATGGCACCTGCTGGGTCTGTCCCGTGACCTCCTCCTGCACCTAGCCTGGCACACCAGGGAACCCATGGCACCTGCTGTGTCTGTCCCGTGACCTCCTCCTGCACCTAGCCTGGCACAGCAGTCAACCCATGGCACCTGCTGGATCTGTCCCGTGACCTCCTCCTGCACCTAGCCTGGCACAGCAGTCAACCCATGCCAGCAGCGAGCCTTCAACACTTCAAGTGTTGGCCTCAAAGCACACCTATCCTGGCACAAGGTTCGTGGTGACGTCACCGCCAATTGTTGGAGAATGGCGGTTGTTTTTGTTGTTGCCAGACTGCTACCCGTGCCCCATGGTGCAATGCGGTTGTTGCTGTTGTGTTTGTTGGGTGTTGGTGGTGGTGTTTGCAGGCTGCTACCCACGTGGTGCGGTGCACCTCCGATGAGCACACACACGTACACACACACACACGTACACACGCTCATGTACACACACGTACACACACACACGTACACACACACACGCTCATGTACACATACGTACACACACACACGTACACACACTCGTACACACACACACGTACACACACACGTACACACACGCTCATGTACGCACACGTACACACACACACGTACACACACACGTACACACACAGTCACATACACACACACACGCTCATGTACACACACGTACACACACACGTACACACACATGTACGCACACAGTCACGTACACACACACACGCTCATGTACACACACGTACACACACGTACACACACACGTACACACACACACACGTACTCACACACATACACACACGTACACACACACACATACACACACACGTACACACACACATACACACACGTGCACACACACGTACACACACACGCTCATGTACACACACACGTACACACACACACATGTACAATGCGGTGGTGGTTGTTGTTGTTGATGTTGTTGTGTTTGTTGTTGATGTTGTTGTTGACAGGCTGCTACCCGCGCTGCGTCAAGGCTCGCCCCTACTGGGACGAGGAGGCCCACCGCTGTGTGGCGCTGCGTGAGTGCCCCTGCTACGTGGACGACGTCCGCCTCGAACACAACGCCACCAACGTCGTCATCGCCACCACCACCACCAGCGGCAATGTTGCCGTCGTCAAGACATGGTCAGCGATTCACACACAGGCTGTACCATCGACTAGCATCGTACCATAGACTGACATGGTACCATAGACTCACATGGTCCATAGACTAACATTGTACCATTCTCTAACAGTGCCCACAGACTGAGTGCGTGTGGATGCTCTAACCTGATTGCCGTCACTCTCTCTCTCTCCTCTCTTGCAGCGACTGCATGAGTGGTGTCCCCCAGTGCAGAGACCTCACCTCCACTACTCCGGCTGCTCCCACAAGCCCAGCGGCTCAGTTGTCATCGGCAAGTCCCACCAAACCAGACTCCGATCATTCATCAGCCAGTCCCACCAAACCAGACTCTGATCATTCACCGGCAAGTCCCACCAAACCAGACTCTGATCATTCATCGGCAAGTCCCACCAAACCAGACTCCGATCATTCATCGGCAAGTCCCACCAAACCAGACTCTGAACATTCATCGGCAAGTCCCACCAAGCCAGACTCTGATCATTCATCGGCAAGTCCCACCAAACCAGATGTGGCGCACACCACGCTGTCGACCAGCCCCTCGCCAGTGTCTGGCAAGTCTCCGGCGTCAACCACGGTGAGGAAGACTCCTGCGACTCAGGAAACGACCGCCACCGGGAGCTCCCCGGGCCTCACGACGTTCACCTCCAACGTGGCCTCGACGGAGCTCACCGTGAAGCCCGCCGAGTGGACGCCCTGGCTCAACGTGTCCGTGCCGACGCCGGACAATGAGGGGGACATCGAGACCATCGAGAGGATCAGGAACACGGGCGTCGACGTCTGCTCGGAGCCCGTGGGCGTCCAGTGCCAAGCCGTGATGTACCCCGGCCGGGACATCTCCACGCTGGGGCAGAAGGTGATCTGCGACCGTCTCATCGGCCTCATTTGCCGCAACGCCGACCAGAGCGGGAGCAAGCCGCTCTGTCTGGATTACACCGTCAAGTTCTTCTGCGGACCGGTGACCAGGCCGCCGCCGACGAGGCCGACCGCCGCGACATCTTCCGTCGCTCCGGGAGTGTCGTTGAGCTGGGTTACGACTCCGCCTTCGTCGGACGCGAACTCCACGGAGCCCGACATCAAGCCGGCCGAGTGGACGCGCTGGTTCGACGTGGACGCGCCCACACCGGACAACGAGGGGGACATCGAGACCATCCAGAAGGTCAGGAGCACGGGCGTCAGCGTCTGCTCGGAGCCCGTGGCCGTGCAGTGCGAGGCCGTGATGTACCCGGGCCGGGACGTCGCCACGCTGGGGCAGAAGGTGATCTGCGACCGTCTCGTCGGCCTCATCTGCCGCAACGCCGACCAGAACGGGACCAGGCCGCTGTGCCTCAACTACGCCGTCAAGTTCTTCTGCGCCCAACCGACCAGGCCGCCGACGACGACGACCACGAAGCTGACCACCGTGGTGACGCCGTCCATCGCTCCACCCGTGTCGTTGAAATCGGCATCATCCCCGACCCCAGCGGACAGGTGAGGGTCAAACCGTCTCGTCCAACATCGCCGGGCTTAAGTCTGCAGCTCCCGTCGTGCGTGCCGTAGTCAACTGCTCAGGGGTATAGCGTCGTTAAAAATAAATACGTGCCTATGGTGGTCGACTTATCTCGTGGTTACTATGAGGAAGGGTCATTTCCCAACAACGTGACCCATTTTCTTGGTTCTTTCGGTAAAGTCACGTAGAAGGGAAGTAATAAAATAATAAAAATGAAACATAATAAAATAATTCTCACGACGTTTCGGCCACAACGCAAGCAGCCGTCATCAGGTGATGAATGAAACACCACCAAGCTTGGAGCATATATTTAAGCTGGGTTGGAGAGGGGAAGGAGAGCGCCTTGACAAAATCAACAGGAATTTTAGCATATTTATGGGAAATGCGTAGGAGGTGGGCGGGGGTTTTCAAAGTCATATTATGCCCGTGCATTATGCAGATGTAGGGGTGTTAAAGAGAGGGCCCGTTATGCATGGCAGCCTATGGAAAACAAACACAGTGGGCGAGGCTACGTAAGTGCACGAGGAGGTGCCCTCTACGACGTCCGAGCCAGACACCCTGGGGGGGGCTGGTTCGAACGTTATGATCCCCCGGGGCCCCACCCCTCAGGGAGGGGTTGGGTATAAAAGGGGATGTTCAAAGGGCTCGAGTCAGTTATGTTTAAGCTAAGGGAAGAAGACTGAAGACGTCTTAGATAGAGCCCTGGACTCCCCTAGTTCGATGTCCTTTTCAGGGCCGGACAGGACTGAGCCAGCGGCGTGGTCCCGAAAGCCAGAGCCGGTGCTCTTGTAAGAGCTGGTCTGGAACTCCGGGTACCGGGCCCGACTTACCAGTGTCGGGCCAGTTAGCCTCCCCTAGCCCATTAGTGGAGGATTCGGGGCTAGGACAGAGTTAGCTAGGGGTGTATCCCGAGTTATACGGGTGAGGGGGCCGATACCCCCTCGAGTGTGTATATGCCCACTGTCGTATTGTGAAATAAATATACGTGTGCCTCAACCTCGGCGTCAAGCGTCCTCACCGGTACTTCACAGGATTAGCAGCATCAAAGGGAGGGGATGGGGGTAGCATTAACAAAGGGAAGGAATGCGTTGTGGCCGAAACGTCGTGAGAATTGTATTTTATTATGTTTTATTTTTATTATTTTATTACTTCCCTTCTATGTGACTATACCGAAACAATCAAGAAGATGCATCCCTGCAGTCACGAAAGCTTTAAATCGAAAAATAAATACGCACTTATGGTGGTCGACTTATCTCATGGTTACTATGAGGAAGGGTCATTTCACAAAGACGTTACCCATTATAGATTTATTTCTGACAATAGAATTTGTTTTTGGTTTAGATCACGTACATGTCGTGAAACCCGCCACCACCCGGCACGGCCAGTTGGTAAGGTTTGTCATTAACAATTGTAAATGTTGTAGTGGGTTTACTCTCCAGCACACACACCGGCCTGCTGAACTAGCAATGCATTGCCACGTTTCGTTTACGTGGCAAACCTGAATGATTGGCTGTGTCGGGTGGTGGAGGGTTTTTCGACGCATTTATACTGACGCAATCTATTAAGGCAATAATGGGTTATATTCTTAGGTTTTTTCGGTAAAGTCACGTAGGTAAAGAAACAAAATTAATAAAAGTAAAATAAAAATTAAATTAAAATCACGACGTTTCGGAGGCAACACAAGCTTCCGTCTTCAGGTGGGACCGTCACAGCACGATTGCTGTAATCAAGTAAATGAGAAATTACAAGAGATACTACCCCGTATATATACTGGTTGAGGGGGGAGGGGGGATGGGCCAGGAATGGCCCACTTTTATTATTATGGTGAGGTGCGGCTTGAGACTACGGCTAGTCTACATAACAAAGGACTGAGCCTTTGTTATGGTAAGGTGCGGCTTGACACTATAATAATAAAAGTGGGCCGGTCCTGGCCCATCCCCCCTCCCCTCAACCAGTATATGTACGGGGTAGTATATCTTGTAATTTCTCATTTACTTGATTACAGCTATCGTGCTGTGACGGTCCCACCTGAAGACGGAAGCATGTGTTGCCTCCGAAACGTCGTGATTTTTATTTTATTTTTATTTTACTTTTATTAATTTATAATTTTTTACCTACGTGACTTTACCGAAAAAAACCTAAGAATATGAATCCTTGCAGTCACGAAAGCTTCAAATCTAGAATCAATAGCGGGTTTCCAGGAAGGGAACCCGACTGTGTCACATTGCGGCCTACGGGCAATTAAGTTTCAACGTACGACGGCTCCACTTGCCACCGCCATCCAGGAACCAATTAAGTTGTAGGTGCGGGTCGCCTGTGGTGAGTGGCTGTAGGTGCGGGAGTTGCCTGTAGTGAGTGGCTGTAGGTGTGTGGGTGTCGCCTGTAGTGAGTGGTTGTAGGTGTCGCCTGTAGTGAGTGGTTGTAGGTGTGGGGGTTGCCTGTAGTGAGTGGCTGTAGGTGTGTGGGTGTCGCCTGTAGTGAGTGGTTGTAGGTGTCGCCTGTAGTGAGTGGTTGTAGGTGTGGGGGTTGCCTGTAGTGAGTGGTTGTAGGTGCGGGGGTCGCCTGTAGTGAGTGGCTGTAGGTGCGGGGGTCGCCTGTAGTGAGTGGTTGTAGGTGTGTGCGGGTCGCCTGTAGTGAGTGGTTATAGGTGTCGCCTGTAGTGAGTGGTTGTAGGTGTGCGGGGGTCGCCTGTAGTGAGTGGCTGTAGGTGTGTGGGTCTCCTGTAGTGAGTGGTTGTAGGTGTGCGGGTCACCTGTAGTGAGTGGTTGTAGGTGTGTGGGTCGCCTGTAGTGAGTGGTTGTAGGTGTGCGGGTCACCTGTAGTGAGTGGCTGTAGGTGTGTGCGGGTCACCTGTAGTGAGTGGCTGTAGGTGTGTGGGTCTCCTGTAGTGAGTGGCTGTAGGTGTGTGGGGGTTGCCTGTAGTGAGTGGCTGTAGGTGCGGGAGTCGCCTGTAGTGAGTGGTTGTAGGTGTGTGTGGGTCGCCTGTAGTGAGTGGTTGTAGGTGTGTGTGGGTCGCCTGTAGTGAGTGGTTGTAGGTGTGTGTGGGTCGCCTGTAGTGAGTGGTTGTAGGTGTGTGGGGGTCTCCTGTAGTGAGTGGCTGTAGGTGTGTGAGGGTCGCCTGTAGTGAGTGGCTGTAGGTGTGTGGGGATCTCCTGTAGTGAGTGGTTGTAGGTGTGGGGGTCGCCTGTAGTGAGTGGTTGTAGGTGTGTGTGGGTCGCCTGTAGTGAGTGGCTGTAGGTGTGTGTGGGTCTCCTGTAGTGAGTGGCTGTAGGTGCAGGGGTCGCCTGTAGTGAGTGGCTGTAGGTGTGTGGGGGTCGCCTGTAGTGAGTGGCTGTAGGTGCGGGGGTCGCCTGTAGTGAGTGGTTGTAGGTGTGTGTGGGTCGCCTGTAGTGAGTGGTTGTAGGTGTGTGCGGGTCGCCTGTAGTGAGTGGCTGTAGGTGTGTGTGGGTCGCCTGTAGTGAGTGGTTGTAGGTGTGGGTGGGTCGCCTGTAGTGACTGGTTGTAGGTGTGTGCGTCGCCTGTAGTGAGTGGTTGTAGGTGTGTGTGGGTCGCCTGTAGTGAGTGGTTGTAGGTGTGTGCGGGTCGCCTGTAGTGAGTGGCTGTAGGTGTGTGTGGGTCGCCTGTAGTGAGTGGTTGTAGGTGTGTGCGTCGCCTGTAGTGAGTGGTTGTAGGTGTGCGTGGGTCGCCTGTAGTGAGTGGTTTTAGGTGTGTACGGGTCGCCTGTAGTGAGTGGCTGTAGGTGCGTGTGGGTCGCCTGTAGTGAGTGGTTGTAGGTGTGTGCGGGTCGCCTGTAGTGAGTGGTTATAGGTGTGCGGGTCGCCTGTAGTGAGTGGTTGTAGGTGTGTGGGTCGCCTGTAGTGAGTGGCTGTAGGTGTGTGGGGGTTGCCTGTAGTGAGTGGCTGTAGGTGCGGGAGTCGCCTGTAGTGAGTGGTTGTAGGTGTGTGTGGGTCGCCTGTAGTGAGTGGTTGTAGGTGTGTGTGGGTCGCCTGTAGTGAGTGGTTGTAGGTGTGTGTGGGTCGCCTGTAGTGAGTGGTTGTAGGTGTGTGGGGGTCTCCTGTAGTGAGTGGCTGTAGGTGTGTGAGGGTCGCCTGTAGTGAGTGGCTGTAGGTGTGTGGGGATCTCCTGTAGTGAGTGGTTGTAGGTGTGGGGGTCGCCTGTAGTGAGTGGTTGTAGGTGTGTGTGGGTCGCCTGTAGTGAGTGGCTGTAGGTGTGTGTGGGTCTCCTGTAGTGAGTGGCTGTAGGTGCAGGGGTCGCCTGTAGTGAGTGGCTGTAGGTGTGTGGGGGTCGCCTGTAGTGAGTGGCTGTAGGTGCGGGGGTCGCCTGTAGTGAGTGGTTGTAGGTGTGTGTGGGTCGCCTGTAGTGAGTGGTTGTAGGTGTGTGCGGGTCGCCTGTAGTGAGTGGCTGTAGGTGTGTGTGGGTCGCCTGTAGTGAGTGGTTGTAGGTGTGTGCGTCGCCTGTAGTGAGTGGTTGTAGGTGTGGGTGGGTCGCCTGTAGTGACTGGTTGTAGGTGTGTGCGTCGCCTGTAGTGAGTGGTTGTAGGTGTGTGTGGGTCGCCTGTAGTGAGTGGTTGTAGGTGTGTGCGGGTCGCCTGTAGTGAGTGGCTGTAGGTGTGTGTGGGTCGCCTGTAGTGAGTGGTTGTAGGTGTGTGCGTCGCCTGTAGTGAGTGGTTGTAGGTGTGCGTGGGTCGCCTGTAGTGAGTGGTTTTAGGTGTGTACGGGTCGCCTGTAGTGAGTGGCTGTAGGTGCGTGTGGGTCGCCTGTAGTGAGTGGTTGTAGGTGTGTGCGGGTCGCCTGTAGTGAGTGGTTGTAGGTGTGTGGGTCGCCTGTAGTGAGTGGTTATAGGTGTGCGGGTCGCCTGTAGTGAGTGGTTGTAGGTGTGTGGGTCGCCTGTAGTGAGTGGCTGTAGGTGTGTGTGGGTCTCCTGTAGTGAGTGGTTGTAGGTGTGGGGGTCGCCTGTAGTGAGTGGCTGTAGGTGTGTGGGGGGTCTGTAGTGAGTGGTTGTAGGTGTGCGGGTCGCCTGTAGTGAGTGGTTGTAGGTGTGTGGGGGTCGCCTGTAGTGAGTGGCTGTAGGTGTGTCGGGGTCGCCTGTAGTGAGTGGTTGTAGGTGTGTGGGGGGTCTCCTGTAGTGAGTGGTTGTAGGTGTGCGGGTCACCTGTAGTGAGTGGTTGTAGGTGCAGGGGGTCGCCTGTAGTGAGTGGCTGTAGGTGTGCGGGGATCGCCTGTAGTGAGTGGCTGTAGGTGTGCGGGTCACCTGTAGTGAGTGGTTGTAGGTGCAGGGGGTCTCCTGTAGTGAGTGGTTGTAGGTGTGCGGGGATCGCCTGTAGTGAGTGGCTGTAGGTGCGGGGGTCGCCTGTACTTCTGCCTGTCATGGGGGCCAAGCGTCAATGGTTTTCTTGATAAATGACCACGTGTCTCACCACGTGGTTGCTCTGACTCGAACCAGTCTGATCCGGATTCAGTCTCCCTCGTGATTGATTGCGCAAGCTGGGTCAGACCATTTAATGATTTTCACTGGTGGAGGGGAATAAATAAATACAGATTGTACCACTAGCTAAGAAAATAAAAGGTTTGAATTAGCCAATCCTGGAGCTGGAATGAGTAGCTAGTGGTAATACAGGTCGGAACAACAGCTTCCACACTGCTGCCCACCAGGGATTACTTGTCTGTCTGTCTATCGTGCATGGCCCCGCCCCACCAGAGCCCTCCCATTGGCTCGGGGGTGCCGACCAATGGGAGCGGTGGGTTGGGGTTGGTAGAGGGGGGGGGGTTAGTGGTGGGGGGGGGGCACAGCCACGACTCGGACCAATGAGGAGACGGGGCGATGTTTCATTCACAAAATGGAACTGGGGGAGGGTGGCTCCATTCATAAAATGGAAGCCTTGAAAGGAAAAAAAGCGGATCTTTTTGCCTCGTGTTTCTTTCAACATTCACAGCCTGAAGGTGATTCAGTTTATGGGAGGGTGGGGAGGGGCTGTGTGGGGAGGGGAGGGTGGGGAGGGGCTGGGTGGGGAGGGTGGGGCTGGGTGGGGAGGGGAGGTTGGGGAGGGGCTGGTGGGGAGGGTGGGGCTGGGTGGGGAGGGGAGGGTGTGGAGGCTAGGGAGGGGCTGGGTGGGGTGGGGCTGGTCACCCCGTGGTGCCCTTATAAAACTCAACGTTTAACCTACACACGACACTGTACACGACACGATACACTACACTTATACAGGTAGGAACAACAGCTTCCACACTGCCCACCAGGGATTATTTGTCTGTCTGTCATGCACGGACGCGCTGTCCAACCCAGTTCCTACCTGCCCACTCCGAAGGAACGTGTTTATTATCGTCAGAGTTTTGTATTTTAAAGTGTCCTGGGATGATCTGCATGAGCCCGCTGTGTATTGCATTGAATGTATCAATATGGGTCATTCCATTTTCATGCGCTTCATCGGGGGAGGAATTCATCAATACGAATCATACCATTAAGTAAAATTAAAATGCAGTATATTGTTTAAATATGCCAAGCCTTGAGCTGAAATGATTGGGCAGTAATTTTATTAGTCAGAGTGTAATGTGAGGATATATCCGGCTCACTGACGTATCACAACTCGTCATGATGATTGGCTCTGCCGGTCCTGGTCTATAGCCAATGGGGGGAAGCCTAGGGGCGTGGCCCTGATGTAATGGAAAGGTGACAGCTGCAAGTAAAGGATTGGTTCTGCTGGCTTTGGCCAGAGCCAATGGGGAGAGGAGTCAGGGGCGTGACCCCGGGAGCCTACGAGGGAGCCTGGAATATTCCATGGAGGCTAACCAGGATTGGCGGAAACGTACCACGTGACCCGGGTATTAAATAGGGGTGGAGACGAACGACACGTGGTCAGAACGGGAACAAACAGAGGAAGGGGGCCACGCGGGAGCGGGGCTCCGGGTTGCCACGTGGCGGCGCGTCTCTCTCTCTATCTGTCTCTCTCACGCTGCCTGTCATCAGCATGAAGGAAAGCTGTAATGCAAGTTGAATAAAACACGGATTCCAGAAGTCGCCTCAACGAGCTTTATTACAAGAGAGTTTGTATTTTGAAGTGCCCCGCACAACTGAGCCCAAATGTTTATTGAATTGTTTCGCCCGTCTCTAGATCGCCGGGGGCCCCGGGCCTCACCAAGACGACCACCACGGTGGCCGGGCCCACTCCTGCCGCGTCCACGGAGCTCACCGTGAAGCCCGCCGAGTGGACGCCCTGGCTCAACGTGTCCGTGCCGACGCCGGACAACGAGGGGGACATCGAGACCATCGAGAGGATCAGGAACGCGGGCGTCGACGTCTGCTCGGAGCCCGTGGGCATCCAGTGCCAGGCCGTGATGTACCCCGGCCGCGACATCTCCACGCTGGGGCAGAAGGTGATCTGCGACCGTCTCATCGGCCTCATCTGCCGCAACGCCGACCAGAGCGGGAGCAGGCCGCTGTGTCTGGACTACACCGTCAAGTTCTTCTGTGGACCGGTGACCAGGCCGCCGCCGACGAGGCCGACCGCCGCGTCATCTTCCGTCGCTCCGGGAGTGTCGTTGAGCCCGGTTACGACTTCGCCTTCGTCGGACACGAACTCCACGGAGCCCGACATCAAGCCGGCCGAGTGGACGCGCTGGTTCGACGTGGACGCGCCCACGCCGGACAATGAGGGGGACATCGAGACCATCCAGAAGGTCAGGAGCACGGGCGTCAGCGTCTGCTCGGAGCCCGTGGCCGTGCAGTGCGAGGCCGTGATGTACCCGGGCCGGGACGTCGCCACGCTGGGGCAGAAGGTGATCTGCGACCGTCTCGTCGGCCTCATCTGCCGCAACGCCGACCAGAACGGGACCAGGCCGCTGTGCCTCAACTACGCCGTCAAGTTCTTCTGCGCCCCGCCGGCCAGGCCAAAGATGACGACGACGACGACGAGACCGACATCACCGTTCACGGCGGTCTCCCTCCCGGGAAGCGCGACGACCGACGCCAAGTGGAGCAGCAGCGGGGCGACTTCGCCGCAAACTCTCCACCCCGTCGCCACCCTCAGCCTGGGCTCCAGCCGCGTCACGACGGAGTCCGTCACGGCCCTGTCCGGGCCCTCTCCCTCCCTCCCCGCCCCGAGCGCGGAGACTCCTCCTCCGGCAGACGAGTGGACGCCCTGGCTCGACGTGGACTCGCCGACGCCGGACAACGGCGGCGACGTCGAGACGATCGAGAGGATCCGGAGCCGGGGGTTCGACGTCTGCGCGGAGCCGGTGGCCGTGCAGTGCCGGGCCGTGATGTACCCCGGCCGCGACGTCTCCACGCTGGGCCAGGCGGTCACCTGCGAGCGTCTCGTCGGCCTCGTCTGCCGCAATGCCGACCAGAGTGCCGCCAGTCCGCTGTGCCTCAACTACGCCGTTCGCTTCCTCTGCAGGGCCAAGTCCAATGTCACGACCACGACGCTGCCCGGCACGCCAGCAGGTTTGTTCGCAACACACGAGAGCTGCACTTTGATTAGCACAGTTGGCTACGTGCAACGGTGGTGGTTCCAGAGAAGTTTAACATTCTGCTGTACACTACACGCTACACTACTACACACTTATCTTTGTATAGGCGTAAAACTTTCGTGACTGCAGGAATTCTAATTCTTGGGTCGTTCGGTAAAGTCACGTAGATAGGTTCAAAGAAAATAACAGAAAATAACACAAGCGGTTGTCTTCCTGGGTGGTTGGGTCAGTGGTTAAGTGGGTGGTTGGGTGGGTGAGTGAATGAGTGGGTGGGTGGATGAGTGGGTGGGTGGATGAGTGGGTTGGTGGGTGAGTGGGTGGCTGGGTGGTCGGGCGGGCGGGTGAGTGATTGGGTGGGTGAGTGGTTGGGTGGTTGAGTCAGCGAGTAGTTGGGTGGTTGGGTAGTTGAGTGGGTGGGTGGTTGAGTGGGTGAGTGGGTGAGTGGATGGGTGGGTGAGTGGATGAGTGGGTGAGTGGGTGAGTGGTTGGGTGGGTGGGTGGGTGAGTGGATGAGTGGATGAGTCGGTGAGTGAATGAATGGATGAGTGGGTGGTTGTGCGGGGGGGGGATGTCCTGGGCTGGTGGGCTGGACGTGAGTGGGCCCCCGTTTGCCCCAGACGTGACCTCCCGTCTTTGTGTTGCAGCTTCAGCAGCCACGACTCTGTCTCCGGCGACGGTCTGCAAGGTGAGTGCCTGTGGGGACGTCACGCACACACAAACTAACGCACACACAAACTCACACACACACAAACTCACACATACACAAACTCACACACACAAACTCACACATACACAAACTCACACGCACAACAACAACAACGGCTGTTCCCCACCAGAAGTTCTACATATGTGTAATAATGGTCGTGGAAGCGACTTCTGGAATCCGGTCTTTATTTGTCTTTCGTTCACAACACTCCCATCTTACTCCTTCATGCTGCTGACAGACAGCGTGAGAGGGAGAGAGAGAGAGACACGCACGGCCACGTGGCAGCCTGGACCCCGCTCCAGCGTGGCCTCACCCTCCGTTCGTTCCAGATCTGACCACGTGTTGTTCGTCTCCACCCCTTTTAATACCCGGGTCACGTGGTACCTTTCCACCAATCCTGGTTAACCTCTATGGAATCTTCTAGACTCCATGGTACGTTCCCAGGACCACACCCCTGACTCGTCCCCCCATTGGCTGTGGCTAAAGCCAGCAGATCCAATCCTCTACTTACAGATGTCACCTTCCCATTACGTCAGGGCCACGCCCCTAGACTTCCCCCCATTGGCTATGGGCCAGGACCGGCAGAGCCAATCATCGTAACGAGGTGTGATCCATCAGCAACCCGGGTATATCCTCACATTACATATGTACACTACACACCACACTACGATGAAGTACACTACACACCACACTACGATGAAGTACACTATACACCACACTACGATAAAGTACACTATACACCACGGCCGTAGCCATGGAGTCAACATTGGGGGGGACCAAATCTTCGAGGGTGTCTGGGGGTCTCAACCCAGAAAAATATCTAAATCTGAAAACTCATTTCCTGCCGAAAATATTTGAAAATTCACTAACACATGTCTAATAATGTCTAATAGTGTGTTGTATTACATTGCTCTGTTTTTACTTTTTTATCATTTCTTGTTTCATTGTATGCAATGGCAGAGATTAGGGATTAATAAAGTACAACCATAACCACAATCACATAAGCATCAATCTATGCATTGATTTACGGGTACCCGATTGCGACATCTGGGATGAAGCCATGTTGCAGGCGCGGGTGGGTTGATTCTAGGAACTTAAATTGTGAGAAGAGACAAGACGTTGGGAAATGAGTGACAAACGGTGACTCACCAGTGACTCACGGCCTACCCGTACCCGTACCTGGCCGCACCAGGGTCGCAAACGGCTATCCGTACCCGGCCGGGTACGGGTAGCCGGGTATCGGGTAGGGTACGGGTATCGGGTACCCAGTTGCGACCTCTGGCGCAGTGAGGTTGCAAATGAATACTGCAGAGCGGAGAGGCGTAAGGCGGTGCAGCGTCTTCCCCAAGTCTTCCCCAAAGCGGCGGTGGTGTATAGCCACTCTGCACTCTCGCTCGAGCTCTTACATTGGTTCCGTGCGGATTAACCGCCACGCCGTCTCGTAACTCTCAGTTGCTGCAGCTGCTTTTCTTCATTTTGAGTTCATCTCACGCATTCTTCACCACACGTACCTGAGTTGACGCAATCACACCCCGATTCGCTCACGGTCATCGGAGATGACCGTTGGCCTAGGCTAATGAACGGTAAACGGATATTCTAGATGTGAAGCCTTCGTGACTGCAAGGATTCATACTCTTGGGTTTTTTTGGTAAAGTCACGTAGGTAAAAAAAATACAAATGAATCAATTAATTGATTTATTTTTATTTTTCGATTTAAAGCTTTCGTGACTGCAGGGATTCATCTTCTTGGTTCTTTCGGTAAAGTCACGTAGAAGGGAAATAATAAAATAATAAAAATAAAACATAATAAAATACAATTCTCACGACGTTTCGGCCACAACGGACGGCTGCTTGCGTTGTGGCCGAAACGTCGTGAGAATGATTTTATTATGTAAAATTTTTATTATTTTATTATTTCCCTTCTACGTGACTTTACCAAAAGAACCAAGAAGATGATTTTTATTTTTCGGAAGCTGCCGCTTTCTGTTAACAACTGACGTTCAAATGTTCCATGGTGTTCATGATACACAATGGCGATGCAGTAAAATGTCCCGTGAGTTTAACAACGGGGTGTGGTTAGCGGGAGGGTAGATATTCCATCGAAATTAAAGAATCGTAGACAAGTCCAGGACGTATCGTAGAGGGATTCGATGCGGGGCAGCGATGGGAAATGGACCGAGTGATGATAGGGTTGTAGGGGAGGCGACAAACTACGTGCGGCTGTGGGATTCTGTCGTTGATTTGGGGGGTTACGGATCGTTCGTGGGGAACCCGTCCGTAACCCGGGGACTGTCTACACTATAGACTACTACACTATACTATACACTACTATACACTACACTACTATACACTACACTATACACTACACTACACTACACACTATACACTACACACTATACACTACACTATACACTACTACACCACTACACCCTCCACCTTGCCGCTGCCAGGAGTTGGAGAGGCCTGTGACGCCGTGCGTGTCGCTGTTCGTCGACTCGTGCACGGGGGCCCAGCGAGCCGTCACCGCGGCCTGCGACCAGAGCGCCGCCGCCGGCAAGGAGTGCCCCAAGCGCGGATCCTTCGCCGTCGCCACCACGCGGCCCGGAGAGTGCTGCCCGCACTACCAGTGTGGTACGCACTGTCTGTGTGTGTCTCTGTGTGTGTCTGTGTGTCTGTGTGTGTGTGTCTGTGTGTGTGTCTGTGTGTCTGTGTGTGTGTGTCTCTGTGTGTGTGTCTGTGTGTGTGTCTGTGTGTGTGTCTGTGTGTGTGTCTGTGTCTGTGTGTGTGTGTGTCTGTGTGTGTGTCTCTGTGTGTGTGTGTGTCTGTGTGTGTGTGTGTGTCTCTGTGTGTGTGTGTGTGTCTGTGTGTGTGTGTGTCTCTGTGTGTGTGTGTGTCTCTGTGTGTGTGTGTCTGTCTGTGTGTGTTTGTGTGTGTGTATCTCTGTGTGTGTGACTCTGTGTGTGTCACTCTGTGTGTGCGTCTGTGTGTGTCTGTGTGTCTAATTAATAAGCTTGTTCCGGAGGCCCCGGGGGGACAGGCGTTGATGACGTCTCCTGGCCAAACCCCATTTGGCGGAGCCAGGAGATTGAATCTTTACCCTCGGGGCTCCTCCACAAACAACAAAAAGTCACTACGGAATGTTCGAATGCTCATTGCGGAGGAGAGGCTGCCACTCCTCTGTCGGGAGCTGGACCGGTACTGCCTGGATCTCTGTGGCATTCAGGAGGTCTGGTGGACCGGCTCTGGCTTCTGTCACCATGAGGGGTGGACAGTCCTCTACTCGGGGCAGGAGACTGCCAAACAACAGGGAGTTGCTCTTCTTCTGAATAAAAGAATGAAGGGGGCGTGGGAGCGTGGCGGTGAGGTGTGGGAAGCTACTTTGGGCTCGCCTTCCCATCAACCAGAGGCGAGGAGTGGTGGTCGTGGTTACTTATGCCCCCACCAAAGACGAACATCCGTTGAAGGATGCAGGTAAGGCCGATGAGTCAGATGCCTTCTATGACCTCCTGTCACTGGTGCTGGCTAAAGTGGCCCCTCGGGATAGAATGATCTTATTGGGTGACTTCAATGCCCGAGTTGGTCATGATGCTGGCACCTGGTCTGGAGTGATTGGAAGGCATGAGCCAGATCAGCTCAATAACAATGGTAGGAGGCTGCTAGATTTGTGTGCAGCCCATGGGTTTGTAATTACCAACAAGCTGTTCCGGCATCGGCGCATCCACACAACATCATGGATGCATGCCGGGTCCAAGCAAGAACATCTGCTGGACTACATAGTGACAGAACAGCGGATGCGGGCCCATGTCCTTGACACCAGTACCTACCGTGGAGCTGATCTGCCCTCTGACCATCGACTAGTCATCTGTAAGATGCGCCTGCCATTCTTCCACTCCGGTGGTGGGTGTACACCCAGGACCCCATTCCAACCTAAGGTGGCCTGGTCTCGGGTAGCTGATGAAAGTTGCAAGTGTGAATTTCATCATCGCTTGCGGCTGGGGTTGGCATCGTCCCCCACTCCTCCAGATGTTGAGGGTAAATGGGTGAGGTTTAGGACTGTGACTCAGGCAGCTGCAATGGTGGCTTTGGGTACGCGGTCCAGACCTCCCCAGAGACCCTGGCTGACAGAGGAGGTGTTCAGGATGGCTGAGAAAAAGCGACAGGCCCACTCTAATCGTCTACAGCATCTCACATCAGAGAATGAGGAGGTTTACCGCAGCCTTCGCTCGGAGGTTCGGAGAGCCGTGAGGTGCTGCAAGGATGGGTGGTGGTCGTGGGTTGCTGAGGAGATGGAGTCTGCCTCAATGGCCCGCCATCACAATCCCTATTTAACTCCATTAAAAAAGGAACCTGCAGCATCACACCTATTATCATCATGATGGGAAAAAACGGTGATCCAATCTCCGACCCCCAGGAACAGGTTTGCAGATTTGCTGAGCATTTCTGTGAATTCCCTGGGGAGGGGAAATCTCTCAGCCTGGAAAACATCATGGCACAAAGTTGGGATAACCCTGCTGAGGCTGCGGTGCCTCAAATATTTGAAGAAGTCACTCCCTGTGAGTGGCTGGCTGAGGTACCATCTGTTGAGGAAGTACTGAAGGCGATCCGGAGTCTGAGACCAGGAAAGGCACCGGGCAGAGATGATTCCCCAAGCGAAATGCTGAGGGAAGATGGCGTTTGTGTACAGACTGCCGTACATAACATGATAACAACAGTCTGGACCACTGGACGGGTTCTGCAGGATTGGAAGGATGCCCTTGTGGTCCCCCTCTTTAAGAAGGGAGACCGCACAGACTGTAACAACTACAGGGGCATCTCACTCCTCAGTGTGTCGGGAAAGGTCCTGGCAAGGATTATTCAAAATCGCCTTGCTAGGCACGCTGAGGAGAGGCTTGTGGAGCCCCAATGTGGTTTCAGGAAAGGACGGTCCTGCACAGATGCCATATTTTCTGTCTGTTTGCTACAGCAGAGGTGTAGGGAATTCCAACAAGACCTACATCTCTGCTTTAAGTGACCTGGTCAAGGCCTATGATACCATCAGTAGGCTTGGGCTCTGGGTTGTTCTTCGTGCTTTCTGAGTCCCTGACCCTCTGCTCACGATCATTAAGGACCTTCATGATGGTGAGCGGGCCCGGGTAAAACTACGTGGCCGGGAGTTGGAGCCATTCCCTATACACCTTGCGGTGCAACAGGGATGTCCTCTGGCTCCCACATTATTTAACATATTTTTCAACCACGTAGTTCGTGAAGCCTTTGATGGCTGTACTAGAGGAATTTCTATTTGGTAAAGATACAATGGGAGGCTGATCGATGCCCGGGTACAGTCAAGGGATGGCTCTCTATTGGTCAACCATGTTACATATGCCGATGATCTGGTAATTGCCGCTCACTCAGAGGAGGAGTTGGAGCTCCTGCTGCTGAACCTGGAGTGTGCCACTAAGAGGTGGGGCCTTACCATCAGCCCCACCAAAACTAAGCACCTGCCTGGGTATTTTGTACCATCGGGCAACCCACCCCCACAACTCCCAATTGGTGATGGGGCAGTTGTGGAGAGAGTGGAGAGTTTCCCATACCTGGGCAGTGCGCTCCGGTTTGACAGCAGATGCCTCACTCCGAATCAGTAGAGCGGCATTTTCTTTTCATTGGTTGCGTAACACTGTGTGGAAGCTACCTGGTCTGTCGCTCCGCACGAAGCTTCAAGTCTTCTCAGCCACGGTCATTGCATCCCTTCTCTACGCTTGCGAAACGTGGACCCCCCTAATAGAGCATCTTCGCAGATTGGAAACATTTAGGCTGGCCTGCCTACGATCCATCCTGGGTTTAGCCAGGCTTGGATTGTATGATGAGCTCACAAATCCTAAAAGATCTGGGCAAAGTCCCATCGGTGAGCTCTTCCGGTGGGCAAGGCTGCGTTGGCTGGGTCATGTAGCCCGCATGCCCAGCCACCGCATGCTTTAACAGCTTTTGTTCGGCCGGATCGAGGGGGCTAAATGGGCGCGGCACGGGCTAGAGAAGAGATGGCCTGATTCGGTACGGGAGGATGTGGAGCTGAGTGGACTTCCTCATGACTGGTACCAGCGGTGTCAAGATCGGCCTCTGTGGAGGAGGCTCGTGAAGGACGCTACTGGGCAGTTGGAGGCAGTCGACCTCCAACAACAACGAAGGGCAGAGGAGCGACGCTCACAACAACGAGCGGAGCACCGGGTGGCTAAAGCACAGCAAGTTGGCACAGTAGGGGGCACAGGTGGTGCATCGGCCAGTCATCTCAGTCAGTCAACCCGTGGCACCTGGGTCTGCCCCGTGACCTCCTGCCAGCGGGCGTTCGACACTTCACGTGGCCTCAACGTGCACATAGCCTGGCACAAGCCCCATCGTGATGTCGGCGCCACTTAGTGGCGAATGGCGGTTGTTGTTGTTGTGTGGAGAGCGGCAATGTAGCGGTTAGCGCGCTGTACTATGGACCTGGCAACCCGAGTTCGATTCCTGCTCCCGACCAACACGTTTATTTGAACCGGTCCTGGGCCTCCTCTAGGTCGACTAAGATGAGTACCTGGTGCGGTGTGTAAACATCGCCACTGGTGAAAGAAAGGCAGTCAGGCGTTGTGCTGGCCACCCACCCCCTCATTATCCGTGCCAGCCTTCATAGTTGATCGCTAACAGCACTTGCCCCAACAGTCAGTTGAGGCTATACGGGGGATCTTTGTCTGTGTCTGTGTGTGTGTAGTTTGTCCGGAGGACTGTGCGGTGCCGGCGTGTTCGCCGGGCAGCGTTCTCATGGAGCTCATGGAGAGCAGCGCTCAGAGCAGCTGCTGCCGCAACTACGAGTGTGTGCTTCGTAAGGGACTCACTCAGCCACTCGCTCAGCCACTCGCTCACTCAGAGACTCACTCAGCCACTCACTCAGCCACTCGCTCACTCACTCGCTCAGCCACTCACTCACTGAGCCACTCACTCACTGAGCCACTCGCTCACTCAGCCAATCGTTCACTCACTCAGAGACTCACTCAGCCACTCACTAACTCAGCCCCTCACTCACTCAGCCACTCGCTCAGCCACTCGCTCACTCAGAGACTCACTCAGCCAATCACTCAGCCACTCGCTCACTCACTCACTCGCTCAGCCACTCACTCACTGAGCCACTCACTCACTCACTCACTGAGCCACTCGCTCACTCAGCCAATCGTTCACTCACTCAGACACTCACTCAGCCACTTACTCAGCCACTCGCTCATTCAGCCACTCACTCACTCAGCCACTCGCTCACTCAGCCACTCACTCACCTTGCCACTCACTCCCTCAGCCACTCGCTCACTCAGCCACTCACTCACTCAGCCACCAGCTCACTCACACAGTCACTCATTCAGCCACTCACTCACCCTGCCACTCACTCAGCCACTCGCTCACTCAGCCACTCACTCAGCCACTCACTCACACAGTCACTCGCTCACTGAGCCACTCACTCAGCTACTCACCGACACACTCACTTATTGACCCACGTAATCACTCACACAGCCACACTCATTCACACACTCACTGACCCAGGCACCTAAACACCTACCTAGCTACCCACTCACCACTCACTCACCCGCTCACCTATGGCGCAGTGGCTGTGTGGTTCTTTGGCGGTGACTGTCCGTGGTGGTGTCGTGTGTGTGGCGTGTCACAGAGCCTTCTCCGACATGTGAATACAACGGCAAGATGTACCAGGTGAGACTCACTCATCCACTCACTCACCAACTCACCCACTTGCCTTTCCACCCACTCACTCATCCACTCACCAACTCACCCACTTGCCTTCCCACCCACTCACTCATCCACTCACTCACCAACTCACCCACTTGCCTTCCCACCCACTCACTCTCTCAACCACCCACTCAGCAACTCAACCATTTTCCTTCTCACTCACCCACTCATCCACCCACCCACTAACTCACCCACTCGCCTTCCCACTCACTCACCAACTCACCAAATCGCCTTCCCACTCACCAACTCGGCTTGCCACCCACTAACTCACCCACTCACCCACTGTTGTGTAGTTTCATGTCCTTCCCCCCCCCCCCGTACCTCCAATTAGCGCGGTTGGATACGTACGGTGGTGCGAAATAAGTTCAACACACACACATACACACACACATACACACACGTACACACACACATACACACACGTACACACATACACACACGTACACACACATACACACACACACGTACACACACACACGTCCACACGTACACACACACGTACACACACACGTACACACACTTACACACACACTCACACACATATACACGTACACACACACACACGTACACATGCACACGTACAAACACACACAAGTCCACACACACACGTCCACACGTACATACACACGTACACACACACGTACACACACTTACACACACACGTACACACACACGTACACACACACACACGTGTACACACACACACGTCCACACACACACGTCCACACTAAGGGCCCCAGCAGTCTGTTGAAAGGCAACCCGCTGGTGACTGTGTCTCAGAGGTCGCAACTGGGTACCCGATACCCGTATCCGACCCGATACCCGGCTACCCGATACCCGGCCGGGTACAGGTACGGGTACCCGTTTGCGACCCTGGTGCGGCCGGGTACGGGTAGACCGTGAGTCATTGGTGAGTCACCGTTTGTCACTCATTTCCCAACGTCTTGTCTCTTCTCACAATTCAAGTTCCTAGAATCAACCCACCCGCGCCTGCAACATGGCTTCATCCCAGAGGTCGCAATCAGGTACCCGATACCCGTACCCTACCCGTACCCGGCCGGTTACGGGTAGGGTACGGGTAGGGTACGGGTACGGCCGGGTACGGGTACCCGTTTGCGATCCTGGTGCGGCCGGGTACGGGTAAGGAATCAAAACCCGTTTGCGACCTCTGCTGTGTCCGTGTGCAGGTTGGGGATCAGTGGAGCAAGGACAACTGCTCCTTCCTGGAGTGTGCTGAGTCACAGGGCTCCGCGTTGCTGAGCGAGCACCGCATCACCTGCCTGGAGCCCCAGTACCCACACACCTGTGCAAATGTGAGCCACTCACTCACTCAGCCACTCGCTCACTCACACACTCAGCCACTCACTCACTCACTCAGCCACTCACTCACTCAGCCACTCACTCACACACTCACTCACTCAGCCACTCACTCACTCAGCCACTCGCTCACTCAGCCACTCGCTCACACACTCACTCACTCAGCCACTCACTCACTCACACACTCACTCATACACTCACTCACTCATACACACACACTCACTCATACACTCACTCACTCATACACACATACTCACTCATACACTCACTCACTCATACATTCACTCATACACTCACTCATACACTCACTCACACACTCACTCATACACTCACTCACTCATACACTCACTCACTCAGCCACTCACTCACTCAGCCACTCACTCACTCAGCCAGTCACTCACTCACTCAGCCACTCACTCACTCAGCCACTCACTCACTCACTCAGCCACTTTCTCATACACTCACTCATACACTCACTCACTCATACACTCACTCACTCACGCATACACTCACTCATACACTCACTCACACACTCACTCATACACTCACTCACTCATACACTCACTCACTCAGCCACTCAGCCACTCACTCACTCAGCCACTCACTCAGCCACTCAGTCACTCAGCCACTTTCTCATACACTCACTCATACACTCACTCACTCATACACTCACTCACTCAGCCACTTTCTCATACACTCACTCATACACTCACTCACTCACTCAGACACTCACTCACTCACTCAGCCACTTTCTCATACACTCAGCCACTTTCTCATACTCTCACTCACTCACTCAGCCACTCACTCACTCAGCCACTCACTCACTCACTCAACCACTTTCTCATACACTCACTCACTCAGCCACTCACTCACTCACTCAGCCACTTTCTCATACACTCACTCATACACTCACTCACCAGATCACCTGCCTGGAACCCTGATGATGATGGCCCTGATAATGATGATGATGGTGCTGATGATGATGATGATGGTGCTGATGATGATGGTGCTGATGATGATGATGATAATGGTGCTCATGATGATGGTGCTGATAATGATGATGGTGCTGATAATGACGATGGTGCTGATGATGATGATGGTGCTGATAATGATGACCCTGATGATGATGATGGTGCTGATGATGATGATGGTGCTGATGATGATGATGGTGCTGATGATGATGATGGTGCTGATGATGATGATGGTGCTGACGCTGTCCCTGCTGCTAGGTGAGCGTGGTCTATGATGTCCACGGGTGCTGCATCACCTACAAGTGCAACGATGGTAAATTCACACTGACATCGCACTGACTCACCCTCACCGCGTGTCTGCGTGTGTCTGCGTGTGTCTGTGTGTCTGTGTGTGTCTGTGTGTGTGTCTGCGTGTATGTCTGTGTGTGTGTCTGTATGTGCGTGGTGTGTGTGTGTGCGCGTGTGTGTCTGTGTGTGTGTCTGTGTGTGTGTCTGTGTCTTTGTGTGTGTCTGTGTGTGTCTGTGTGTGTCTGTGTGTCTTTGTGTGTTTGTGTCTGTGTGTGTGTGTGTCTGTGTGTGTGTCTGTGTGTTGTGTGTGTATCTGTGTGTGCGTGTGTGTCTGTGTGTGTGTCTGTGTGTGTGTCTGTGTGTGTGTCTGTGTGTGTCTATGTGTGTGTCTGTGTGTGTCTATGTGTGTCTGTGTGTGTGTCTGTGTGTGCGTGTGTGTCTGTGTGTGTGTCTGTGTGTGTGTCTATGTGTGTCTGTGTGTGTATGGGGAGCGGTGGTGTAGTGGTTAGCGCTTCGCTGCGCTACGAACTCAGCGACCCGAGTTCGATTCCCGCTCACGGCCAACACCGTCAGTGACGATTATCTGAACCGGTCCTGGGCCTCCCCTAGGTCGACTCAAATGAGTACCTGTTGCAGTGTGTAGTAAACATCGCCACTGGGGGAGACAAAGGCGGCCGGGCGTGGTGCTGGCCACCCACCCCCTCGTGTGCCACAGTGCCGGTAGCCTTCATAGGCGCTCCTACTCGCTACTAACAGCACTTGCCCCTACAGCCCTGTTAGAGGCTACACGGGAGACCTTTGTCTTTGTGAGTGTGTGCGAGTGTGTGTGAGGATGCTGGCTAACAGCACTTGCCCCAACAGTCTGCTGGGGCTACACGGGGGATCTTTGTGTATTACTGCTGCTGCTCGCTACTTAGCAGCACTTGCCCCTACATCCCTGTTAGAGGCTACCTGGGATTACTATATCTCTGTCTACCCCCCCACCCCCACTACACCCCACCCCCACCACACCCCACTACCCCCCACCCCCACTACCCCCCACCACACCCCACCCCCCACTACCCCCCACCCCCACTACCCCCCACTACCCCCCACCCCACTACCCCCCACCACACCCCACCCCCACTACCCCCCACCCCCACTACCCCCCACCACACCCCACCCCCACCCCCACTACACCCTACCACTACCCCCCCCACCACCCCCACTACCCCCACTACACCCCACCCCCACCCCCCACCCCCACTACACCCCCACTACCCCCCCCTACCCCCACTACCCCCACCCCCACTACCCCCACCCCCACTACACCCCCCCCACTACCCCCCCTAGAAGCCCCCCAGGAGATCTGCCAGCCCCAGCGCGTGTGGACGCTGGTCAGCGTGGGCGGCTGCAGCAGCGAGGGGCCCGTGGAGGTCACCAAGTGTGTGGGGACCTGCAGCTCGAGCAGCCTGTGAGCGCAACGGAGACGTCACACCGTCACCGTGGTTACACCGTCACCGTAGTTACACCGTCGCCTTGGTTACACCGTCACCGTGGTTATACCGGCGCCGTGGTTACACCGTCACCATGGTTACACAGTTACCATGGTTACACCGTAACCGTCGTTACACCATCACCGTGGCTACATCGTCACCGTGGTCACACCGTCACCATGATTACACCATCACCATTATTAACACCAACCACCCTCACACCCACTTTCTACCGGCAGCACTTGCCCCCGACAGCCCTGCCGCTAGAGGCTACCTGGGGGCCGACCTTTACCTTCTGACCTTCGTTGCAGGCCGAACCCGTGGTCCTCCTCCTCCTCCTCGGTCTCCACGGCGACCGCCGCTCCACCTCAGCTGTGGCGCAGCAGCTGCTCCTGTTGCCGGGAGACGAGCGGCTCCGGCTACGTCACCGGCACCGCCACCGCCACCATCACCGGCACCGCCACCGCCGCCTTCGTGTCGGTGCCGCTGCTGTGCCCCAACGGCACAGCGCTGAGCGCCAGCGTGGCCGTCGCTCAGCGCTGCCGCTGCGTCGTCGCCGACTGCCCCGCGCCGTGAAATGTGACCTCGTGACCCCGTGAGCCCGCGACCCCGCGACGTGACCCCGCCCACCGTGACCTAAGCACGACCACGCCCCCCTCGTGACCTCTGAGCGACACACACACCAGCCCCGTGACCTCTGAGTGACCCACAAACACACTAGCCACGTGACCTCTGAATGACCCCCACACACTCACACCACCGCCGTGACCTCTGAGTGACCCACACACACTCACACTCTCCCCGTGACCCACACCACCACCACCACCGATCTGACATGTGTGCGTCTCTGTGTGTGCGTCTGTGTGTGCGTGCGTGTGACGACGAGGTGATCTTGGCGATTACGATGAGTGCGCGTGCGTGTGTGCGTGTGTGTGTGCGTCTGTGTGTGTGCATCTGTGTGTGTCTGTGTATGTGCGTCTGTGTGTGTGCGTCTGTGTGTGTGTCTGTGCTGTGTGTGTGTGCGTCTGTGTGTGTGTGTCTGTGCGTGCGTGCGACGACGAGGTGATCTTGGCGATCACGATGAGCGTGTGTGTTCCAGACTGTGGCTCTTTTCATTCAGTCAGTCATTCACTCATCAAGTCAGTCCACTCGTGACATCAGTCACTCACTTGTCCATCCATTCATTCACTTGTCCACTCACTCATCCATTCAGTCACTTGTCCACTCACTCGTTCATTCAGTCACTTGTCCACTCACTCGTTCATTCAGTCACTTGTCCACTCACTCGTCCATTCAGTCACTTGTCCACTCACTCGTTCATTCAGTCACTTGTCCACTCACTCGTCCATTCAGTCACTTGTTCACTCGTCCATTCAGTCACTTGTCCCCTCACTCGTCCATTCAGTCACCCATGAACCCGCGATGCCCCGCCGTGAAGCCACGTGTTGGAGAGTTACACTCACCACAACCACAACCACTGCAGCACAACCACAACCACCACCGCAGCACAACCACCGCACAACAAACACCACCACCACCGCACCACAACCACCATCACCGCTGCTACCATCATCAATGCCACCTCCACCACCAACGCCGCTTTCATCACTGGCGCAGTGCCAATACCGACACCACCACCGCCACCCCCGTGTGTGTCTCTGTGTGTCTCACTGTGTCTCACTGTGTGTCTCTGTGTGTCTCTGTGTGTCTCAGAGTAACAATAAACGTCGCTTCCATTGCATCTCACCGACTCGGCTGTGAATTCATTCCCACGTGCACCGGTGCGTCTCGCGATGCCTGCGGCTCTCTGCAGCTCTCTGTGTGTCTCTGTGTCTCTGTGTGTCTCTGTGTGTCTGTGTATCTCTGTGTGTGTCTCTGTGTGTCTGTGTGTCTCTGTGTGTGTCTCTGTGTGTGTGTCTGTGTGTCTCTGTATGTCTGTGTGTCTCTGTGTGTGTCTCTGTGTGTTTCTGTGTGTCTGTGTGTCTCTGTGTGTCTCTGTGTGTCTCTGTGAATCTCTGTGTATCTCTGTGTGTCTCTGTGTGTCTCTGTGTATCTCTGTGTGTCTCTGTGTCTCTGTGTGTGTGTCTCTGTGTGTCTCTGTGTGTCTCTGTGTCACTGTGTGTCACTGTGTGTCTCTGTGTCTCTGTGTGTGTGTCACTGTGTGTCTCTGTGTGTCTCTGTCTCTGTGTGTGTGTCTCTGTGTGTCTCTGTGTCACTGTGTGTCACTGTGTGTCTCTGTGTGTCTCAGAGTAACACTAAACGTCGCTTCCATTGCATCTTACCGACTCGGCTGTGACATGTGAGTGTGGCCATTGGAACGACGGCGTAGGCAATGAGCAAGGCGTGTGGGAGCCACGTAGAGCAGCCAGTCTTCCACGAGACCACGTGGCCGGGCCCCCCAGGGGAGGTGCACACACCCCCCCTGGAGGCCCTGGGGAACCAGAAGCGGCCCAAGAACAGGAGGAGCAGGAGTAGCTGACGTACGCTCCACTCCTCCCCCCCCCCCCAGTCCACAGCCGGTCGGCACAACCGGCGACTCCAAGGTGCCAGGTAGATACTGCCTCCCGTGACGAGAAACACAAACCCTCCTGAGGCATCACTCCATGAACACTCGCCTTGGCTCGTCGGACACGACAGCCGCTCGGCCCCTGGGTAGTGGGGGAGATGAGGGGATTCCGGCCGGCGCGAGAGAAGAGAAAAAAATAACAACAAACAAATTCAGACGCGTTTAGATGCACAACCAGCACGGCGACGAAACCAAATATGTCCCCCTTCACCCACACAACACGGATGGCAGGTTCCCCGACCCCCAGCTGCCGTTCCATCCACTAGGTGGTGATAGAGCGAGAACTGACGAGCTGCCGAGCGCTCGCGCACTCACACGCCCAAATGCGGACGTCTTTCCGACACCCGGGGTCGAGACGTCATGCGTCAGAGCCAACCCACGTCCTGGGGCGAAGAAGTCGCGCTTCAGGGACGCCCCCCAGGATCTGCATTTTAGTTACAGAAAATAGTTCGGCGTGAAAATTGGCCTCAATGGCGGCAGCACGCGCGATCCGCATCCCCGCGACCTCACGCGCTTGCATAAAATGGCGGCTGCATGCGCAAGCCGCATCTCCGCAGTTTCCCGCGCTTGTATAAAATGGCGGCCGCAGGCGCGAATCGCATCCCCGCGGCCTCACGCGCTCGCACAAAATGGCAGCCGTACACTCGCAAACTGCATTTCCGCAGTGTCCCGCGCTTGTACAAAAATGGCGGCCGCAGCGCGGTTTCCCGCGCTCGCACAACTTGGCAGCCCTCCCTGGAAGGCCAACCCGGACATCTCCTGCCACTCGGTATCACGCCACGCCTTTCCGACGCGCACGCGTCGGACGTATCAGGGGAATTTTAACCGAGTCTCTCTCCAAGACTCGCGTCGCAGCACACGGCTGTACCGACCGAGCTGAGAAGACCCATCACTCACTCGCTGCACAACATGCACCCTAACAACTGAGGGATGCAGTCCCAATGTAACGGGACAACTTCACATGAACACGACGAATCTCCAACTCACTGTTTCAACGCGCCTCGGAGTGTCTCGATCTCCGGGCCGTCAGGTCAAGTCGTCAGCCATAGCATGACGGGACCACAACTCTCGTGTTAGACACGCAACACTCACTGGGCCATCCTGGTCAGCATCTGTGCCCCAGCCAGCACCACAATTCCAAATCCCTGGCAGCATGTCACCATCTCAATTTAAATGCTCCATACCAATGACGGCAGAGCCACAAGCCATGCCCCACACAATCGCAATTTCACACCATCACAACACACACAATTTGAAACACATTCTTGCGGAGGGGAGCTGGTAGGAACGTTGGGTTGCTCGGTCAATGGCCAGGGTCAACGGCGGCGTGGTGTATTCCGCAAATATGCCCGACTGTGCAAGTCTGCAGAGCGTTTCTGAGGTCGTGGGGTCGAGGAGAAATCCCTCGATCCAAATAACTTCACGGGGTCAAGGTGCGGGGCATGCAGTGCCTCAATAACACTGGTCAACACACTTTTTCTGGCATCAGGTATTCCAACGGTTTTAAGGTAATTTTAAATCTGGCATCAGTTTTTGTCCATCACATCAGGTTTTTGAGATATCAAATATTTCATTTTCAATCAAAACCGCAGAAGAAAAATATTAGATAAATGTGGATATCTACATAAAATGATATTATAAACACACTATCCTAAAAATACAGCACCATATTTTAATTTTAACACTAAAGCAGTCACTGACTCGCAACAACTTGCAATCATAAGTGACAGAGTTAATTTCGGGTAAAATCAATGAAAATGGGGTATGCCGATAGCATAAAATGAGATGTGATGGAGCAAATCTGAGATCAGCTTTGGAATCAGTACCCTGAAATTAGTCTAAAACAGCTGCAAAAGTCCAGGCCAGAAAAAAATGTTTTTTGTTGTTGACCAGTGGTATTGGAGAAAGTGGACAACCCCATTCCGAGTGGTTGGTTGAGGTGCCATCTGTTGAGGAAGTCTGAGGGGCGATCTGGAGTCTTGAGATCAGGAAAAGGGCCGGGCAGAGATGATCCCCCAAGTAAACTGATGGAGGTTGGTGTCTGTGTGCAGACTGCCTTATATGACATCGTAACTATGAAAAGATAAGAACAGGTTTTTCATATTCTTTGGGTCTTTCGGCAAAGTCAATAAAAATAAAGAACCACGACGTTTCGATCGCAACACAAGCGGTCGTCTATCTCCGTGACTTCACCGTAAGACCCAAAGAATATGAATTCCTGCAGCCACGAAAGCTTTAAGTCAATAAAGAATAAAACAGCTGTCTTCTTTGGTTCTTTCGGTAAAGTCACGTAAAATGGAAATAATGAAATAATAAAAATAAAACAATTAAATAATTCTCACGACGTTCCTGTTCTCCACCTGAGGACGGCTGCTTGCGTTGTGGCCGGAACGTCGTGAGAATTATTTTATTGATTAATTTTTATTATTTCATAATTTCCATTCTACGTGACTTTACCGAAAGAACCAATAATATGAATTCCTGCAGCCACGAAAGCTTTAAGTCAATAAAGAATAAAACAGCCGTGTTAAGACGTTCAAACACCAAATATAAATCTTTTGTAAGGAATGATGTCTGTGTTAACCACGCGGATGTGATGCCGCCGCCGCGAAGCCGTTCGGCAGGCGCCAAATCCCCGACCTCGCCACCACCAAGCAACGGAGCCGACCCCGCGTCCCCCTCACCTCACCTCACATGAACACACCCGCACTCATTTCTCCC